CCCGGACTAGTCAATCATCGCGGCCGAAAGAAGCCAGCGGTCAAGTCATCATGAGGCATGAGATATGCAGAGTACAGGCGCTGGCGAGGTGATGCCCAGTTGAGGATGGGGTTGGCAGTGGCATCGTTCTGGTCGTCCTTGCCGTCTAGGACCACAGATTTCCTAGCTCGTGCTGAAGTAACTGGGATGGATGCGCCATGACGAGTACAATAAGACCGCTGGATCCGCAGACAAGGGTCGAGCTCGTGGCAAGGCCAAGCTTTACTTTGCTTACAGCAGGGTTATAATGGGCTGCCTGCGTTTGGTCTCCCGCATCGAGCAATCTTCTGGAAGCGAGAGGTCGTGACAGACACCTAAGTATGCAGTTTTATGAAAGTCGTCCGTTGGCCAAGCAGCTACGCTGTGGTGTCCCATGTCTCCCGCCAGTATCCGGCTTCGTTTGTTTGTCTTCGGGGCTTGCATGCTGTGGAAGAGCGGAAAATTGTATCAGTATCGCGCGGTGGTTGGCGTGTCACATGTTCCATAAGCACGGCTTGCAGTGAAATCGGACGGCGCCCGAGAGGAGAGATGTGCGCTATCGCTGCCATTCGTGCACCCAAGCCTTGAGAGGTTGAGTGAATACCGAACCATGGTAAGAAATTGATGGTGTTGAAGGGCGGGATGACGTGTTTGGATGAAGCTGCTCACCAGAGATGGCCGAGTTGCTGCTTCTTTCCGCCCCGAGTGCCCCGAATCCCCTCAGCACAAAGCTCCGGGCGCCGCTTGAACGTTCTGCCAGCCTCGAATTGGGCGACCTTCCCAATCTTCCCCTCAGACATCTCACCATGTCATGCCTGCCGATTCAATTCGTGGGTTTGCTGCGCCAACGCCGAACCCTTCTGGCTTGTTCCTGCGTCGCCTGGGCCCCTTGTTCGCATGCACAGAGGCAACTTCCGCCACGACCATCCCACTCGAGTCGCCTCGCTAATTACTCGTACTCGTAGGTTCTGCTGCGTCCTTCCTGCGCTCCGTCCAAAGTCCGGGACTCCACCACGGCCACTGAACCGAACCATGAGTAAGCGCTGATCACACTGGCCCTCGAGCCTCTGCGCCCTCGCACGCCGCTCCAACTGTGCGATGAATTGCCCGTCCCTTTCTTTTTTGCTTGCCCTTAGTCAATCTGAGACCCTAGTCAATCCCCATCCCCAGTCTGGATTCTGCTGACTGGCCCAGATTGACCAGGGCGCGCGCCGATTCCAGGACTCCTCAGAGCGCTGCGGGTCTCCGCCGTAAACAGATCTTCGCGCTGTTATTCTGCTCTCTCAACTCCGTACCTCGTACCTGTGACGGCCACAACGCATATTGCCGCAGCTGCAAACACCACCCCCTCGAACATCGCGTCTGGCCGTATCGAGTACCTCTTCCTTGTTCCAGCGCCGTGTGACGCAACAGGCCTCGATTTAGCATAGCCATACCTGCAGCGTTGCAGTCCGCCGACCGATATCCGCGTTTTAAATCCTCCACACGCAACACGTCCTTGTCGAGACTTGCGTCCCCAAGCGTAAGCGGGCGATTCTGATCAGCCCGAGAAAGGCCACGCACTCGCATCTGAATTCTAAGTCCGAACGATTGCCCGGAGACCACCCCTCGTATTTTGCCAAACCGTCAAGCTGTTGAACTCGTGTATCTCCCAAGACATTCTCCAACCCTCGGTGCAGTGACATAACGGACGCAACAGTCATCACACGGCTCTGCGGAAATCGAACAACTGATCGAGCCCTGTTGTAATAGACCACCTCTGAGCCTTCACCGCTCGACTTCCGTTTCTATATCAATCGTCAGCAACCCGGCCCGGCGTATTGATTCACTTTGCTTCTTCTCTCTACCAATCAACCGGGTCTCGGTACGATTACAGATATTTACCAGCTCCCTGTTCTCCTCAGATCTAGATCGCGGAGACCGGCCGCCAGTGACCGACCAGACCTCACATCAACGACACCTCGTGCGAATCTTCGATCTTGCGCGCAACGCTCTTCGGGATCGATTGCGACGGCCCTGAAGGTGCCCAGGCTTCCAAATCAACTCCCCCACGCCTTCTCAATCCTGCCTTTCGGCAACGCAGAGACTTAGTCAGGCATCTTGCCATCACGAGAGAAAGGAAAGCAGAGGCAACGATTCGTCAACACGTTACCGCGATTTGACAGTTGGGACCATTACCAAAGGTTATTCACCTGACTCCGCACCGCTCCGACTACATCCAACGAACATCGCGCTTTCTCACTGCCATAATCACCTGCAGCTGCATGTCAACCTGACAGACTTCATCAAGGACATCCAGAGCCCAAGCCCCGAGATTGATCTCATCTTAAGTCTGTGAAGAGTCCGCAGCTTCATCTGCCATCCTCAGGACCTGAGCTTATCCTTCGTGTCAAAATGCCCACTCGAATAAGTGGTGCCTGCAACGGGTGCCGTACGAAGAAACAGAAGGTATGTTAACACATGACCTTTCCACCCACGGACCTACCCTTCTACCTGTATGGACGCTTGCCAGGTGTGGCACTTTGTTCATCATCGTTGAGCACAGAAACACGCTGACTTTTGGTCCCATAGTGCAGTGGTGACCGGTGAGTTACACCCCGATGTCTTTTCGAGTGTCGATTCAAGCAAATCTTTTCACAAGAGGAGGGGCAGTACTTCCTTTTATACGCCTCGGGTCTCTACTACCCCAGATCAGCTCTCCAGGTATTTGTTCGTGGGGTTGTCTGCGTGGCTAAATCGTTTTGGCACAACGATTTGGGCAAGGCCAGATCTGATACCCTCTCCACCAATGGGATCTTGATTTGACGCCGTTATCAAGCCAGCATTCGGCTGTTTGTTCATTACCACTTGCGCGGCCATCAGATATTGATATCCTGACGGTAACTGATTCTTCCGGCTTAACAGATCTGGCTGCTCACAGTGCCACGCTGCCGGTATACAATGTACATGGCCTGAACAAAGAAAAAGGTAAGATTAAACCGGCCTGAGAGCATCCCGTTTCCCATTCGAAGCCTCTAACCTGCGACTGATCCCGAATGGTACTAACTCTCCGTTTTAGAGGTCCTGCCAAGGGCTACATCGAAGGCCTTGAGCACCGTCTCCACGAAGCCGAATCACTTCTCCTTGCACTACTTCCCATTATCTCGATAGAGCAGTTAAAATGCGCAACCGACTCATTAGCTGACGGTCCTTCCACCATCAACATCCCGGGACTGAAAACTCGTGATTCACAATCACCTGGGCCCCATGCTCTGCGAACCAGCCCCCCTGTGCTCAACAAGAAGACAGGCATTGATTATTGGGAATCATTCCCTCTCGATACTGTCGAGAATATCCGCAAATGGCAGAACGACTGCGCCGCGCACTCCGGTGCCGCCAATGGTCAGACTCAATCGCTTAGGAACTCAATTGATGATTCTCAATCACATACGAATATCCTCGCCGCTCTGAATCACGGCCCCAGTCACTCGCGACCCGCTTCAGTCGACCTCTCTCGCCATGGCCATGGCCACAACCACTCGCATTCACAATCCGCCCCTTTCCGGTCCATGAGCAGCGACTCGTACCGCTCCGGCGCCAGCACCCCCATCCACATGCCTCAACACTCCCACTCGCAACCATCCCTCCCGACCACGTCGGGCTCCCAGCAACAATCAAGTCAACAGCAAACGTCAACACCGAACTGGCAATCCCTTACCCTCTTCTCACCTAACACCACCACAAGCTCACCTAATGTCACATCCAGTCCTTCTGCTGGCACTGGCGCCGGTGTCGGTGCCGAAGCGTTATTACTGCAGAGTTTCGCCGACTCGAGTTGGGCACAGGCGCAGACGATGAATAGTGGAATGGGTATGGGCGGGATGGGAAATGGTTTATCCGTCGAAAGTGGGCCGATGGAGGTCGACACTGGATTCTTCTCGAGTGACATGCAGAGACGGTTATTCTGGTAGTAGGGGTCGATAGATTATGACATTGGGACGGAGCGTTTGCAAGTCGGGTCTTGAGCAATCAACTATGGCGGACTGGAGTTCAGGGTAAACCGGGACACGATTGTGCTTCTGCTACTTGCTTGCGCGTGCAATGGGTGATTCATCGCCACTTGACCAGCTGAAGCTGGGTGCCGATTCGAACTGGGGTATGGAGCAGATGGAGCAGACTGAAGGCGATGCCGATGAGGCTTATGATATCTCCGGTCCCGCTGCGTTCAAGGAGCTTCGAACATTACCAAACCGTTCAATACTCCGTAGTCCATACTTCCACTCTAACATCTCGGCACGAGGCTGTTTTCACGTACTGTGCTATATCGTGATAAGAGTGTTGACCCTTTACGTGCCGGGCTATATCATGCCAAAAGGACATTGATCCAGCCAATTGACTTCTGTGTCGGGCCGTCCTTACTTCGTCTCTACTAATTAAACATAACACAAACTGGAACGGACGTCCCCGCATACATTGCGCAGTCAGTCCACTTGGAGGGAGATGGAGCAGGGCTAGAAACGAGCGAAAGACAAGATATATAAAGTAGCCAGCTACTGACCGTACTCAGTGAGCTACTGTAGCTACACTAGCTAGCCGTATGAAGGACGGGAGGCTCCAAAACACGCCCTAATGTTTACTTAATGTAGTGAACACTTGACGCGCCCATTTGTATTGAATACGGAATTGACTACTCCGTACTCCTTATAGGGCCCGACAATCATTTCATTGTGTACATTACCGTACCTAGCACGCAACGGTACAGCACCGGTTTCGACTGTCGCGAATCCTCGTCCGCTACATACGCTACATACTAAGGTCGAGTCCGTGGACCATGCATGGTACTTTGTCTCAGTGACTTGCCAGTCAGATCTCGAGAATAATTGCTGCGCTGCGCTGCGCTGCGCTAGGCTGCACTGCACTGCACTGGTTTCTGTCTCGTTTCCTGACCGTCATACCCCGTATCACTGACATGCATGCTCTAATGTAGCTAGCTAGCTAGCTAGCTAACGCTGCCGTCTCCCTCGTCGTCGGGCTCGAGGTCCCTCATCCGCTGGATGACCGAGCTCACGTCGCCGGTCCATATATTCTCGCTGCAAGACATCGAGACCGTACTCGATGGCGAAGTTTCGGGTGCCCGTGCACAGACCCTGCCAACTTCGACTGGCCGACCGTTCCCTCTGGCGCCGGCTGCGATATCCGTCGGGCAACCCGGCCTCGTTGTCCTCGTAGTCGGCATCGGCGGCGGTGCTGTCGCGGTAGTGGGATCGTGATTCCCGTCTCCCCTGCCTGCGACGCATGTCGTCTTCTCGGCCTTCGAGGAGGAAGTCGAGCTCGGCGTCCGCGTCGGTACGACGGACCGGGAAGCGATCTCGCCAGCTGTAGTCCAGCTCGGTGTCGTCGCGGTACTGGCCGCGGGGGAGGGCACGTTCCCACCGCTCGTAGAAACCCAGCTCGTCTCCGTCGTAAGTGGCGAGACGGCGGCGGTGGCGTCTGTTGTGGAAGGAGTCTCGTGGGATGCGGGTCGGGGCGTAGAATCCGTCACTCTCGTTGGATGACGACCACGCGTACCGTCCGCGTTGTGGGTTGAAGGCCCTCCCGCTGCGGTAGAGGTTCGTGTGCCGGTGTGAGTCGAGGTCCCGGCCACGGTCGGTGTAGTCGCGGGATAGGTTGCTTCGACGGTCGCGGTCGCGCGACGGGATTGGTGGTCTGGAGAAGGAGTCGTTGCTCGAATACGTCCAATCTCTGGGTCGGCGGCCTTGGTGGCCATGACGTTCCGGTTCGCCACAGTATCCCGAGCTTGAGTCGCTACAAGGCATGCTGAGGTAGTCCGCTCGTTGTGTCTTCTCGGGTAGAGAGTCTCAGGGGGTTAGGAGAGAGCTGGAGATTCGAAGCTCCAGCCCACACTGGTCCTCTCTCCTGCGTTTGCTGTGGTCATTGCAGTGATCCTAGGTTTTGATGTATATCAGTGAACGATCAGACTGGTTTGGCAATGTGTCCCAGGACTCGTGGAGTGCTGTTCCGCCATCACCCTGGTCTTTGAGTGATAGAGGGTGAAAGCGTGAGGATCTCTGAATATCCACACCCAGCACCTGGTGATCCGGAGCTGTTGGCATGACTTGTGCATTCCGTGAGGCCGACGAACTGGAACGGTGGAGTTTGTCTCCTGCTTTGATAGACAGCTCCTCTCCCACGGATTGAGTCGCTGGATAAGAGTGAAAGCAGGTGTCAATCGCAAGCGCCATGAAGGCAAACCCGGAGCGAGCGGCTCACATGGAGTGCAAAAATAGTGTCCCACTAAATGACGACCTTCTCTTCATCTCAGGATGCGGCTCTTCACAGCCACGTTTTAAGATCACATGACATTGTCGGTGACAGGTGTGAATATATTTTATTCCACCAGAAATGCTCCCAACAATTCCTCGCTGGTTGAGATCAAACTAGCATCGGCTAGCAGGCGTGCCAGTGACGAATTGTCGAGAACCCTTCGACTCCGAATCCGACACCGACACCGAACTAACGACCGATATCGAAGACTCGTTCCTAACCGGCCACTTCGACCGAAGCCGAAGTACCAAAAATGCGTTTGCCTACTTGACAGCTATAGTCAAATCGGCGCCTATCCGAGGATGGGCGTGAGATGGGGAGTAGTCCTGGTTCGCCAAAACCGGATATAGCCCGATCAAAGTGTGGGATCTGTCATGAAAGCTCGAAACAACCTCTTCTATGAAGGAAGAAGTTGTAGTAGAGTTTTTGTCCTCTGTTCGATTGTGCCGAATTCTTTTTTGCCTTCGAAGGCGCGCAGGAAGATTGCGGGCTGTTCCTTCACCACCCACCAAGAGATTTCTTAGTGAAGTGAGGCGTCGTAAAGGTTTGTTGCGCACAGATATCGAGCTCTCTCCGCAGATTGGCACACGATATTGTACCATACTGAATAACGCTGGTCGGACACGGTCTCTTCGGGCAATCTCATATCTGCAGTCAAAGCGGTTCGTACTCAAGTGCGCGGTTCAAAGGTGCCTGTTTCCAGGTTTCTGAAGTCGGTCACGGCGGATTCCCCAAATCCGGTTCCCTTGGGTCGGCTTTTTGGTGTTCAGTGTCGCAGTCCCAGCGAAAGGGCTATAGGCTCAGTACTAAACATCATTCAATGCTCCCGCCTTCATGTAAATGAACTCGCGATCTTGCTCCTAGCTCGGATCTTCGGTCCATAGAGCACCAGCACCCAAGGTACCAGGGTCAAGGCCAAGCCAATGCCACCTAGCAAACTGCTTGCAGCCTGAAACCCCAAGTTCGTGAACAATTGATTCGTCACTAGTGGGAAGGAGCCGCCTAGCAAGTTCCGGCAGAGGCCCGAGGCAGCTAGCGCTGAGCTTGCATAGATATGGTAGCAATCAGCGGTATAGTTGAAGGTTGCCAGGAAGATGCTGAAGATGCCCATGGTTGCTACGCCCACAGCAATGGTTGGCACGATCCAATGTATGGACGGATAGCATGTCCAGCCGAACCAGAAGAGTCCAATAGGCATCAGTGCCGATTCGATGCAGGTGAACATAAGTCGTCCCTCTGGACTACCGTTGACCTTCGCAGGGTAATGCTTAGCAGCCCATCTTTCCTGCCAGATGCTCAGGATGGTAGAAATGATCGCCCCGACACACATTGATATGAACACCAGTCCAGTATGCTCAAGAGAAAACCCATAGCTGACTTCGAAGACGAGGGGAATGGATCCGAACTGTAGGTAAAGCACCGCCCAGGAGAAGGCGATCCATAGACTGAACCAGAAAACCACAGGCTCGGTGAACAGCATCGTTATCGGCCTGTACAGCGAGACGACGATCATCTTGCCCAGCGAGGCTCTCTCTTCATCGGCTTTGACCTTCCATCGGATGCGGCATGTTCTGTTCCTCCTTTTCTCCGGATCTGTGCTGTCTACCTCCATGCCGAGAGCGCCAGCTTCTTCGAGCTTCTCATACCACTTGTTCAGCATCTTTGCCTTGCGGCTGAGGATGATGCTGCCGCGGGTCTCTTTAAAGAAGACCGTCACCAGCGCTACCAGCGTGCCGCTGGTCATCACCTGGATCCAAAATACCCACCGCCACAGAAGGCGCTGTGCCACGAAGCCGCTCACCAATGGGCCGAGGCCAGTGCCGAAGAGTGTGGCGCCCGTGAAGAGCACCATTGCCCAGTTACGATCCGCGGTAAGCCAGATGTCGGCCAGAATTCCGCCGACCATGGTCGAAAAGGTAGATCCTCCGACTCCGAGGAATAATCTGGCCAACAACATTCCTGCAAATGAGTCGGTCACCGCGCAGCATATCTGACATATAACGAAAAGGAGGCCTGTGACTACGAATACAGGTCTGCGGCCATTGATCTCGGAGAAGGGGGCCAGTATCATCGGGGCGATCCCAAACCCTACTGTGAAGATAGTGATGCCCGTTTTGTATGCCACGGCAGAGATGCCCCATTTCCTCGTCAGTTGGAGTGTTGGCGAGGCATAAGACCCGGCGGAATAGGCGGCTGCGATGTTGACTGAGCACGATAGGTATGTCATGAGTTTCTTCCGTGTCAGCGACCACGCAAGAGGGTTGTCGTAGTCCTTGAGGTTTGGGCATGGTGGCATTTCAGCCTTGTTATCGGGCGGAAGGACGGGCTTCAGCGGGATGTCTGTTTCGAAGGTCAAGTAACGGTATTCGATGTCGTCCGGCTCAGGTGACCCTGGTTCTCCTTTCGAAATCGGTACTTCAGCCTCGTCGACATTCTGCGCTGCCACCTCCACGGCGCCATCTTCGGCTAACGGGATCATGACATTTTGGTCCGATGCCGCGTCGTTCGTCTGTGGGATTTGACCCTGATGCATTGCAATCGAATACGTCAATACTTCCCGTTGCAGACGACCGCCGCCGAGCCGTTGTGTTTGTGGTGTGGAATCAAATCGCTCATCTCAGAAAGAAGTCTGGATGGCAGGTACCAAGGGGAGACGAGGTACTAGGAATAATCTGAGAGTTACAAAAGGTTCAATATTGGCTTTAGTGGTATTTCCGACCGACAGCTACGCTCTCTGGCTAGTAGCTCGTCCATCTCCCCGCGGTGATCTTCTGCATGTGCGGAGACCTTACCGAGGTGAATCGAGGCCATAGACATGGGGAGGAGAAGCTGACTCCGGAGACGTGCTGATGAATCATGTGCGTATGTCGGACCGGAAAGCTTCTATATGCAGGACGAGCGTATACTTCAACGTGGGCTGGCTGGGGGGATGAGAGGATGGTGAAGTTGCATACAGTAGAATGTGACTGGAAGAAAAAAAGTCGGCGAGCGACAGCGTCCGCCGGACTTAATATCCGGCTCCACGGCTTCACGACTCCGAGTGTTATCTTATCAACGCGTCGCCGACCGTGGGCAAGACGCGTCGCATCCAGCACAGAGCGTATGGCGTGCTTCTCGTGCATAAGAAACTTGGGCATATTGTATTGGACGTGGGATGTGAGGTCTAACAAACCCAACAGTCTACCGTGCCTAAATTCTGGCTCATCAACTGTGAGTGACAGGCGCCCGATCAGCCACATTTTCAACTCGTGGTGATGTAAGAGCCCGGAAAACGTCATGATTTCATAACTGGAGCATTCACTGTTGCCCCTGGCAAAAATGCCTGGCAAGCTCCGAGAGCTTCTTAAGGTGCTTTAGCTGCTCTCTCTTCACAGTGACTCCGTTATTTGCACGTCCAACATATCCTGCACCCAGAATTGCAGGTCTACTGATTGTATATTTGACAAAGACGGTGCTCAAAGTCCAGAACCTCCAGTATGGCGTCGAAACCGGCGAGCTCCTCCAAAGAGATGATGAAGAACAAGAATGGTGAGAGTCATCCTCTCAAAGCTCGTCGAACCTCGCTAACTTACTCAGTGGCCGGTGGCCCGCTGGGCGCACACTCCAAGGACCCTCCGGTCGGCTTTTACCGCGACGGCTACTGCAGGACTGGTCCTGAGGACAAGGGCAATCACTCGATAGCGGCAACAGTAAACCAAGAGTTCCTGGATTTCACAAACTCAAGAGGGAACAACTTGAGAGAAGCGGGCGTCAAGGACGGAATGAAGTGGTGTCTCTGCGCTCACCGATGGAAAGAAGCCTTTGACGCTGCACAAAAAGGGCAATTATCACAATCGGCTGTCCCAAAGGTCGCTTTGCATGCTTCACACGAGGACGCTCTGAAGGAAGTGAAGTACGGCGATCTGAGTAAATATGCTTCTGGTGGAGAAGCGGCGAAAGAGGGCACCCGAAATAGACAGGGCGCCCATGCAGACCCGGAGCAGCCTTCGCATAGCGTTGCAAAAGAGTCAAGTGACTTGAAGGGCCAGTCGCAGCCTCAAAAGGTCGGAGGATGAATGTGCCCTTCGACGGCGTGAGCTGAGTGTCAGTGGAGGACGAGGGTGGCGAAGAACAGGCGGATCTTGATGTGCATATGCATCTGCGCCGTATGTATAGATGCTCGGCCGTTGTACTCTAGGCCGAGGTGCGACTCTGCCGTGTCCGCCATGTCAATCAATCATCAAATGCCTTTCAAGCGATACCTGCATCGTCACTTCCCGACGCTCACTCACTCGACTGAGGTTCACCCTTGATGTATTCCGAGATTTAGCTTTGACGAACAGGACTCATTGAGCAACTTCAGCTTGAACGGGATTACAACTAATTACGTCTCTCCCAACCTCAATTCGCAATCGTCTCAACATCTCACGCGACTTCGAAATTCCGCCCTCTCCGCACCTCATTTTCGGCAGAGATCGAGCGACGATATCTATGCCTCTCATGCTTTGAAAGGGGCCTAGGAGAATATCTGTGTAGACAGCGTGCTAGGGTGAGCGCGCACCTGGCGCCATGTCGGACTCTGTGGGTATGTAGTTGTCCTCTCCTTTGCAACCCCTACCACCACCTGCCAGTCTGACACTTTTCCGACATAGACCGCGTATTTGTCCACGCGCTAGCCACGGTCCGACGATTACCACGCACTGGCTCTTCGCGGCCACCTCCTTCAGCCCGTCTACGTCTCTATGGCCTCTACAAACAGTCTATGGAAGGAGATGTGGAATCTATTCTCCCCCGACCGACGGTCCCCTCAGTTTCTCCAGATCCGAACAACTCAAAGTCAAATAATGTCCATCGCTATGCCTCCCGAGACCTAAGGGTGCGAGAAGCCGAGGCAGAAATAGAGAAATGGGACGCATGGCATGCTTGCGCCGGCATGAGCCGCACAGAAGCCAAACGCCGGTACATCAGCACGCTGATAGAGACGATGAAGGAGTATGCCAGCGGTACGCAGGAGTCCCGCGAACTAGTGGCGGAGTTGGAGTTCGTCTGGAATCAAATCAAGAGCCAGAGTGGCAGTTCGGAGGATGAAGACGCAGACTCACCCACCCGACGGCTAGAGCGTGCCGGCTTGAAACAGATGACCAGCTTCGGAAGTATACCTCCCGGGCAAAGTACTGGAGGCGAAGGTGGAAGTCTAAGCAGGATGAACTCGGATCCGAATCGATTGAGGGTGTTGTCACCGGTATCACAGCGAGACAGCGAGGATATAGTGGAAGGTGAGGAGGTGGATCCAGCAACAGGTGCTCTGGTTGGGCCTCTTTCATCGTCAAGGCCTGTCTCTTCCGACCCGGACTGGAAGAGTCGCATCGATTCTCACCTGCGACATCTATCGACCGAAGTCGCCGCACTCCGTGAACAACTGTCACAGAATAAACTCCTGTCCTCGTCGTCATTAGACGGCACTTTTACATCCCGGCGGCGGCGGATACTTCATCGAACATCGGCCTGGATCAAATGGCTAGCATGGGTGCTCATCCGGCAAATCCTTGTTGACGCAGGCTTGGTCTGCCTCTTCATCCTCTATGCCAGAGTGAAGGGACATAAAGATCGCCGAGTGGAAGATTGGGCCCGACGGCGGTGGAAGGACGCGACACGATTTCTTGCCGAAATGAATGGCTGGCTGAGAGGATCAATATCCGCGGTACGGATACCTGGGCTGAAAAGTTGAATCGCACTAAGAGTGAGACACAGAGCAGTCTCTGTCTGATCCTTGCGTCTCAGGATCAGGCACGTCTTCAAACGGTCGCACGAGATTTTCTCTCTCATTACACGACGGAAACAGCTGAGATGTTTGGGGCTGGCGGCGAGCTGAATGGCGGGATTTGACAAGCCCAGCGAGAGCAAGGAGGTTAGAATCAGTCCCTGCGGTTGGATCCTGCACAGATTCGGCTCTCTCGCGAAGGTTACTCCCAAGGAGGAGAGCATGCCGCCGCCTTGGACTCATCGATACTTCGTTGAGAAGCACTTCAGAATAACATGCTCCCGAATTCTTGTCGAAGCCACATCAGCTTGTCTTCAGCTGCTTTACAACAAGCTACGCCATGGGCCTGGGACTTTTACTGTCGCGAATCACGGACATGCGAGTCTCGATGAAAAGTCATGATTGGAAAAAGCGGAACTATACGCGACATACGATGAGACGCCGATATGGATAAGGACACATGGGACACGTGGGCTTAGACATTCCCGATCTCAGATCCCCGGTCTCCAGAGGAGCGCCATAATAACTAGATATACTTGAGCTGACGTCCACATCGAATGTTCCTCACTCCTACAGGACATTGTCATAGGCGTGCATATCTTATCCCCGCCTTACTGATTGATCTATGACAACTTGCCTGCATATCTATCCTAGCCCTACTCCGTACTTGATCGAACTTGACCTATCCCATACTTCCAGCCTTGCTGTAGGGCATGTACCATACTCGGTATACAACAATCGTACCATCCATTCTACACACTCCACTACTGGTGAACAGCCAGCCAGCCAGCCAGCCAGCCAGCCAGTCATTAACAAAGCAGCAACGCCACAAAGCCACTAGCCTTCTGTACAAGCACCATACTTTCTCGAAGCCAGCAGTTACCTACCTGGTACCAAGTCACCAACCAACCAGTTCAAAGTTGTAGATCTGTTTCCACCGCCTACCGATTGACAGACGTGGTGTCGGGTGGCGACCGGTGTTGTTCTTTATGTACTTTTGATACTCCGTAGACTCCTGGTAGTCACTAGGTAGTTACCGCGAGAATGAATAAATACGTAAGCACGAGAACCAGCACCGAGATGGCGTCGCGATTTCTAGCAACAAGCCGACGCAGTACGTACGTACGTACCTATCGTGGTAGGCACATATAAACCGGGCTCTTTACCTGCCTGTCTGCCTGTCTGTCTGACGGCCTGTCTGTCTGACGGCCTCTCTGCTTGCCTCTTTACCTACCCACCTATTTATCTACCCACTATTCATCTACCTATCTATTTACCTACCTACTAGCTAGCCAGATATCTACCCAGCTATCCAGTCCACGCCAATGGATCAAGTCCTACCTTGTAACCCCAATTCTAAACCCCCCACTCAGCATCCTCTCCCAGATTCCCCCGGGATCATACCGCCTCTGCACGTCCCTTACGAGGTCCACCATTCGATAACTACCTCCCTTGTTGTCTCCTTTGCACCGGTGTCGAAGCATAGCCCACACGTCCTGGTCCGATGCCGCGTAATTGCCGTACCGGAACGGATGGAGGGCGTTGTTCGAGGACCGTGCTAGATCTTCGGCGCGGGAGAGAATGTCGTTCAGTAGGGAGGTGTACCGTTCTGTGTTTGTTTCGTTGAGATAGTGGATTTCGAGGGAGAGTACTGAACGATTCCTTGTGTTAGGTAATTTGATGAGGGCGATGTATTGGAGGAGTCTTGGGTAGAGTGGACTTGACTAAGCGAGCGAGGGGGCAAGATTAGGATTAGATGTGATGAGGTTGGATGGGTATGACTGAATGGGCTTGGGCGGGATAGGATGGGTATGGGATCAGTACGGTATTTGCTGGGTAGACACGGAGAGAAGGGTCCCACGAGGGATGCAAAATATCGACATAAGATGAAAAGGCCCACACATCAGCATATGTTGTCATGGGCACGCGGAGCACAGAGCACGGAACAAGGACATCGACCTCGTCGTACATGGACTTACGTATCAGAGCCTCGTCCTCCTCATTCAGGAGCATGAGGTTTCTGTGCCCTCGTCCTTCTTGTACTTCTTGTGCTTCTGCTTGTCCTTGTCCGTGTGCCTGAGCTTGATTCCTCGCGTACCGCAAGTGAGGCAGCGTCAGAGGCTGGACGAGCATCCCGGCTTGGAGAACCGCTTCGCCGCGTGTGAAAGCCTCGTCTTGCAGAGCCGTCCTGACGAGATCGGTGATCTGCGCGAGTAGCGTGGGATCGTTCCGCACCGTCATAGTGGTTTTGTAGATTCTGTAGAAGCCAGACGGTGATCAGTTTCACTCTTACAACCTCGTCATATCGGGTATTTCTGGCGCTGGAGCGGCCGTCATTGATGAACCGTCAAAGCTACAGGGCACAAAACCTACCGGTACCCATAAGGATTACTCATTTCCACGAGCTCGGCAATGTCACTCATGGTTGATCTCCATGTCGAGGTGGATAGAGTTGGAATATCCAAAAAGCGTTGCCATAGTGGTGGGACAAGGAGGTTCTCGTCTGTGGTATCAACTTGTTTCTCCTCCGGCGGAACTAATCGCGCCAGCATGAGCATGTACACTGTGTTGTTCTGCCCGGGGTTGTTTAGCGTAGTGTCGAAGCCTACAGAGAGGTCCGCCGACGCGGAGTTGGGGTCCAGGTGGGCGTTTTGCGTGAGGTCACTGAGCGCACGGAGCACCGTGGGGATGTACTCATGGGAATACTGCAGGAGGGAGACGTGAAGAGGACCATTAGTCGGGAAGGTCTTGATGCGGAAGCGGGTGGCAATACCGAAATTGTTGGCCCCTCCTTTGAGGCAGGTGAAGAGGTCGGGGTGTATTGCCGCGGATGCGGTAATGAGGGTGCCGTTTGCCAGGACGACCTGGAATGATAGGGAAGAGTAAGTACAAAGTTGAGGTCAGTGGTGGCTGACAGAACATCTCACCTCGATCGACTCGACAGAGTCGGCGCCCCAGCCGTACAGGCTTGAGAATAGGGAGATGCCACCTTGGTCGGCCTCTTATCAGCGTTGCGTCCCGCTATAGGAGAAGGAGTGCTTATATACCACCGAGCAGGTACCCGCCCACGCCGACCGATGCAGCTCTTCCGCCCGTGACCGTTAGACCAAAAGCATCAAGAACCCGGTAGACATCGAGCCAACGAGTTCCAGTCCCAACATCCACATAAGACTGATCAGAAGCCAGTGATATGGAATCCAGGGCAGAAAGATCCAGCGTGATCCCGTCATCGACGTTCGAGGCGCCAGATGCAGTTGCATGTCCGCCACTCGAGATGGCAAACTTCACATCGTCGCCGAACTCAACGAGCTGCGACACCAGAGTGCCGACTTCCTCGCTCGTCGTAGGCGATATGCGACATGATGGCGTGAAGTCTGCCTGATTGGAAGCCCAGTATCGGGCCTGTTGAGACTGGTACTGTCTATCGGCAGGGAATGTGACAAGAGATGGGAAGCGTGTTGCCAGCGTGTGGCACTAAATGGCTGGTCTCAATGACTTGACTGTGAGGGAGAGAAGCGGCAAGGATGGGGTGGTGAAACCTACTGCTACTGGGGCGGCTTTAGGCTGAGAGTTTATCAGTGGAAGTTGCTCCTCTTGTGCCACGCAGACAAGGGCGAAGATGGCAATGATGGAAATCAAACTTGAAGCCCCATGGTCCCAGATCAGATACATGTAGTTCATCAATGTGGTGGTGGTAGAAGGAGGAGGGTTGAAGTTGATGAGCCGGTGATGGAACTGGCTGATAAGCATTTGCCAATCGTCCTGATACAAGGCTGGCTTGGCAGTATCAATATTGCAAAGAGACAGCGGACTCAATGTCCTTCTCCCGCAGGTAGGATGTCATCTTAGATCGAGAGGAGATGAGACCGAGTGCGACAGACTAGAGCGTCGAGTCAGGACGCTATACACACAGAACTCTTCAGTTAGTAGGTGAAACTACGACTGCACACCACGCAAGGTAGTAACGGACCACGTCTGTGGCATTGCGAAAAAATGAACAGGAAGATCCAAAGTCCGCGAAGGTTGGCGGCAGATGCCTTCTACCTCAAGCGAGCTGGATGTGACAATCGCCGGAAGACTCCCTGGCACAGCACGTCGTCTGTCGACGAGTTGGCTCAGCTGCTGATTCTCTTACCTGAATTCCTTCCTGACTCCGGCATCAGACGACAGACAGTAAGCCTTGTGAGTTACTTGATGACACACCTTTAAAATCGTCGGACTGTACGAGTAGGCGTCACCTTTTAACGGTCTCTATAAGTTGCCCGCATTTGGTGTGTTCTGCTACGTGAACCCGATCTTTCCAAGACAACACCCGCCAGCCCAACCATATCATTCATTCGTCATCATCGCTATCGAATATCCTCCTGGTCCTCTTCCTACTCCTGGGATTTGGCTTCGGGGTATCCTCCGTCTCGCTTCTCGCTGTCGGTATATTTCGAGAAGCTGGCAAAGAGTCATTGTGACCTTCATCAGCCCGAGCCCGCCTTGCCTTCTTGTCCGAGACCAAATCCTCGAGATCGGGCAACTCATCGTCCATGGCATCATAATCAATACTCTCTTGTGATACGAAGAAGCGTTTAGTGACGCTTGCCTCTCTTCCGGTGGCCAAAATCGGCGACACCGGCGACCGCAGAGAAGCCAGAGAGGAAAGATCATCTTCGAGCCCTCTTTCGTCCCCTGGGGATCCGCACTTCCTCCGCGGCACAGAACCTGGTGAACTCCCAACACCTTCATCGTCGTCATCGATGAAACTGTCATTGCCGTCATATTGCCCTACAGAGCTGCTTCGAAAAGTGCCACTAGTGGGGCCAGTGAAATTGAAAGATTTGAGCTTCGCTTTTGACCTCGACAGAGAGGCCTCACTGTCTGATTCAGCCTCAGTGCCTTCAAATACAGGCGTCGTGGCGAGCGGGAGGCGAGACTTCGTGTTCATCTTTTTCGCAGAGGACTTGTTGGCTGACGTCGTCGGCTTCGCTTCCGAGTCCAGACAGAGATCATCGTCCTCGATCTCTTCACACTTTGTTGGGCGTTCCCAGTCTCTGTTGGGAATGTTCATTGCTTTGTAGGCCCTAACCAACGTTTTGGTCTTCTTCGAGTGCTTGACAGAGCACGTCCTTCCAAATCGGCGTTGCTGCTCTGGATAAGCGTCGAATCGGACGAACTGAATGTACTCGTCCTCGGGCCCGGCTAGTCGAACATAACGGTCTTCAAGCTGTCGCTCTTGCGTCTCGGACAATAGTGGCTCGTTCACTGAAGGCAACAAAGCCGGTTCGTCAATTCTCTCAGGCTTTGTTGTGATTGTCCCCTTTTGCTTCGCTTTGGATTTTTTGTCACCCTTGCCCAGAAAAGCGAAGCCCGTCTCGACGCCATCCGGCATGTGGAATTTCTTTGGCGGCTTTTTGGCATTTCTTGCCCTCCTCCGTGTCGGCTCGACAGAGCCAGGCTGGCTGTTCTCAGTGGGTATCTCAATGACCCTCTTATCGACCTCCGGCACAATCTCTTTGGGCACAATCCGTGGAGACAGTTCGTCGCGGAAATTGAACTCCTTGCCACTGGCGATCTTGGCCTGCATCTTTTGGTAGTTGTCTTCGGATTGTGCAAAATCCTGCTCTTCCTTGCCACGCATCATGAGCAGCACGATATTTCCAGCCCGTTTGCGGCCCGTACGGCCCATGCGCTGAAGCATGCGAATAGGCGATTTGGAGCAATCATAGCATACGATAAGGTCGACCTCTCCGATGTCGAGACCTTCTTCTCCGATCGATGTTGCCACAATAGTGTTGTACTCTCCTGCCTTGAACTTCTGGATGATATCGAGCTGTGTCTTTTGGTTCATACCTTCTGAGCCACCCTTCGAACCGGATTGACCGACGAATACATGAGCTCGGATCATTGGACCGTGGCGATTGAGGACTCTCACAATCTCCTCAGCACTGTCACGATAATGTGCAAACACCATGATTCTTGTGTTGGTAGGCTCGGAAGCAGTCCGTGCAGTGCCCTCGCCAGCGTTCATGAAGTGGTTGAGCACGACCCTTTTCAGGTAACTCAGCTTCGGATGCCCCTCGAAGTCGGGGTCATTTATCCACAACGCCAGCCGATTCATCATCTTCTTGAAGTTCTCGTTGTCGGTGATTTGTTTGGCTGTCTTGCCACTACCGGCGTCTTGAACGAACATTTTCATTTTGTGGTAGAACGGTCCAATACCATGGTACTTCAACAGTTCGATGTTATGAGCCAAGCTCATCAGAACCGTGGAGATTGCCTTGATCATGCCCTTGACTGACTGAGGGGCCCTGCGGCCTGCTTCGGACGACTGCCACTTGTCCCAGGACATCTTTAGACCGAACAGCGTGATCCTTGTGGGATCCTTACCCCACGCAGCCCCTTGAGAGTGCAACTTGTTCAAAAGCGGTTGAAGAGTGGCCGCCAACAGCTCCAGCACCATCGTCATCTCCTCTGAATTCTCAAATACCTCGGTTTGGACGTTCCGGTTGTGGACAAAATCACGAATGTCAATTGAGTCCTCGGTCCTGATCTCGACTCTAGCGATCCCCAGACCATCAATAACTTCCTGCACTGTCTCGACATCCTTGCCCGGCGTTGCTGTAAGAGCCAGAACTCGAAAACTAGAGTTGAATCGTCTCAGGAACTTGACGACTTCGACATATGCATAACTGCCGGTTGCCTTGTGTGCTTCGTCGACGACAACCAGAACGACCTTTTTCGGATCACAATAGCCATGTTTGAGGTCGTTTACGAGAGTTTGAGGTGTCATGAAGAAGACTCGTTTCTCTTGCCATTCTTCTGCTCGAATTGCTGGCGAAACCTCGCCCGTCAGCATGGTAGTCTGTGATCGAGGGATACCAGCAATGTTGAAGCATGCATCAATCTGTTGTGACACCAGCGGTTTCGTTGGCGCAACGAAGATTATCTGCGCATGCTTCGTCCAACGGTACCAGTTCAGCATGACTGTTGCCGCTATAAAGGTCTTCCCCAGGCCGGTAGGCAGAGCGACCAAGACATTGTGGAATAATCCCTTGTGGACGATATTGTATTGATAGTCCCGGATTCTGCCAAGGTTGGTGGGGTACACCCAGGTACCCATTGCATTTCGGTCGATCTCATGGTGGGTTGGAGGTTCATTCCGGTTCGCCAGAGGCCAATTATGGGCTCTGGACTGCGTTTGCGTGCGAGGTGGCTCCGGTTGAGTGGTATGAATTCCGTGTAAGGTGGTTTGTCGGAAAGAGGAAGATCTCTGCAACTGTTGACGCGGAGCCAAAGCGTGGGTAGGTTTGCTTTGATGAGAGCCTCCGCCGGTATCTCCGTTAGCAGGGAGATTGATGTCGTTCGCCGCCAAGCCCTGGTGTTCGGCATCGACATCATCAAGGGCTGCTAAAAGCTCTAGCTCATCAGTGTCATCGACATCAAACTCATCGTCGGTTGGGAGAGCTTGAGGCGCGGGGCGACTTGACGCGTAGGTGGGTGGCAAGCTCTTTAGAGGAGAAGGTGATGGTGAAGGGGTTTTCCGTGGTTTCATCCATCGAGGACCTCGGATCCGTGAGGGACTGGAGTATTGCTGCGTTAATTGGGTAACAAAGGTGTCGGGATGGCTTTCTCCAGCAGGTACGTAGATGCGGTCATCGTATTTAGACTTCTTGTTCTCTTTGCCCTCGCCCTCTGGATGTGCTGGCAAATCATAGTCGTTCTCTTGTGTACACGGGTTGCTCAAATCAGGATCGAGCCGACGGCGTTTGCGCGAACGAGGGATACGCTCAGATTGCGAACTCGGCACCAGGACATCCGAGCTCTCTTCTGCTTCATCATCTAGGAAGTCCATAGCGTCGCATTTTGCATCACATGCTGGGCTTGCAACTGTCCATGAATATTGATGAGACTTGGAATGAGGTGGAAGGTGAGGTTGAAAAGCGCGCGTAAAGCTGAACGCGTGTCCACGTGTCGTTGGTTTCGGCATTGTTGCTGGAAGTGCAACTGCTACGGCGCAGCACAAGGCGATTCCAGGGAAGTTCAGAACGCCCTCATCCCCTTCTCGCCCTTTCATCATCCTGCTCGTTCGACCAATCTTGAGGCTTACTCAGTAGTCCCGTAACACCCTCCACCTGTCGGCAAGTCCACTTCATTGAATCATAAGAGAGCGTGTAGTGGACGCACACAGGATCCGAACACCCACCACATCTCCTCTTCCTCTCGAGCCACCATCATGCCGTCAAGCCGCAACCTCCCAACACGCGAGCCGTGTTGGACTGGACAGCAGAGAGAATAGTACCCGAGCCTATTAAAGGCAGCTGGATCTACAAGGTTCAAACAGATTACAGCAATAGAGATTCGATCTTGACGATGCTGTTGAGTCTCGACAGTGAAGGCAACACTGCGAAAATGAAAACTAACAACTACCATTAAGATGTACGTTTGCACTAATCCGGCACTATATATGTGTACATAACGAATGTGTAATTCGATGTGTCAGGCACATGGCGTCGATATACCCCGTCCGACCGACTGACTGAACAAAGCGCCCGAGCTGGTTCGTGTTCATGGTCCTTTTTGCAGTCTGTGCCTACTTTTTCCCCTTTGTGGGAAATGTCGTTCCCTCCTCGCTTCGTGATGGCATACGCCGTCATCACTGTGCCAGCTCCCGAAGTGGCAGATATCTAGAACAGCCGGACTTTCGGCTTGTTCAGTCTCTTCAGCATATTCGGCTTCATCAGATCTCTCTTCGACATCTTTCTCTTCTCAGGCACGGCCGAGCAGTCTGTGCCGCCTGAGTTCCAGCAGTCCAGTGCGTCAGTGGCGGTCGACTCCTCGAAGGTGTAGCAAGTATAGAACCACTGAGCCGCTACCGTGGCATCGGCGTCTGGCAACTCATCGTCGCAGAGAATACATTCAGCCGCGGCATAGAGGCCAGACTCATCACCCAAAGCCTTGGTACCACAGGCACACTTGATGGGGGCGGTGTCGGTAAAACTTTCGCCAGTCGCGACAGCCGGATCGGTCGTGTTGGAGCAATACTCGAGGATGATATACCAGTCGATGCAAGGATAGACTGCGGGGCACGGAATCTCGTCTTCACTGCCGCTGCCACCCGAAGAGGTCTGTGGGATGGCGGCCGCAAGACCGACCACCAACGAGACTGTGACAATAAAGGTAGACAAAAGCTTCATTCTGCAGGTGGCCACGTCAGGCTAGAAGACGCGGTGTTGGAGGGAAAAGACCAACGTACTTGAATGCTGGACAGTTACAGAGGCGCCTCGTGAAAGGAATGGGCTAGTTGGGAAGCTTGCTGGGAGAATTCGAAGGAGTCGAAGTCGTTGTAAGTCTGTCAGGAGTGAAGGACAAGGAAGCTGGAATTAGGCCTTGAGTGTTTTATATACTCGTTCCGGCCGAGACTCGCGCGGAGTGAGCAGTATGATGAGGTTCTGGTGTTGGCCGCATGAGGCAGTGTGAAGGACACCCTTCTCGATGCACGTTGTACAAATAACATAACCAGATGAAGAGTACGAGATTCCAGCCCCCGAACGTGCGCATTGCGACAGACACAAGATTTCAGAGCGTGCCAGCCTGATTGAGCGAACGGATACGGCATCAGCTTCGGACCAGCTCTCTGGGACGTGCAGCACCAAGACCAAGGCAGACTCGAGCCTCGTTTTAGCTGCAAACAATTCCAAAATCCGCTCGTGGCCTGCAGAGCAAGCCGATCAGTTGCGTAACAACATCATGCAGGTGTGGAAACAGCCCAACCGACCGCCACTTTGGACGATTCAGAGGCGACCCAACTCTGCTGTCGTCAGTGAATTTGAGGCAGCCAGGACCAAGCAGGAAGGACGTGTTGACTGTCGTGCCAGTAAACCAGCAGCAGGTACCATGCACAAACCGGTAAGAGATGTTCGTATTTGGTGGGATATGTTGCTGGCGTATTAGCCCCAGATACTCTCAATATATTTGTCAGTACCGAGTGTCAGTCGACGACGCCGTCGCGGTGTTAGGCTGAGGATGTGGTTCCGGTGCTGAGTGCAATACGAATGTCAGGCGGACGTATCTTTCAGCTAATCAAGAACAGTCAAACAGCAGAGCGTGTCGGCAAACCGAGTTCACTATCGGCTCAGGCTGAACGAGCTTTGGTTTGTTGGTGGCTCGTCCGCGGTAAATCTGACGAACAGGAGCAAGTGGCCAAGCCGTCGACACGATGTCTTGGCACATTCTTGGCAGAAAGCTGCTGAAATCGGGCACCTGCCAAGACCCCGAACTATCCGCTGAGCCGCTTCCGCTTAGCAGAGATCGAATCCGGCTAGACCATAGCGACATGTGTCCTTCAGTCCGTTCGTCCTCTCATTCCAATGTGCAGGAGGGGCGACAGCAGTGATTTGCGCTACCGAAATGGTCGAGCTGTGAGAATTTGGGGCTCTTCCAGCAAGCTTTGCCAACGTGTGCTTGACGAGAGGTCTGCAGGTGATGAAGGGAGAGTGTCAAAAGAAGCAAGACGTCCGCATTAACCGATGTTCGCCGGAAGATCGGCTTTGTTTGAGCCACGTCTGGTGGAATCTTTGCAGTGCCTCGTTGTGAGACAATCTTGACATCTGGCGGCTAGGAATGTCCAAGTCGACAGAAGGCTTCGACTCCTCTTTCTCTGCTCATCCCGCTGCATCAATCACATGCACTCGGGGTCCGGGTTCGCCTTGCAGATATTACAATCTGTTACCTAAACCTCCTCACGCGAGGACGATCACGACCACTGTGCAAAGGGTCTGTCATAAAAATAGATGCCCAGTCCCAATAGCAGCGATGACCAGAGGCCCAAGCAATTTATCATCTTCTCGGAAGATCGGTTTCGTCCATCGCACTGTCCCAGCAGAAGTCGACCCTGATTCCCATACATACATAATAGGGTCCCCGGCTGCCCGTCGGCTTCACCGGCCAGTGTCATCTTGTGCTGGCTTAGCCTCGTGAAGCTTCGGTACACACGTGGTGCACTTGCGAAGTCCAGTCTTTCAGTGCCCCAGAAAGGGAAGGAGCGCTCCCGATCTCGGTTCGTCGGCGGTTCTTGGCTGTACCAGTACTGCGTGTCTTCAATACGCTGCGACGGAAGGAGGGAGCTTCAGGTGTAGAAAGGTCGAAATCTTGCATTCAACCCGAATACGAGTCGGGAAGGTATTGTATTGGTATCCCGAATAGATAGGCGCTGGCCATAATTGGAGCGCCGCATACGACCAACACTCCTGGCAAGTGGTCGGACAAGAATGGTCCACCGAAACAGTGCACGAAAGAAGCTAAGTGAGTTTTACTGTGCTGAGTCTAGACATTGGCCTACATTAGATGCGGTAATGAGTACTCCTTATTCACCGCTACCTTACTGGGAGAGACTACTCGTACCATCTGTCCTATACATGGTGATCAACTTGCGCAGACATGCCCGGGGATGTACTGTGTACGGTGTTACTGCTCCTCCACGGGATTCTTGTCCAAGCTTTCATACCACTGCAATGTACTTCCGATCAAGAAGGCCCAACCGCCCCAGAAATTGGCCAGCGCGGACTGGTACTGTGCACCAGAATTGCCGTACGCTGGGCCAAGGGAGCCGCACAACTGCAATGGTCTCCGTCAGCGTACATTCCCTGGATACCGGGAGGGCGACAGGACAGGGAATGCATTTAGACGGACAGCCAGCCGGTCGTGACTTACAACAAAACCGATTCCGCCTATGCCATTCCAGAGGCCGACGTGCCATCCTAGGACGTGTGGAGAAGGAGTGAACCAATTCGGCTGTGTCTCAAGCATGTACAAGAAACTGCGTGTTGGTCGTGTGCGTTAGAGGATTGCCCATTCAAGATTGAAGCGAGGAAACCTTGTGTCCTGCATGCAAGATGCGCTGAAAGTGAAGCACTGGCACACACAAACATACCCACTAACGGTGAAGCCTAGTGAGCCGACGATCTGCGGAACCCAATACAATCCGTTCAGAGTACCCTGGCTCATGTGGTCAATGACTCCTGGAAGGGCAACAAAGCCGCTGATCCAGAAGATGGTGGTGCCACAAAACATGGCAAAGCTCGCAAGGAAGCCGAGCTCTCTTAAGCAATGGGAACGGATGGTGTTCCAGCTGGGAAACCACTGCCATTCTTGGCCGTCGCCGCGTCCCTTTCCGATACCTGATTTATCATTGTGGTGGTGGACACAGTGCTGGAGATTAGGAGATATGCGGACCATGTCCCGCTCGCTCTGTTTGGAGACAAGTTTCTCGATCTGCCATCCGAAACAGCCGACTCTTTCGGCGTTGAATGCTTCGATCATCAGAAGGATCGAGCCAAGCTGGAACAAAGTCGCACCCACGAAGGCAGATATTCCACCACCAACGACGATCTCTCCGGAGAATGTGCTCTCAGGAACCTCAAGCGGAAGCCACAGGAAGAATGAGTTCAGGATCCAGGTAGCTGAGGCGATGAAGAAAGTGATCGCCACAAGGTACGAAATGTCCCAGTAGCGAAAGCAGGTTAACATGCACTTGATCCCCTTCAACGTCTCGGTGACACTTGCACTCTTCTCCGGTACAATGTATAGCGGCGAGGTAGAGTCCCCCTGGACGGCCGGCTTGTATTGGAGGAGATGACGGCCCTTACGATTGTCCCTTGATCTCCACGCGAAGTGAACGTCATGTGCGAGTTGTTCGTTCGAGGAAGCTATTGTGTGCGCTTCCAGAGCTGCCTTGGAATCATCGCTCTCGTTGGTTGAAAGTGACTTCTCAGTCGTCCGGAGGACTCGATGACGGAACACTGCATGTGTAGGATGCAGGAAGGACAGTGCTCCAGTCGTATGCTTTGACTGCAAGACAAGTGAGTCATCGTTCCGGAGCGGTTCGCTTGAGTGAAGGAAATTGGTGTTTCTGGGCATTTCCCAACCCTTAGCCTAAGCAGAGTCAGGGAAACGGATGTTGGGAGGAGAGGAATGAAGAAGGACGCTGATGAGTCCAACGGCCGAAGACAAGATTGGGACGTGAAGATTCTGCCGTCACATCTTGGCCATTGGCCGTGGATAGAAAGTTGCAGCGCATGCGCCGGGCTCGAATCTAGTCATCCACAGCTTCGGGAGTCGGGCCAGCATCTGAGCCATAATGGGACGGCGAGAAGACAAGAGGACTTCTGACACTCCTGGAAAGTAAGTGGGGTATTTGGCTAGACATCTGCGGGCGCATGCTGGAATAGGACACTATATCACATTAGTAATGCTGAGAAAGTTGAGTTCGTACGGTACTGAATGCTGTTGAAAAGGGGAGATACAAGTCTAGGGCTCGAGCACGCGTCGTCGAGCGTCTCAGGATCCATTTATGGAGCTGCGACAAGGGTGCAAGTGTCCGCCAACGTCGAGAAGCTTTCAGAAGCTCTGGAGCATTCGGCGAACTCGCGTAACTTTCACCTAAAGCGAAGGTCATGAAGACCGTGTTGGGAAGGACGCATTGAAGTTGTCGAGGTGGGACAGGATGGAGGCGACGCTGGGGACCAAAGCGGGAATGGTAGCGACGAATCGTGGCACAGCTCCAGCTCCGAGCTTCCTGTTCACTCTCTCATATGGAATGGCCACTGTTCTTGACGGAGTAGTGGTGGTGGTAGTTCTCGATCAGTTTCACATAACCGGACAGTCGCCTCACACTCACCTCACCATCACCTCACAACCACCGCATAGGGTAGGAACATGGGTGACTAATGGCGCCAATGCACCACGAACATTGTGTCCTGCAGATGGCTCTGTTCGCATACGGCTCGCTACAATGACACTCCTCTTCTGACGACGGAATTGGTGCAGTCGTTGGGTGGCCTCTGTGCACTTGGATGGCACTGATGTCCTCAATGTCTCCGGATGCCAGTGACTAAGAGGTCTGGACTGCTGAACAGTGGACAGCAGCCCGATGAGGTGTGTGCATTGTCCATTGAGCAGTACTCAATCGCTCTGCACTGGCATGGCTGGTTTGGTATAGGTATAAATGTGCCAGCTACGGCTGTCCTGCTAGGGCTTCAAAGCACTCTCTCGTCACTCACTTCGCGCTCAAGCCTTCACCTCTTCACACACACAAAGCTTCCATATTCAGAACCAGCATCATGGGTTTCACCATCCAGAGCAAAGCCTGCTGCACTCGACCTCCAATTGTGCTACGAGGTGGTTACACGTATGAAGAGAAGGGCAAATATGAAGACTTCAACGGCCTGAAGACCTGTAAGGACCCTCGCATCGGTGCCCAATCTTTGGCTTCTGACAAGGCATAGATGTCACGGGCAGCGATCAGGCGACCCGAGGCGTATTTCTTGCGTACGACGTTTTCGGTCTATACGTCCAAGCCATCAAAGGCGCCGACATTCTGGCATGGGACTATCCCGAGCTGCCCGATGGAGCGGGCGAGTTCAAGGTCTTCATGCCCGACTTCTGGGGCGACCATCCGCAAGATCTTGCAAACTTCCCGCCAAAGACACCCAAGCAGATGAAGGCCGTTGTGGATTTCATGACCGGACCAGCCAACCCGGAAAAGATTGTCCCCATGATCGGACCGCTGTTTGACGCTTTTCAAAAGGCCAACCCGCAAATAAAGACCTGGTCGATTTTAGGCTTCTGTTGGGGTGTGAAGATTGCTGCCTTGGTGACCACCCAGGGGACTAAATTCAGTGCTGCTGCTGGGGCGCATCCCAGTCTGATGGACGTGGAAGATACAAAGCATGTCACCGTTCCGTTCTGTGTTTTGCCTAGCCAGGATGAAGACCCCGAGGTAAAGCGACCCCCGACCGTTGCTTCTCTTAGGCGAATGGTCGAGCTCCTACTTACACTGTGACCAATCCAGTATGTCGAGGCGTGGTTCGCAAACCTCAAGAAGGCTTCGCCGCAGAGCTACTTGGAGACGTTCGGTGACCAAGTGCATGGTTGGATGACATCGCGGTAGGTTCTTCGCGATAACAGAGTTCGCTTCCTAACCAACGTCATCGTTAGTGCCGACTTCAATGACCTGCACGCGTACGAGGAGTATCTTCGAGGATACAGAATTGTTAGGACATTCTTCGCCGCTCATATGTAAGAGCTTGGAGGAAGATGCGACATTTGGGGCGATGGCATGACTGCGGCGATTGTGCGAGTAAGATAGCTACAGCAGGAGCTGGAGTACAGATCGTAGACAAGCTGTGTACTCGAAAGTATTCTCTCCAATGTCGAATTACATTCAAAAACCACAAATCTAGGGAAGACGTAGCAACCATCGGGCCCAGTCAACGAGGCTGCCCAATGAAAAGTCGAGCACAAGCCTGGAGACGGTCTGTCTGTGCTGGCCATGCTTGTTCGTTTTGGGAATTCAGAGCATTGGAGGACGAGAACGGTGAAATCGTTGGCTGGTGGCCAGAGATGAGCGGAAGTGCAGGATACCAAAGAGACATTGCGGCCAAGACTTCATGGGCCCAAGCAGATACCAAGTAGAATCATGAGTGCCGCTGAGCTTTCGAGAGAAAGAACCGAGAAATGGTCCATAGAAGCATCATACATTCGAATAAAAGATTCTGTCCTCCAAGGACATCAGGCTGCTGACATAGGTATAAACGCGAACGCCTCCAGGAATCATATCGCAATTTGCTCCAAAGGTAATGCGGAGCCAAAAAAGGCTGACAAAGGTTCGAATCGAAATGATCAGGATAGCCTGGCTCTTACAGAGCCATTCCTGCTACAACCAGTGCCAAGAATGCAAGCCCAACGCTGCCAACATGAAGGCTGTCAGCACCGTTGCCAGAATCTCCTGATGCCGAGGCCGTAGTGGACGCGCCAGTGGTGGAACCACCTTCTGCAGAGTTGTCAGCATCCCATTCATGCCACCAAGTCCTGTGTGCACTTACCGGTCGCTGTCGCTGAGCCGTCCGTAGTCGAGTCGCCGCCTCCGAAGGTGGCGGTGGCGGAGGCGGAACCGCTCGTTTGGGTGCCAGTGGGAGCTGCCGTGGCAGACGAGGTCAGGAAGTAGGAGCTGATGCAGGATGCTTGACAGTTCGCATATTCTTCCGTCTCGCTTGCCGTGCCATTGCCCTGCGGGCATTGAGCAGCACAATCCGTTGTCGCATTCGCCTGTGATTGGGACGGGCATGGCACGCCGACACACTTGGCTTGGCAGCATACGTCCGCCGAACCACCTGGTTGCAACTTGTGTCAGCCTCTCGTTCTCTTGATCTCTCCGTTGTTGACCTACATGACTGCAGACATATCACTTGCGGGCTCAGAGACGCGGTGGAAGAAGCGGCGCTGCTCGAGCCGGCGCTGCTCAGGCTCGTCTCCGTAGTGGTCGCATTCTGGGCAGTCGCGAAGGCGAGGAGCCCGAAGGTTGCAAGGGCTGTGAAGAAACGCATCTTGATGTTCGTTCGGACGATCGCGTCAAGCCGAAATCTCGCTGGAATGGGTAATAAGGTCGGGCAACAGTTGAAGTCGCTGGTAGGAAATGAAGAGCAGAATGGAAGTCAAGCGAGTGTCATAAACTGGTAACGAACGTCGCGGCGCACAGTGCCAGCACAAAAGAATGTCAGTGATACGGAGTAGATGGCTTGCAAGGAGGATCAATTCAGCAGAGACATGGGCGCGAGACGGCGGTAAATAGTATCACGGCCGCCGACGCAGCTTTGCCCTGCGCTCGCTTCTCCAGGCAAGAAGTGATCCACCAGTCAAATCTCCCCACGATTTGTTCTTCGCGAAGACGGTGTTTCGGAAGGCTTGAAGCGAGGCTTGCCCTTGGAGAGATCTGTCGCCGGCCCCTGGTCGGTTGTTGTCTGTTGGTGTTTACCAGGCCCATTTTGGCATACTGGATCCGGGACCCGCTAGCTGGAAATTGATGTTAGGCTCTCTCAGCGCTGGGCCGATGCTCATGGGCCGGACCGCCAGTTATCGACTGTGATTCGATGGAGCTGTTGCGCTGCGGCGACCGCCCCCGTCAACTGCTGCCGTTTGCGCACGACACTGACCACCGTCCCTACAGTAGTTATGTTGCGCGCAGTGAGGTTTGAGTCAGTCAGGTTCTCTGTCAAATGCAAAGAGTTACGTCATATTGAGCAGTGTCCACGGTGACCGTTTTGCACCCGGTTGTGCGGCATGGAAGACAGCCGTCGACGCGCCAAGACCCTTGGACATTACCGAGAATTGATTGGCCTTTTCATGCTGTCATGTCATTGCGGGCCAAATTTCCTGAAACTTGGCGGGGGCTCGTCACTGCCCACAGTCGGAAATTACCTCGTGTTCATTTCGAGGTCGCCCTTCTCTCACCCGCCGCTTTGAATCCTTTTTGCAAATGTGTCGAGTCTTGGCTCTCCTGCGAAAGGGTCGAGAGTCAGGACATCCTCGGGTAAGGCTGAAATGAAGCGAATTGACGTCAATGACGGTGACACACAAGTTGTCTCGACTTGCACTCTCCCTACTGGCGACTCAGATTCACAGGCCTCTTCACTCACCTCTTCCACCATGATAACTATACCAAAAGACCAAGACAATGTCCATCCCTCAACACCACGTCTTCGGCCATAGCTGTGTCTGTTCCGTCCTCGTATGGTTGTACCGCGCAGAGGCGTGTTTCCTGCATTCTACTGGCGGGTGCTGAGATGCTGTCCGCCAATCACACCCGCTTCACAGATACGAGGGTGGCAGTGCGCGAATGCACAGCTGTGATCAATTCGTTTCTGCCTTTTGCAAACCACCATTTGCCTTTCCTTCCTCCTGCATAGATATACGTATTGATTTTCCTGCATGATGCCAGTGGTAAGTCATCCTCCGGACCGTGGTACTGACCGGTTGTACAGCCTTCTTAAATAATGTTCTACCCTGCACGCGCTTGAAGCCCATCTGGCCGGAGATTTCTCGCTCGTCAAAGTGCGCGACAACGAATTAGGATACACTTCAACATGGCTCTTGATTATTTAGCTGCTCTCAGAGACTCATATGCACCACACTCTACAGATCAGGGCGATTTCCATCCAGATCTCTGCCACCTGGCGCCACTCAACATTGAACATTCGTCCCTCGGCCGGTACAATTTCAAGGTCGCAAGCCATGACTCTCAGCCTTTCTTCGAAAAGAAAGGTGCGCTTGGACGACATGCTTCAACGTCTCGCGGAGAGTCCTCACCGTCTTCATTTTCATGGCTGACTTCGTCTGCACATGTGGATCGACCTGCTTCCGCCCACTCGCCCGCTCTGTCTCCCAGAAGTTCTTACCCCTCACAAGCAGGCAAATGTCCGCACCCAGATTGCGGCAAGGTCTTTAAAGATATGAAAGCTCATATGCTGACCCATCAAACCGAGCGGCCGGAGAAGTGCCCGGTCATCAGTTGCGACTATCACCAGAAAGGCTTTGCACGGAAGTATGATATGAATAGGCACACCTTGACGCACTTTATAGGAGTAATGGACTGTGGATTTTGCCCTGGATCTGGGACAACAAGCGCCAAGACTTTCAACCGTGTCGACGTCTTCAAAAGACATCTCACATCGGTGCACGGAGTCGACCCGATCCCGCCGAATAGCAGGAGGCGGTCGCTCGCTAACACCAGCAGAAAACTCTCAAGCTACTGCCGAGATGCGACGGGAATATGTTCGATTTGTCGTATACGCTTCGCCAATCCTCAAGAGTTCTATATCCACCTCGACAATTGCGTACTTCGCGCCGTGCAGGAGCAGCAAAGCGACGATAACGGCACCCTGGGAGTTGGAAAACATGCAGTGATACTCGCGGACCCCGCCTGGGATAACGCTGTCCAGGAAATTCTCGGTGCTCACCAATTAGATGCGGGCGCGTTACCAACTGGTTCTCCCAGTCGGCCGGCAAAGAAGGGCCTTACACGGTTCACAGGAGGTGTGCCGCTCGTCGGTAAAGAGCGGAAGAGAAGGAAGCACTACCCAGCCTCTTGGGGACTCTCGGCGGAAAAGACGTCAATGAAAGAAAGAGTGCTGTGCGTTTACGATGGCGACAGAAGGCTCCACAAGGACGACATGTCAATGCACAAAGACATAGAAGTGCGTGTAAAGCTGTTCGAGGAGGACGGTCTTTTTACGGAGCTCGACCTGGAGATCATGGGCAAGACAGAAGCCATTGAAATCGGCGCCGCAGAAGACCACGCTCGTTGGAGAGAGGACCAGCCGCATGAACGTCCCTCTATCGATTCACCAGTAGCCCCCGAGACCGTTAATGATTCGAAACAGATGTGCAGGCTTTTGCCGCCTCGTGTTCTCGATTTGGAATCTGGCCTTATCAAGGACAAGGATATCAATCGGAGCATCCCAGCAAAGTCCGACATGAGCACCGTCGGCACCCTCAACACGGGCCCAGTAACTGATGGGGAAAGGAAGGAGCATTTGCGACAGAGGTGCTTGCTTCAAAAACCCGAAACAAGATCGGCCGTTTGTTTGCCTTTTCCGGCCAAAGCTTGTCCTCTGAATCCGCACTTAGCATCGACGGCACAAGACGCCGAGGAGGTTACCGAGCCACAGGAAACAGGTGTTGCTCTGTCTGCTGGGAATGGTCATCATGGCGATCAAGACATCTCCCCCAAATGTTCACCTGCGTCTGTTGAGCAGCCAACCGCCAAGATTATGGAGGACAATGCTGGTGAGCAGAAGCGCATCAGGGACGTTGTGGTAGAAGGTGTCCAGAGCTTTTCTTCCAGCCTACAGCCCTCATGCCCCGAAGATCGCTTTCCAAGGGGCTCTGATTCGGTTTCGACGGTTCAGGCACGTGCAGTGACTCCGAGCACGCCGGATAGTGATACCAGCCGCCAGTCAGGACTCGAAGCCGACGAAGCGTTCGAGTCTGAAGGGGAGCTCTCATTCATGGCCACACCTGGCCCAGGCGATATTCAGCTCGAAAGTGAGACACCATCGAATTCGCGGCGTTGGGCCATACAGAGCACGGTCGCTGAGCAACTTGCACGTTCATACACCACGTTACTGCTGCGCACGAGGGGCGGTCAGGGCCACAACACCAGATCACCTGGTTCTTCTTGTATGGAGAGCAGCTCGACTTCTGGCTCCAAGTCGTCGCAAACAATGCCATCCAGTCCCATTTCGAGCAGGAAACGGTCTCACACCAATGATGAGAAAGACGACGACAACAACAAACGACCGCGGAAACAGCGCAATCCTCGCCGTGAGTACGGTGCGGCTGATGATGGAAAACTACTGGCATGTCCTTTCTCCAAGTTCGACCCTGCGCGATATTCTGAACTTAACACGACTGAGTTGCAATACCGCGGATGCTCAAGCTGCTATCTGACAACAATACCTCGCCTGAAGCAACATCTCTATCGGGTCCACAGCAGACCATTGCACTACTGTTCTTGCTGCTTTCAGTCTTTCGACACGGCGGTGGCGCTGGATCAGCACGCGAGAGCCAGATCCTGCACTGTGTCGCCCTCGCCCTTCGAAGAGAAGATGACCACCGACCAAATGTCGGAAATCAAACGCCGGACCCCGCGCGAGGAGCGAACCAAAAGCTGGTTCACTATTTTTCGCATCCTCTTCCCTCAGTCTGAACTACCGCGATCTCCGTTTGTCGGCGACTATTCGGAGGAATGTATCCAGCATTTCCTGGAGTATTTCGAGCGGGAGGCGCCTCGCGTGTTGGCAGCAACCATTGACTCCGAGCTCGACAATTCCGTCTTAAACCTGGGCTTAGAACAGCGGAGAATGCTTGACGACATCCTAGAAACTTCGCTGAGCCGTGTTGTGGTTTCGATGACGCACGCAGCTCGGGCGAGGCAGAGTCCCAGTCGGAATCAAAGGTCGCATAACGCATCGATCGCACGCAGCCCTCAACCGCTGCCCGCCAGTCTATCAGGTGATACGACCATGGATGATGATAGCTCGAGCGCGGATACTCCGCTCCAAGCCCGACATGTCACCACGCAATTGACTCTCAGCGAGTCCCATTCATCCCGAGACGAACCCAGTACTCAGTCCTGGCTGATGGTCAACCGTGCCACGGAGCAGCATTTCGACGTTCAGTCGCCGAATGTGCCAATGCCAGGTTCATGCATGGATTACCTGATGGCCAAGTTACCTGATCCCTCGCCATTGCTAGAATGCGCCGATTCGACGGTCGTCGACCATAGCCTCGCCGCCGAGGAATGGCAACGCCTGTTAAGTAGTGCAACACCGCTGGAACTCTGGCAAGACGGTGCTTTCAACCTGGAGGAAAACGATGCCGGCATCGTCCTAAGAGGCTATCAGCCAGCCATGACATGGATTGGATAGGAGCGTGTAAGCTCAACCGTATGTGCGTAACGTTGGGATTTCATTGACGTTATTTCCGAGCCGTAAAAAGGTGAGATCGGCCCTAGAGGCACTGCAAACTGAGCCAAGTACATAGGAAGCACTCAACTGCGGTGCTCAGTGATTCAGCGTTATATTTCTTTCCTGTTTCTTTGATCACACAGAGTCAGCCTTTGGTGACACCTAGGATTCGTATTTGGACTCGGATCTCGATACATGGATCGACTCATTTAGTTCCGCAGAATCCTCTACCTCTGCTTCGTGTCCTTCGACCTTTGCTTCGTGTCCCTCTACGTCTACTTCGTGTTCCGCACCCATCATTCCTGTGCACAGAACATCAATTAATGATTGATCCGCGACTCCGAGTACGTACCTCACGTCCTCCCACAGACATATACATGATTAGCATATACAACTCATGATCTGTCATTGCGATTGCGGTTGCCGACACCACTTATCGACAGCATGATTATGTGTCCCTAACCTCGACAATGCATTGACGCGAACAGAACACCAGATGTGGCCCTCGGGGGGTTTGACACGTGAAACGTGAGAACATGTATCGTGCCCTCACCTCAGTATCAGTCGAAACCACGGTCCACGGACCTGTCCGGTCTCATGCGCAAGAAGACAGCCAAGGACTGCTTGTGTACATTGTATGGTACAGTAACGGTAGGTGGATCCGCGAGCTTGTCGTCATCGCCTGGTGGGAATCGATTGTATGTCCCCTTGCGCACGGACTCCCCCTTGTGTGACCTATCGACTGCACACATGTAGTGAGCGGTATATTCGGTATTGAAGTACATGCTGTGAAATATCAAGTACTCAGTTTGCTCGGTCAATACTTGCCGGCCATGTCACCTGCTGCGACTTCAATTGGATCGCGTGTGTTCGTCATGCTCGACTCTTGAAGTCGGAAAATTTCGATCGATACTTGCAATCGAGGTTGATTGAGGGCTGGGATCTACTTTCGCGCTCTTGGAGATGGGAGTCCGTGGCACGAAGGGCTTGTTACCCGACACAGCACATACATGTTACGGACTCGGTCAATGAGGAGGTATGGCGGGGCGCGTTGGGTTCGGTTTTACAGGATGCATGAAGTATGAGCATGGGCATGAGCATAGTCTTGAAAAGTGGTATGGAGTAAGGAAAACTTGATTGATAGGCTCATTCGTGAAATATCTGCTTTGCTTTGAATATGAAGAGTCCGGGATAACCAGGTAAGAAAGGTCGTGCACTTCATGTCCGTCATTATTAGGTCCCCTGTCCACCTCTGGGACACGCGTGAGCCCATCCATGACCGTAGCACTTGTAGACTGACAGGATGTATTTCACCTTTACTTGGGGCGCTTCGAGCATGGAGACCATATCCCTATCGCTGTGCACGAATCGTCAGATTGATTTTGAATGCCGCTTATGCCGGTATGCCGGTATGTTAGCATGAATTGCGCCTCCGATGTTTGTGACCGCTTGTCGTGGGTGTCTGCACACTGCCCGAAGACGATGACAAGTCCTTGGTCCCTCGCGGCCTGAATCTTCGGATGGTTGGCAGTGTAGGTCCACGGTTGGGTGTTTGTATGGGTTGCAGCACGACACCCAGTTCCGCAATCTTGGCTGCGCTGTCTTCATCCACTTCTCCTGGTTGCATGACTTCAGCCATCGTCGGCTCCCAGTATTGCTCAAGGAACTCCGGTAGAGGAAGCTTCAGCTCGTTGAATGCTTCTTCAAACTCTTCCATGAGTGATTCGAGCTGGGTCAGGTCTTCTGACTCCTCCTCACGGATGTTGTCTCGATCTTCATCGTTGAAGATGACGAAATCGCCAAAGATATATCCTTCTGTCCAGGTACAACATGTATGCGTTAGAAGAAGCCTTTGGAAGGTCATGAACCGGATAACGTCGGTGGTGAAACCTTCCCACGTGTCTGTCTTTGCCCTGTCCAGCCATCTGATGAGATAGTTGAGGATATGACGTGCAGCGCCCCTGTCAACTCCGGGGTAGTGGCTCTCAAGCCAGTGGACCCAGCTCCCAGTTGTTTTCAAGATCTCCGTCAGTGCAGAGCAGCCATGCAACGAGCAAGCACAGATGCAGTCGTCGGTAACGGTCTCATCAACTAGCATCCTTAGAAGGATACAAACTTCTTCATCCTCTAACCTCTCTGGCCATGGCGTTTCCGACAACCTATCACTCGCTTCTACCTGATGCCGCCCTATACACCCGATGAGAGCTCTGCTTACGTGCAGTGCAGCCGGCAAGTGTGGTACTTGTTCTCCTAGCTCCGTCAGACGAAGTGACTTGTGGTCCAACCTCAAGCCTTTACTGATGAGCCAGAGATAGAACTGTGCAACCTCTTTGGGCGAGCTAGTGTCCAAATAGGTTAGAATATTCATCATGAGCAGACTCTTGTTCCGATCGTCAACTCGATGAACGTCGCGGAAGCCGGCGTTGTAGAATAGTTCTGCGCATCCCTTTAGTGTTATGCTTTGGTCGATTCTTGTAAGAAAATTCACTAGTAAGTGGTATATGGTCTTCCAGTCGTCCGGAACATGCAAGCTAGACGGTACTGCAACGTCATGTTTGGCAAGCAGCTCTGCCACCAACAACGCATCAGCATCCAAGACGGTATCGCCAGAGAGGTCCAAGAATTGTCTAGCCTTGCATGGCAAATGTTGGAGAGCGATGGTGGCCAGACGCTTCCGCCTGTCTGACAATGCTTCAACAAGATACTTCACGATTTCAAAGGAGCTCCGCTGCGTCGCTTCGAACAAGATGTCTGAGGTAAATGCGACACGAAAGTCGCCAGCAAGCGAGAAGGATCCCCGCACATGGAGAGCACAATCAGCTTCGACCAAGAGCCGGACCGCTTCCAAGCATTTGGCATGGGTTGCATAAGCCAAAGGAGAAAAGCCAACATTGTCCCGTTGATCGAGTAGCTGGCAGGCCCCGGCGTTCAGCAGCATCTTGATTCCGGCTGGCCAGATTGCTGCTAGATGCAAAGGTGTTTGACCTAGCAGAGTCCTTTCGCAGACAGTACTGGGCGAATGGTCGAGAATTTTGGCGACTTCTTTTCCTGACTTGAAAAGGATTGCCTGACAAAGAGGCCCACATTGCATGTCTGCTTTCAATCAACACGGTGCTCTGCCAGGAATCCAAGCTCATACCTTCGATAACAGCTTCTTGGCAGCGATATTCATGAAGCCACAAGGCAATGTTTTGGGTGGGTATGCCCCAACCCAGATAACCCTTGACTCCGTGGGACCACCAGGATTCCGAGAAGTGAAGACCTTGGTGGAGGAACTCGACGCTCATGTTCACCAATTCCTTCTCATAACTCAACATGCCACTCCGTCCCACTAGAATGTCGAGGGGTCTCCTAGTTACATTCAGCATGCACCTAACATTCCATGACAAACACTTACCTTCCGTTCAGATCCTCATGATTTTTTTCGACTCCCCAGCTACTCAGCATACTTACTAGGCGCCGATATGAGACACTGTCTCCATGCACGACGTAGTCAGGTGACCCCATTGAAAATACGGTCTACATCGAAAATTAGCTGTCGCCAATGACCCATGGCCTTCTCCCTTTCACTGACATGTAATAAAGTCTGCCCCTTTTCATTCACGTCGGTTGGGCAAGCTTTCAGCTGACTGAAGAGACGATGGAGCTCCTGAGCCACCCATTCATAATAGGATCCCGTTGATCCCTCCTTGAAGGCATGATATGAATCCCAGGTCAAAAGAGAAAATGCTGGGGACGAATCTGATACTGTTGCGCGAAAAGTAAGAGAGGGACTGATGGACAAACCGCCGGCTCCATAACTGATCGAGACAGAAAACGACAGTAGCCGTGATATGAAGCGGTCTCTGTAGGAATATTTTGCTGCTAAGACGGTCGCAGTGGTTGTCTGGAACGCCAGGGGACATCCGGTTTTGTGGATACGGGAGACAGAATCCGCTCGAGACAGGTTCCAAAACCTCGTTGACCGCGTCCAAGATCGATATGATTTGCCGATCCTGCAAGAACATGCAGGCAATACTGCGTGCCTCGGCACCACAGCAATATGGTTGTCCCTGGAAAACTCGCTGCAAGTTGAATAATCATTCTCCAGCTCCTGTTCCTCGGCTCGGATGATATCGCCCACAGATCGAAGCAGGCTCGGTTTTCGAAGCATTTCCGTCTGGACCTGAGACTCTTGTTTTGCCTATCACTCGTCATTAGCTGGTAAGTAACCAATCTCAAGTACCCTCACTATGTACCCCGCAGAGAGTGACGACTTGGCACCCAAGTAACACCTTTCTGCGAAGTAAGAATCAATCACTGCCACAATTCGGTGCTCAAACGCCCCAGGAAGATTGTCGAGCCTTTGTTCGAGGCCAGAGAAGCCAGAATTGACCTCTTGCCCTAGCACAGTTAACTGCCGATCGACCGACGACATCGACAGGCGCAGTCCGCCTATTTCGGACGTAACCTGTGATGTTTTCCGGGAGACGAGGGGAAGCTCCCGCCGCAGTGTTTGAGCAACAGCACTGGTATCGCTTGCGACATCTTTCATTATCCCATGGCTGTCCCCCAGCTGTTCAGAAAGATCATTCAGCTCATGGCTGATGCGAGAAATGTCGTGGCTGGTTGAGACCGTGCGAAGGAGGACCTCAGATGTGTCGTTGAGGAGATGGCCGCTAGCTTCCCTAAAAGCCCAGCAGTCAGTACTCCTCGCGAAAAGCACTGAAGAGATGGTCAATGTAGAAAAGCGATCATTACAGTTGCAGAGTCTGCAGGGCAAGCGACACATTGGCCTGTAAGCCCTTGACCGTTTCTGAGAAGTCTCGGATTGTGCTTTGTTGAAAGGGAAACGCGGCCTTGCGGAGTGCGAGTTGGATGCGCTCTGGTCCAGCTGCTGTGGGTGAAATGGTTTGACGACATCTCTGAAGGAGTTGTTCGAGCCCATGGATGGCATCGGCACAGGCAATTATGCTGTTCACAGCCTGAGATATCGCAACAAATCGAGCAGGGTTCGCTTTAGTCAGACACGCGTGAGCCACCTCTAGAGTTTCGCTGAGCCCTTCAACATGGCAAAGAATGTTGCGGATCTTCTCATCCTGACCGCGGTAGGCCTGATAGTAGGAGACGAGACCCTGGCAGACCTGAATGCCCAAGGAGATAACTCCAATCGCAGTTCCGGCCACCTCAGCCATCTCGACTGTGCGTCGCCAACCCTAGGTGTGCCGAAGGAGACACGATGTTCAGTGACGATGGGAGAAGAACATTGGAAAAAGAGACAAGAATTGATGGGTGCGGCTGCGAAGTGACAGACATCCTCGAGTCTGCCTGCCCAAAGTTCCCGTCTCTCGAGGCGCAATCGAGGCTCGTGTTCAGCCGTGTCACCGGTCTTTCTGCAGCGTCTTCCTGTTGGTTCATCTATGTCCGGCAGTCTGCACGATCGGCCTTACTGGTTAAATTCAACAGAAGGCTGCGCTCGGCGCTTAAAAATCTGGGGTCTGGTGTGCTGTGGACGGGTGCAAGAACTACAGAGGAATCAGTATCGGCAAAACATACTGTACATATCAGAGCTAGACTTTGACTTTCTCGTATTATCCACATTCCGCTGTCAGACTCAACGACGCCACTCTCATACAGCTCGCGTTCCATTGGACAGATTCACAGCCAGTGCATCTCCCTGACTGCGCACCTGCGCTGCGTCACCGGCTGCGGCGTCATGCCTGCGGAGCTTCAAGTGCCACGCCAGGCCGCAGACTGAGTGACTGAGTGCCTACCGTCTTCCTTCAATTCGTCATGGAGATACTCTGTTCTGCTGTTAGTGCTTGCGGTAATGGAGCTCGCCGTGTCTACTCCGTAGAGACCTGCTTGCTCTTAGTTCTGCAGAGGTAAGCGAGTGGAGCTGTTGACGTTGATCTCTCAGGGAATCGGTGAACCTTTCCCGAACCTTTCCTCGTCTAAAACACTTGCGAGCCTTCCAATACTTTAATCCCTTTCCCCCATGAATCCCCTACGAGCCTGCGTAAGACACGGATGTCTTGTGCCTGAAGAGTTCGAACGATATGCCCAAGTCAGACCTACCTGTGTTCGACAGTGATACCACACAACTCCCGGGAACTGTTATGAAATTTAAGAGAGTGTCTCCTGTGCTCATTGTTCTGGCCATATGTTCATTTCTCCTTTTGATCAAGGTCATTTTGCCGTTCATTGAGGAGGGAAGATCCGCATGGTCTGCGCTCAACTCGGAATCTGCGGCTGGAGGTGTCTTCGGAGTGAACAAGCACCCCAGGTTGCCCGGTTCCATTCACGTCAAAACCCTCGATCCTGACTTGCTTCCGCGATCAACGAAGGGGAAGACGGGTCCCGAGGCTGTTCAAAAGAGACTGGTGTTCATTGGTGACATTCATGGATGCAGAGAGGAATTGGAAGCTCTGTTGAAGAAGCTGCGATTTGACCCTTCGAGAGATCACCTGGTTGCTCTGGGAGACATAGTTTCTAAAGGGCCCGACTCTTTGGGGGTGATTGATTTATTACGTCGGTACAACGCATCTTGCGTAAGAGGAAACCACGATGATCGCCTTCTCCTTGTCGCGCAGAGTTTTCAAGCACAGTCTGCGGCTACCCACAAGAGCCTGAAATCGGGAAAGCACACAGGCAAACACAAGCATGAGGACCCCGTGGAGCGATTAGCGAGATCTCTGAGCACTGCGCAGCTTGAGTATTTACAGTCATGTCCCATCATACTTAGGATAGGGGAGATGGAGGCTTTCAACGGAAAAGCTGTGGCCGTCCATGCTGGGCTCGTCCCGGGGCTGGCGCTTGACTTGCAGGATCCCGTCTCAGCTATGAACATGAGAGTACTTGATCTTGCGACACATTTGCCATCGCACAAGCACAAACTGAAGGGCAGCGTTGCATGGTACAAGCTATGGAACAGATATCAACAGCTACTCAATCTGCACAAGCGGTTCGGCAAGCACAAAGAAGAACGGGAATCCGAGTCACGCACCACAGTGATCTATGGCCATAACGCTAAAGAAGGCTTGCAGATCCGCAGATACACCAAGGGCCTCGACACTGGCTGTGTGAAGGGAGGCAAGCTCACCGCTTTGGTGGTTGACGGCGACGGGAGGCAGCAGATAGTCCAAGTCAAGGCCAAAAAGCACGCGCACCGTTCGTCCCTTCAAGTCGACGTACTGCGAGATGGAGGGCCGGAAGCACCTCCAAGCGACAACGCAGGTTGAATCCACGGAATTGTATTGCGAGACGTTCCCGCGGTGTGGGTGTTGATGGCAGCGGGCTGGCTTGTCGCCTGCATCCGACACGTCAAACTGACACACGAGGGAGAACATGACTGACCTCTGACCGCTCGAGCCGCATCACTGGAATGTGACAGGGTCTATGCCGCAGATTCCTATTGTCAAGCCGGTTGCCGCACCTTCAGAACTTTAATCTCCGATCGACACTGAATGCGGAAGACTCTATTGTCTGTCAATCGTGACACTCGACTTATTCTCCGTCCCCCATTGTTCTCGAGTGCGCATCATGGATCTGCATGCAAGTTCTTTCTTCTGTACTCGAAGCGTCCATTGCGGCGACAAAGAAACACTCGAGCCTTACTCTGCGTACCAAGGAGCTGTAGTACGCAAATCTCAAGTCATGATCTATCGCCCAACAACAAATCGAGACAACATCGCACGTTCACGAGTGAGAATTCTGAGACGTGACTTTCAAGAAACTGAAGGTCGGTCCTCGCGCATGCGACTATGGACTCGGAAGACAAGCTGTCGGGTCCGCACCGAGATGACCACGGCGAACCACAAACTCCCGAAAGTAATGTTTCAACCTACACAAGACTCGGAGTGGGTGGCATTACATCGCCTCAAGGCAGAGTTTTGAGACCTCCGTCAGCAGCAAGTCGACAGTCATCAGCAGCAGCAAGCCGACGGTCATCGGCTTTTGGACTTGCTTCCCGGAGTGCCTCGTCTGCTTTGGGTCTAGGACAAGAGAACGACATCACAGACTTGAGCAGCTTGGCAGATCGGCTTGCGAGGTGGCATTCACCTCAAGGCACCCTCGAGGTGACCGAGAATCAAGAGGAGACTGAGGTAGGAAGAAGCAGTCGACCGAGTTCAAGAAGTTTAAGCCGAGGAAGTGGCGCTCACGATGATGCACCTGACAGGCGAGGAAACGACACGAGCGCCGAAGAACAAGACGAAAGGAAGGACAGCAGAAAGAGTGGAGAAGAGAAGCTACTTCTCGACAACGAAAAACTCCGCTTGGACAGAGCTCAGTTGGAGAAGGATATCAAGGTTCTCGAACGACAATGGGACGAGCAAGCAGATGAGATCCGAGAACTGCGGGCAGAACAGAAAGCAACAGAGTTGTCTGCCGAGCGTCGACAGCTGGACATGTTGGAACTTCAGATGTCGAAAGAAGATGCGGATAAAGAGCTGGAGATCTCAGAAGCGCGAGTCGCTGAATTGGAAGAACAAGTCGCACGGCTCCGACGTTTGGAGGGTGTCCAGGAAAAGTTGAACAAGGCAGAATGGCAATTGGGTGATTATTATAACGAGCTCGAAGGCAAGGAAGCTGAGTTCATCCGATTGCGCCAGGAAGTGGAAGAGCTCAAAGCGTCCAATGGTCCACTTGAAAGAGCCCTCCAGCGAAGCGAGCAAGAACGTGACAACCTGAATGCAGAGATGCAAACCGTCCTCCAGTGGATGGAGAAACTGCATGAGCAGCAGGTCAAGAGCGATATCGACCAATTCCGAGAATATGACAACCAATTACTTGAGCGTTTGGATCGACGAGAAGCCGCGCGAAACCGTGGTTCTGTTGGGTCATCGCCGCCACAGCACGAGGTTCTCGGTGATTTCATGTCTTCACGGCCACAGAGCCTGACTAGCCAGTCAAGGATCTCGTTGGTGCCACACGGCCTTGACGCTGAAAGAGGCGTCCGCTCGAGGCCGCAGAGCACGGCAAGCTGTGTGCCAGAGTCGGCCGCCGTGCATTCCTCTCCACGGCCAGCCAGCATGGCTCCGGCGGCGTCGAGCCAGCCGGATGATGGCGCATATCATCAGCGACGGGAAAGCCGAAGGATCTCTTTCCAGGGACTCAACTCACGTCAGCATTTCGATATTCCTCCTATTCATCGTCGATTAGAGCTTCTGCGGAGGAGGACCACCCCCCCAACCTCGTCGCGTCTGAGACACTCTTCAATCCCGGCAGAATCTCGTTTAGATGCGTTTTTCCGACCAAGTAATGTTCCGTCATCGCCGAGTCTCCTGGATCTCGCCAGCACCGATGTCAGCGAAGGTCTCTCTAGTCGTGCTCTCTCAGCTCCCATCACCAAAGAAGAGCACGCAGAGCTACGTGAATATGTGAAGGTAAAGTTTCCTGTACCGATCACGTGGGAGAACGCCAAAACTCGGGCAGTCTTTGAGCCTGAGCATACAACACCTCCTGAAGAGAGCCAGGCCGTGCCTCTCGAAGTGGGCCAAGCCGCGTTCTTCGAGGAAAGTCTGGCTGTACGTCCTGGAGAGAGCCAGTTCGAACCTCTTGAAGAGAGTCAGGGCACGGCACCCCGCGGTGTAGCCTCGTTGGCCAGTCCATTTGAGTGGCAGATCTTGGGATTAACTTTTGGCAATAGTGTTAGTAAACATCCCCAGCGACGTACCTCCCAGCAGCCTGCCGCAATCACCATGAAGCTGGAAGGACCGTCGTTTGACTCATCGAAGGATTCTGTGCAGGCCTCCGCAGAGGTGGCCAAGTATGTTCCTTCAAGCCCACTGTTGGCGGATTCTTCCAGGAATTCGAACACCGCCGAGTTGATAAAGGCCACTGGCAGTAGTAGCCCTGTCAGTCCACTTGTGGCTAGTTCCGGCTTGCGCAAGAGACGTGGCGATTTCTCCTCGGTGACAGCGCTGGGCTCACCGATAGCAAAAAGTCGCGACTTATTCGATTCTCTAGGAGCCCATTCACCTACAAGTCCAACGAAGAGTCCGAACATGAAGGCACTCCCCTCGCCGAGGTCCACGTCTACTTCTACTACACCGCGAAGTCCTTACAAGATTCCTCTGCCTGCTAGCGACAATGAGGCCGAAGGGGCCGGGACCGCTCTCATAACGTTCGTCGATGCGTTCGAACCACTCCCTCTCTACAAGCGCAGAGATGGCGGAGTACGCAAACCTGCGCTGAGGCGCATTCGAACTGGTCCTGTCCTGTCCGCTCCCAGGCCCGTTGTTACAGCTCTGTCCGATGAAGTAGACATAGACGGTCTCGCAGCTCAACAGCAGGTAAGTTCAGATGTTGCTGCCACCACACTTCCACAGGCTGCGCTTGCGGCGAGTCAGACACATGAGTCTACAAGGTCGGGAGCAGTGTCCATGGGTATTCACAGATCAGAGGCCGACGTTGGCCCCTTGCCAAGATATACCGAAGGATCGGCAGACAATGAACAGAAGGGAGTGGACGCGGACCGCGAAACTCGGCCACATATCGTCGCGGGTGTGTTGGTCGCAATCAACATAGCGATGTTTCTAGCAGCGATGCTCGTTCTCTACACCAACCTCTCGGTTCTCAGAGCACCTACTCCTGTGTGGACGTCGGCACCTGCTTCGGCATGTCCCCCCCGTCAGATCGGCTGCGACAACCCTGATTGGGAATCATGCAATAGCGTCCATGAGGTCCATTTCGACAAGATGACAGATCCGCTGTGGATGACCTCGACGTTAACGGAGACATCGACTGAAATTATAACAGAGAGAGCCACGGAAACTCAGACGAAGACTGAGACAGAAACCTCCACTAAGATCGACTACGAGACACATACCAAGATAGTGGTGTCGACAGAATTGCTGGCCTTGACCACCTTCGAGACACAATTTATCGCAACAGAGACGGAAGTCGAGGTCGAGACCTTTACTACAACATCAACATCGACGCTCGTTCAAACGCAAACCGAGACCGAGATCTCGACATCAACAGCAACAGCTACAGTGACGAAACTTGAAGTCGAAGTCGAAACCGAAACCGAGACGCTCATCAAGACTCACACTTTCACAGAAACAGGCTCTCTAGCGTTGTGCGCCGATCCTCACTTCCCTCGGGATCTGCCCATCCTTCCACCAACGCGATCCTTCACGGGTGCTCAATTCCCGAGTTTCATGCTCATGGATCCCGCGTCCGGCCACCCGAAGCCTGTTCCCGCCCCGCGACCCGTACCATCCACAGGCATATCACACTCGTCTGCGTCGCCATGCGAATGCGCCTGCCCTCACTCTCACCCAGTTCCCAGCTCGACGTCAACGAGAACCATGGGGTTGACAAACTCCCAAATCGACGCCCGAGCCGCGAAGGTCAAGCAGAGGACCGCTCAGTCGCAGATGCACATGCAGCATAACCGCGCGTACCTGGGCCGCACGTACTGGGGCTTCATCCCGGAGGTGCAACGCTTCTTGGACATCGTGCACTTTGAAGTGACGGAACTGTTGTTGGGCGGCACGCGGGGAATGCGGAAGTATTAAAGCACACATGTGTGGTGACGTGGCGGGTGGTTATCTACTGGTTGGTCATTTACCTGACCGTGAGCGATGTCTGGGGCGAAAAGATGATGCAACGCAGTGGAGACTGTGCGTGCGTGAGTGAGTGGGTTTGTGCGCAAGGCGGGCTGCTGACTGACTTGGCTGGAAGTCGTGCGTTCAGCCGAATCGACGACATGGAGGTGATGTGGGTGGACAGACATAGGAGCACGTTTGAGGTGTGCATATCTACCTACCCTCGAACTCGTACCAGCTTGAACCAATAGTAGGGCAGGGAGATCCATCCGCAGAGATGACCATAGTTTTCGCAGATAGGCACATACCTACCTAGGTAGCCACGCCAGATTCAATCAATACAGGATGAATGACCAAACGAACGGACGAATAGATGAATGATAGTAATAGTTGGATTTTGCTCGTATAAGAGAGGTAAGGGTACTAATACAGTACATACATACAGGACATGACATGGATCTTATCCATCTACAGTACTAGTTAAACGGTACTTCCAGACTTTCTACAGTACAGTACCTGAGTGCCCGAGGTATCCTGCGCGGCATCCAAAACTTCAAAAATGCCTTCCTTGGTCAGGGAGGAGTCGAGAGGAAGTCCCTGGCTCGCAGCCTTGGAGCTTGAGACTGTCCACGCCAGCCAACTCCTCCTTTAGACAGTAGGGTTGAAGACGACCTGATTTCAGTGTGATCACAACTTCGGGGACTTCATCTCTCCTGAAAACACCTGCAATGCTCGGGGGGTATCTCATAAACGTTGGGTGATCTCTTTCTTGCAGTCGGTCACTCACTCACTCACTCTCTTTCTCTCTCACGTCAAGTTCCGGTGGTTCCCACTTCTCCTCTGTTTAAAGTATATTGTATTTCACGACATATTGGTGTCGTTGAATTACTGCTTCTCGTCGACAGTATGTGCTTCGACGTCTGTATACTCGGGCGGCGTGTCTATCGCCTCTTCGTCGATGATCAACGCGTCCTTCTCTTCCTCGTCAAGCACAATCTCCACGACACGGATGTCCCGTCCGGTGGCATTCCCACGCACTCCGCCCCGGTGGAATCGGATCCACAGGTACGAGATGCATTGACCAACGAGCATTCCGATCGCACTGGCCATGAGGCCACCGATGACGCCGAGGATCGCAGGGATGACGAAGAACCGGAGCGTTTGGTGCAGCATATGGCCGAAGCGGTGGAAGCGGTGATGGGCAAAATGCTGGCCGTGATGGTGAGGGCCGTGATGGTGAGGGCCGTGAGGGCCGTGTGGGCCGTGAAGACCATGGGGACCACGATGAGGAGGGCCATGGAACCCGTTAGGAGGACCGCGATGCGGACCACCATGAGGTCCCCCAAAACCGTGGGGAGGACGGCCACCGAACATGCCTGGTCCCTTGCCGCGGCCACGTCCACATCCTTTGTCCTTGGGTTGATCCTCGCTGTTGTTTGCGCTACTCCAGGCCTTTGTTGCAGAGGAGGCACGTGCTTTTGCGGCTTCCATGATTGCTTGCAATCGGGCGACGATGATGGCCCGAAGACGGCAGAGAGACCATTTGGAAGTTGTGTCGCACGTTTGGGCGCCCGGGGTGTCTTCAAAGGGAATACTGAGGATACGGGCGATGGAGGTTTGGTCGGAAGTGTGCAGGAGCTCGATGGCGATGGTGTCGACCTTCACTGGGTAGCCTTGAAGACCAAGAATCGTGAACCTGAGGGGGAGGATTGATACATCGGGCTCGTCGGCGGATGTGATAGGTGGTAACCTTTCCCAGGCAAAGTCCAGTTGTACTGGGTCTGTTTTTCGACCATCTTCCACCCGAATCTGGGGCGCAGTGACAATGTAGGGGATGGCGGCGTTGGAAGGGTCGGAGGAGAAAATCGGAAGGCCATTGATAGTCAGGCCTTGTTCGGAGTCCATGTCGAATTCAAGATGCTGTAGAAGGCGGTGGTCAGCATGGTCATCATCCTCCCCGGGGTGAGCACGTGCTTACTATTTTGTTCTCGACATCGTCTTCTGGATGTTGTGTGTCTTCAACACCAAAGTAGGGACATCCAGGGCAGTCAAGGTCGACGGTGTGGCCTGTAGTAGCGAGCAGAGAGGCCAACTCGGACTTTGCCTGTTGTGCGGCTTCTGACACTTCGAGGGGCACAAGGAAAGCTGACGCCTGGAGGGCCAGATAGCCCGCGACCAGCGCAGGGGCGATGTGCATGGTGGAGGTGAAGGGCTCTGATAACGTTGAGACAAACGAGCAAGAGAATGTCGCAATTCGACGAACAGCAGCGAACAGTATAGCCAAACAAAGAGAGATCCAATTAGTAAAGCGGTGGTGAAGAAGTGGTGAGAGAGCAGCGGCCTGATTGTATGTACTGGCACCTCGCACACGCAACTCACGGATGCGCCGGGACTTGTTTTTATGAATAGAATCATCGCCGGCTCCGGATTTCAACAAACACCGAGCCGCCAGGCCCGCGCTAGCCCCAAATTGGCCAGCCAGGCGCGCCATCACCACCGTAAGCGAACCTTGTTATGTCAGCGGCAGGTCCTGCACGTGCTGTCGAGTCTTACTAGGGTCTCACTTCCTTCTCATTATTCCTCATCGTCTCATAATTCGTTCTCGACAGCTTTGTTGACTCTCTAAGCCGATTAGTGGTTTATCGCAGCTTCTGTGTGCCAGAACCTGTTTTGCTTACCCCTAACTCGCTGAATAGAACCCCCAGGACACGCTGTTTTAATGCTGTGTGACAGTCATGATTCGGCAGCAGTCTTGCTCAAGTGACCTGTGCAAGCAGAGAAGTCGGAGCTGAGGAGCACCTTCGTCCAATCCAGCCTTCTTGCTGGCTGAGCAGTGACAACTTCTCCTCGCGACTTATATTGACATCCCAAGCCACATGATTCCATCACGCTCTGCACCAATGAGAGTTGCATTTCTTTCACCAATGAGACGCCGCTTGTTGCCTGGAGTCTGTTGGCATGAGGCTGAGTCTCAAACGTCAGGCAGACTTGCTGCTCCCGACCTGCCTCATCTCAGCTCAGTTATACCTATCTCGCACGGTGTTGGGTTCAGTACGGGTAGTAACTGAGCTGATGTTCACCTCTACGCGATCGATGCAACGGCCAGTTACCACCTCTCCGGAATGACAGACCCCTTCTCGGTTGCGAGTGGTGCGATAGGTGTTGTCTCCTTGGGTCTGACAGTATGCGACGGCCTTATCTCCTATTTCTCGGCTTTCAAAGGACAAGATCAATTCCTTAGCAGCCTTTCCGAAAGGGCGGAGCATCTCAACAAATCTCTTCACCTGCTAAATCAAGCTCTGCCACCATTAAGAACACGGACACCTGATGTCGCGCGCTAGATCGAACAATCACTTGCAGAATGCGGGTCAGGTATACTCGCACTTCAAACCAAGGTGGCCGCCCTCCAACGTGTGCACGGGCCTTCGCTCAGGCGGGACAGTCTGCATCATGCCGCAAGGAAGGCGATATTCCCCTTCAACAAAGATGCCCTAGTCGAGCTATCGGGCACCATTGACAGCTTGCAGCAGAACCTGGAAACTGTCCTGGTCATTGCCAATCTGTATGCCACTGGTTTGCCGCTTTCTGTTAGTTGCAATCGTTACTGATTACTTCCAGAGAAGCCACGTCGGCCCAGCTCAATGTCCAGAATGTAGTGAACGACAAGGTGGATGCCGTCATCACCCTTTCTAATGGAATCCGCGCCGGCGTCCAAAATGTCAGTCAGGACATCTCTTTGCTACGCAACGACTTCTCGGCCTTCAAGAGCGATCTCGGAATGGTAAAGTCTGCTCTCGACCCAGGCCTCCAAGCAGTCATGCAACGCATTGACCATTTATCGGGGCAAGTTGGTATGATGCAGGTGTCTCATGCTACATCAGGGGCCAACTTTCAGAGCGTGGTATGGATGTGCTCAAGTAACTTATGGCGGAGTTGCCTCTAATAGACAAGAAGAATATTCAGGCTCGTACGCTCCAACAACGGCTCATCGCCAAGCCAAGCCTCTTCCACCAGTTCTGCGTCGAAGACAAAGAGACAAAAATCACGACGAAACTAGGCTTCCTCTCCAAGAAACTTTCTCATCAATTTGCATTTGTCGCTATTCGGCCCGTCGTCAAAAGGCCCAAAAACAGGTTCTCTCCTTCGAGCACAGCCGATATACGGCCCATGAACCGCACTGTCCTTTCCACGTTGAGGACATAAAGCAACGTCGCCTACAGTTCAAGTTTTCCTGTTGCTCTATGCTGATCTCTCGCAGTCTTCGCGTTATGGCCAGCTTAACCAGTGGAGCTGGTGGATATTCGCTCTCTGCGCAAGTCGCCTGGATCCCGATGGTCTCTTCTGCCTCTTCGCCCGCGTTTAGGCTAATACTCCAGCTCCGGCACAATATCGTCAACAGCACGCAAACCTGGGCGCTTCTGGAAGCGGCCGCCTTGCCCTGTTGAAGCTGGTTGCTGACGGCAGAGCACATCCTAGGGAGACCGACGAACATGGGACTACTTTGCTCGAGGTATGATTGACTTCGGGCACGCCGGACCCTGGCTGATCTTGATCGCAGAAAGCAATTCTACTTTACAACAGTTTGAGGAATGAAGAAGAAGGTCAGCAACCGTTCCCCCGACTTCTATACCACCTAGCAGCCTAGCGATGAAGTCCCGTAACCCTCACGTCACGTGACTTCCGACCAGTTGCACGCCTTTCCTAGACATGAAGCTTGCTCGAACGATAACTAATGTTGTGTGCTGTAGATCAACTTGTGGAAGTATTGAGTCGCTTCCTGTGTTCTCTTGCATCCCTAGGTGGAAGAGCTCCAGTCATGGCGGTGATCAGGTGAGCGTACCGCTATAGCATCGTCAACCTGATCTGATTCATTACGAGTAGCGGAGCAAGTCACTCTTCATGGCGACTTCGTCCAGAACTTGGCTTAGTTTCCAAGCGTTTGATAGATCCAGGCGCATTAGAGCATGATCATTCGCGTCTAGGATTCTTGGGGTGGCATGTTTTGATACAGTATCATGAATGGGATAATGGTAAGAGTTGCCTCCTTATAGCGCCGGGACCCATGCTGAGCTCCTAGTGTTTGATAGCGGACCAGTGAGCCTAGCCGTGCGACGCCGTGACCCTTTCAGACTCTCACGCCTTTTGCAAAACCAAAACGTGCGACATCCGCTACTTGCTGTGAATGATTGGGGACGTACGCCACTTCATCTGTCAGCTACGTGGCCTCTTGGGTTTGCAATCCTACTGAAGCATGGCGGGGCTTCGCTAGTCAACCAGAGAGACGAATCGGGACGATTGCCTTTGACCTATGCCATGGACTACCTCGAGAACAGCAGACCATGGAGGCGTTATCACTATCTAGAAAGGCTTGATATACCGCAGGAGCTGTTGAATGCCACGGAGTTGCTGCTAGCCGCCGGTTCCACCATTGCCGATTCCTCGGAAGCAAGGGATAAAATGGTGAAATTATTAGCAGGGTTCCTCAACACTGGCAATGTGTTCATGGCCGACTTAACGCTCGAGGCGTTTGCTCATCGAAGACGGTATCTGCAGAAACTCGCACAAAGACATCTCCCGCGCCATTTCTGGCATAGAAACGGCGTCAGACCCGACAGAGTTTTGGACGAGAAGGCGTTCGAAGTGGTCCATGCACTTTCAAAGGCCGGGGCCAACATTCCCTCCGCTTGTACTATTCCTAAGGAGCAACGGACGATATGGCATACTCACACGGTGCTAATTAGGGTGGCCTTGGCACAGAAACTTTTTGATGCCGGCTTTCGAGACGTCGACGGGCACGATCACCAAGGCCATACGCCCTTGACATTCTACCACGCATCGCGTTATTTTTGGGACGTGGAAATCGCGCTGGAACATGTACAGTGGTTGTGCTACCATGGTGCTAACTTGCTTTGCGATTTTCCTCCTTGCAGAGGCGCCCAGTTAGGCGGTGGTTGCAGAAATCGAGCTGAGCATCAAAGACCACCGCGGCTGAAGACGATCCACTCCTTTGCTTATGGTTTAGCAAAGTACGATTTCCCTATGCAGCCCCTACAGCCTTCGGATTTTCTGGCTACGATCTTGAGCTCCAGCGTTACCGATGGGTGTGCCTGTGCTTGTTCCGAGCAAGGATGTGTCCCCGATGTACTTCTTCTTGGCCACTATGCTACGCTCAAATGCTGTCACAAATGGGCATCGTCGTCCTTCCCATGGGAGCCTTTCGTTTTACAGCTAAGGTCCTCCTTCAAAACCCTTTCCATAGCATTGATCAGGCTGTGGACCTTCGAAGCTCTGGAGTTGACACATACCTGTTGTCGGCATGGTTGCACCGAATATCAGACCCCAAGGGACAAGAAATGACCGTTCTCAACACCCACGGACGACGAAATTCAAGAGATTCAGCATGAGGAACGAGAATTGATATCATTGCATGAAGAATTGGTGGTGGAGTTCACTGATGCTTGGCTAGTTTACAAGAGGAGCCGTGGGCATTTCCTGTCAAGGGTGTGGGAGCCCAGATTGCAAGAGATCAGCCGAAAACGTGCTCAGTTGTCGGAGGAAGAGATTGCGGGTTTCGAAAGTGTGGGCGTTAAGGTGGAGATTGACGACACGGACATCTTGCAAGGAGTGCAATTCGACGACGAAGCTCAATCCCACGACGAAGGCCAAGCCGACGACGACGATCAGCTAGATGATGACCAAGAGGGACAACAGGACGGAGATTATAACGGCCAAACCATCGAAGGCATCGATGATATCGAGGTTGCAGAGATTCTGACCGAACCAGCGCGTGTCAACGGCCTCGAGGACTACGATGTTTGGTTCAAGATGATCGGCAGGCCAGACCATCGGCTGGCATCAGAGCATGATTGAGGACGAGCCATTTGGATGGTCTCCATAAAAGGCACAGCAACGCGGCTGAACCACTGCAAGTATGCTCGATACATTCTGCAAGATTAATGAAGGCCCACAGCATCTTAGAGACTGACATCCGAGGCAGGTAGTTTTCCTTGAACAATGTAGCTGCTCTTTTTAGCTGCTCTTGGACTCGAAATCCCAATCTATATGTTCAGAAGCTTCAACCACTCGCTGACATCCGCCCCTTCGTCCTGGTCGACCATGAACAGAGGATGTCTCGGCACTGGTTCGGTCTTCAATTGCCGCCCGTTTGGCCTAATACTCTCACCTCGCTCATCACCTCCCTTCCCCGTCCCCGTCCCTGGTCCCCTGCTGCCGAGGGAATCTTCTTCCCCCACCGAACTCGTGATCCTCGTTGCACCGGTCTTTGCCAGGTCTGCGATCCAAGGAACCGCGAAATGGCACCACACGGCGTGATCCGGCCTCAGCCATTCCTGCTCCAAGCAGTCCCGGTCGAGTGTCCCCAGCCAGATGTCAAACATGCAGGGCGCGGCGGCGGCTTTCCACGGCTCCGGATACGCGGAATAAGTGACGCTGTAGGCGAGAGGAGTCCCGCACCGTCCGCAAAACCAGCGATGCCGATCAGGGGAGGAGATATAATGACCCAGGGTGGAGTTTGAAGCTGAGACCATATTGGATCCGTCTTCGAAAGCGTCCACGACCGAAGCGAGCGGCTGCCATTCTCTTGCAGTGTCATCAATCGGTGGAGGTTGTTGAAGGGCGTCGTTGGAAAGGACGGACACTTCCACGGTCTTCATCTCGGTGACCAGGCACATCGGGAGCACACTCGCTGTCGCGCGTCGGCAGTCGTTACAGTGATCGAGCAGCACGAACGGGATGCGTGGCATATCCTCCATCTTTTCGGTGTTTATCTCCCCACTGTGATATGGCGCGACAGGACGGTCAGAGTGTTCGGGCACAGAGACGCGATAGCGTATAGAGCCACAGTTACACCCACCGTGGAGGGTTAATGGGTCCTTTGGGAGTGGCATCTTGGGGTATTGTCTATGATTCTCCTTGGTTCGATTTGGTAGTGTCAGCGTTGTCTTTTCGCAGGGAACTGCCCCGGAGCTCAATCTTTAATTCGTCTTTCCTGTTGTTCCTCCGCGCGGTAACGTATGATAACTAGACACGACACGGCGGATGTCAGATAAGATGGCTTGGATGAAGATTGCAACAAAGGCAGAGGAGAGCGACGCAGGAATAGTAAGTAGTCCCAAAGTCATCAGACGACAGTCCGCAACGTTACATATCTACTGTACTGGGTGACTTGTGGGCCAATATCGCATCTTACCCGTGCTGTGCTGTCTTACCCGTGCTGTGCTGTGCTACGCTACGCTACGCTGTTCCTCGACTCAGACGGACACTCACCGGCACCATCTGACGCTGGCTGATCGTGACCGGACTGAGCGGCCGCATGCAGAAAAGGAGGAACGGGAGGATTTCCCGTGAGTCAGCGAGACGCTGCGTAATCCCTTTGTTGAAGGAGTACCACTCGCGAGGTTCATCGAGGGGCAGGCCGGGCTTGAGGAAGCGAATGCCATTATGCCATAATTACAGTATAGGTTGGTCGCGGCCGCGGTCGCGGTCGTGGTCGCGGTCGGTATCTGCACATACTACGTATCTATACGTTCACGACGTCGAGCAAATGAATGGGCGCATTGTGCGAACGGCCAGTGTGGAAGTGGGCATAGCATTACTTCCCAGCGGATTGAAGCGGCAACAATTGGATTCTTGGGCTTCGCTGCATAGGCTTGTGACAGTCAGGCGCCGGTACGGGGTGCATAGAGATGAATACTAAGTAGCGCTGGTAGCGCCGACAGAGCGGATGTTGCTTGAATGGTTCTACTCCGTACAGAGACTATATACTGTGTATGAGTAGCGTAGATATGACTGGCTGACGAGTAACCATTCATCTAGATTACCTGTGTCTGCACCTGTACATCTCGTTCGAATTGATCTTCTGCGATAGAGTACAGCACAGGCTCACATCGTTGACCCCATCAGCTTGACCTTCTCGTCTGCCCGTGAACTACTGTGGCGGCATCCTGTGTGCGCCGAGCCTCGAGCCACGAGCCATGGCCAATATGGATAAATCTTGCCCGTGCATGACTTCGGTCATAACCTCACCAACTGTCCTCTCTGGTTCAACCCGCCGCGGAATAACTCGCGGATGACCTTGCCGTTGAATATTGTCTGCTCTACAATACCTTCCACATGGCGGGGCTCAACTCTTCCATACCATATACTCATTCCTGCTAGAGGATGGAGTGGCCGTACACCCGACGCGCGTTGGGACACGTCTGGAGAATTAGCTCCGACTGGCTCACTCGTTGTGACATCGGCAGAGAACCCCGGGGGCATGTATATGATGACGTTGCCGGCCCATTTATGCCCGCCGATGTGAGAGATCATGCCCACGTTTACCGTCATGTCTGGTGGTGTTGATTGCTCGTTTGACGCACTCGTGGTAGAGCTGGTGATAGCCTCGAGCGATGACTTGTCTATTGACTGACCCTGTTCTTTCGCACGGCTTTCGCGTCCCAATCCTTCGACTGGGCGTGAATCATCGCCTTCCGATGCCACGAATTCCTCCGTGGTCGAAGCACACAGCTTAGACCGCGGGTCATCTCCCTTCCGTTGATCCAGGTACCTGTTGAACTCATCGTGCAGAACCGGTCCGAGGATGCCGCACCGACTGTCGCGTTGACCATGGCTACATATTAAGATGGTGGGGTTCGTGATAGGCAAGCTATGCCAACGAGAGCGCACAGCTGCAGTATCGGATATCGAATCCCCAGTATTGGGAGTCAGGTTTTCGACGATGAAATCTCTCAGACTTCCTGATGTGACCGAGTCGGGATCAGGTTGTGACTCGGTATGTGGATTTGATGCGGTGTCTCCAACTTCTTCTGAAAGCGGGACAAGGCCTGTAAAGTGTCGAAACGCCGGGAATAGGAGGGCGTCAGCGGTGTCTTGCTCTTCCCATTCTCCCTTGCCGTTGACCCGCTTTGTCGACTGCTTGCCGCCCGCTGACAACGGTGTGAATGACGAGGTGCTGATCATGGTAGCATTGAACGCCTAGATGGGTCCTTGTGTAAGTCAGCCAAATCCTGTCTTCTCGAGTTCGTAGCATCCGCTCTATAGGACACCTTCTGCGGCGTCGGTGACTGTCGCTACAACAGGGTACGGGGGTACGGGCACCAACGTACGTCATGAAACTCCCCTTTGCGACCCAACAACGCCTTCAGATCGCCCACAACCTTGCCCCAGCTCGTGCCATTCTCCCTCTCATCTTCAATACGACTCGTCCAATCTGACCGTCCTGTGGAGATGATGAGGTGCTGTGAGTGTGCCGAGATGGTCCCATTGAGAGTATTCTTGTGGTCTATTTCTTGATCAAGAGGGGGCATGGAGGAGCAGGGACATGTTGGATCGGGGCATATCTCGACAACTGGGAAGGGTAGCGGCGGGGACGGACGGTGGGATGTCAGGGTGCGCGGAGAGGAGAGGCGAGTGCGGCGGAGGAGCGCGGGGGATCTGGAGGACGAAATGCAGATGGGAAGGACAGAGGAGGACCTCAAGTGAGGCATTAGGACGACTCCGAGCGGATTAACAAGTGTGTCAGCGTCGAGCAGAGAGGGAAGCATTGACATGTGCAGGACTTGTATCTCGAAATTGTCCAGCTTCGGTTGCTCGGATTTACGACGTCATTATGAGGAGACCCCATTTTAGGCAATGAAGCGCGTCTCACGCCTCGCGCCACGCGTCCCTCCTTTCGCCCTCAGCCTCGCGCGTGTTGCTTCTAGATTCAATTCATGCTTTCTGATATTATCACAGACTATGTGCATTATGTGGCATTGTGTCTCACTCAAGCTCCCCGGGAGCCGACTTTGATTGTCACCGCCAGCCCATCACCCGCTCTCTCTGCACGGGTCTGGGCCGATGCTCGAATTCAATGGCACCAAAGTCATCTTCGTCCAGCTCATCCGAGTCCCATTCGTCTTCCCGGTCCTCTCGTGCAAGCTGGAGAAACTGGTCCAGGCCCATACCACGGACCGGGCCAGCTTGCTGGTTGCCTTGGCCAGGCGCTGCGGGTGGAAGCTCTCCGGGAGGGTCGGCGGGGTCGTTGTCATGAAATAGAATGTGAGGGTTGCCTTGGCCCAGACCATCCAAGCCTTCTTCCACTCGGACATCGCGTGGTGCACTGTATGGCATTAGTCCTGTTATCATGTCCTCTTTTCAATAGTTTCTTACCGAGCCGCGGGTTGACCGGCTCGCGCGCGAGCTTGATGACCCTGACCGTGGTTGTTCCGAGCAGGTTCATTTGCCATCGCACGCTGCCGGTTCCCTTGTTGCCCACCACCTCTTCGTCGCCGTCCCCCTCGTGGCGGTATTGGTACTGGCGGAGGAATCGGCGCTTCACGCAGCCGTTCCGGAAGTGCTATCCGTTGTGCATTCTGTCCAGGCATGACAATCTCAATGACATTGCGATTGCGACGCTGGTCGGGGGCTGGCTCTTCGTCATCGGTGTCCTCGTCGTCTGCAAATGGGCGCTGGCCCCGAAAAGCGGCAAAGTTCTCTGGTGGAAGTTCATCTTCGTCGTCGGACTCTTCGGCCGCGGCGACGGCCTCCCATTCCGCAACGACGTCGGCATTGTGGAATGCACCTCGATCCACACCCTCGCCATCCCCCTCTTCAAGGACCCACAGTTTCATGTAGCAAGGACTGGACGTGTCATTGTAATGGCGGTAGGGATTTTCTGGCATGAGGAACGACGCGCACAGGTAGCAAAAATGGGTCTTGCACTTGAAGCAGGTCATGTGGTTACATCCCATGGTCTTTTGAGCCGGAGCATTGCACGTCGGACACGGGGTCGAGAACTTCTGGAAATACTCAGCCGTCGCACGTTCTTCTTCGTTAAGTTCTTGCTGCCGTCGTGGGCTGCACCTCGCATTCTCGCCGTGCCAGCTTTTCTTGCAGACCACGCAAAACGCAAAGTCGCAGTCTTCGCAGATGGCGAGTCGCTCGGCCATGGGGAGGGTTTCAAGGTCGATGGGCGCTTTCTTCTGGCCTTCTTCTGATTCTGACTCGTCCGTATCTTCGGAATCAATCATGGGATCAGTAGGTTTGGGGTGTTTCTTTGAGCGGGCAGCGCCTTGACACCATTGCCTCGGGCAGTAGACGGTGTTCTTGTCCGATTCTAGCCGCTTCTTCCGCTTCAGCTTGACATACCGCTGCACCTGCTCCGGTTCGATAGGGATCTGGAGCAGTTCACTCGGATTGAGTGTACGATCCCGTTTCCGTCTCTTCAGAGGTCGACCTTCGGGACCCCTTCTTGCGGTTTCATCCTTGCCACATGATGGATCGAGACACTTGACATTATCGACATCTCCTTCCGTGATGCAGTTGTTGTAATAGTCTTGGAGGCACGGCACGCAAAATACGTGTCCGCATTGTAACATCTTGTGGCAAATGACGCCCTTCTTCGGCTCTAAGCAGATTCCGCAATCAAACGTCTCTTTCTCGAAGCGTTCGCGTTTTGTCTTTAAATCAAAATCCAGCAGAGCCAGCTTCAGGTCGCTGGGCATTGATACGTCCGTCTCTCCTGCCAGACCAAAGGCCTTTTCAGCTTCTTGCTGGACGTGGTCGATATAGGTGTAAAGAACTTGATCCTTGCCGATCTCTTCCCACAGCCTAGCACAGTCATCCTGCAGCCGTTGCACGACGGGTCCTCCTAACCACTGGGGCGAAACCGAGACCGAAACGATCGGGGGCTCGGAAGCAGGATAGTCCTTCGGCAGAGTGATGCGCAGAGAAAGTGGAGGCAGGTGCGACAATTCGTGGTCATCCAGCTGAAGTGTTTGCTGGACGACTGGCTTATTGCCCGTCCCGTCATTCCCATGGTCGGAGGAAGTAGGTGGTGTAGGAGGAGCGGGTGGCGTGGTATCTATGGACGGTCTGAAGAGAATGCGCAGTGGCTGGACAGGAGTCACGGAAAGCCCAAGCGTGGCAGTATACGGGTCATTCTGGTCGACGACGATTTCTGGATATATGGCCGCGATGGTCGACAGTTCGATTGTTCTCTCGTCCTCGGCGGACTGTGGCTCATCTTCCATCTTGTCGTGGGAGTATGGTGGCGGTAGAGGGTATTGTCCGACAGATGTGTGACGGGGAGGAGGCACTGTAGAGAAAAGTCAGACAAAAAAGCACCTGGAAGGCATTACCGATCTAATGAGGAGACTTTGGACTCGACTCAATCGATCCAAGCATTTGTTGCACTCATGCAAACAATGACGCATCAGGCGCAGAAAGATTAATCGTCAAAGGTTCGAGGGCAATCTGATTTGACTGTAACGCAACGGGCCGAAGAGCCGCCGATGGCAAGAAAACTGTCGACCAGCGGTTTAAGATGGTAGAGAATCTGAGTGTAACCGCCTTTCCCGTCCTCCTTTCTCGTTTGGCACGCAGTACTGAAGCAGTTGCCCACAAAGCCTCAGAGCATGGACGGTCCGCCTTTGGCTTCGTTTTCATTGACACATGTCCGCTATGTAAGTCCCGTCCCTCTGAATCTTCTTTTGCCAAGCTCATCTTCCAATAGAACCCTGCCGACCCGGTCTCCTATGCATCGGCATGGCTGGCTCTGGTGCCGCAAGGCCTAGTCGTCGTTTACGTGACGTTGATGTGGGCGTCACGGGAAGCCGAGATAATCCTTATGTTTGCTGGCCAGATGGCCTGTGAGATGCTGAACTTCGGCTTGAAGCGGATGATTCGTGAGGAACGGCCAGAACGTAGGCGACATTTGCTCGACCCGAAAGCTCTTGACTGATGATGTGCGTCACAGAAATGTCGGGCAAGGGCTACGGCATGCCCTCTTCGCATTCCCAATTTGTGGCCTTCTTCGCCGTGTCACTCAGCTTGTTCCTGATATTTCGGCACGTTCCCACCCAGACGACAAGTTACTCGCCGACGTCCTTTCCAGAGCGCATTATGCTCTCGTTTGCTGCTTTTATGGGTGCTGGGGCTGTAGCTGCCAGCCGCGTCTACTTGAACTACCACACTCCAAAGCAGGTTTGGGTGGGTATCGCTGCGGGGTCCTTCTTTGCAATCATATGGTTTTTATTCACGACTTGTCTCAGGCAGTACGGCTGGCTTGAGTGGGCGCTTGACATTTGGCTGGCCAGGAGATTTAGGATCAGGGACTTGATCACGACTGAGGATATCCAGGATGCAGGGTGGGGAAGATGGGAGGAACGAAGAAGGGCAAGGAGAGATGGAGGTCGGGGAGGAAAGAGCAAGAAAGCGCGGTAATCGTGGCGTGAAGCAGTTGATCCGTGCACCGTAATATATCTAGATTCCTCAATGCAGTTTGTGACTCATAACCCGCTCACTTTGCTGTCTTACGAGAAAATTCCGCCAGGGCCGCTTCCGAAACCGTCAGTGGCCAGAGTTCTCGATAGAACAAGTATGCGCCCGTCACCAGGAGCACGTAATAGGCCACAGACCATCTCAAATGCAACTTCTTGCCATGCCCTTGCGCCTGGACAACATCTCTATCGTCCTTGCCACGGATGGCTACTGGTGAAAGAGGATACTCTTCCCTTCTGCTGACCCGGCCCCAGAACCGCGGAAGACCAACCCAGTTGCAAAATGCATGGATCATGACACACGCATATAAAGACCCGGTGCGCACGTAGATCCATGCGGCGAACCAACCAAACAGTGTTGTGTAAGTGAGTTGAAAAAGTGTCCGGAGCACGGCGTGCAGGACCGGAGCGTGAGGGTGGGTCAGAATGAACTCGTAGCAGTGATGTACATGAGCTATACCGAAGTAAAGTGGTGTTAAGAACACGATCTTGGATGGCGGGACTTTGGCGACCAAATGTATTGGGATGAGGACGGAACGGAAGATGATCTCCTCGGTGACCGGACCGGCAACGTAGTTTCTGTAGCCTTGCCAGCTGCTTAATGATTCCACGACTGGCCGTAAGCCGCCATGGCGCAGGTCGTCAAGGGTCCGCTCGACAAAGACTTTCTCAAAAAGTGGCCCGATGTAAAGCAGCAAAGTCAGTGCCAAGGCCCGCAGAAAGTCGAAGGGGAGAATTGGCCACCAGCCCAGCATATGGAGTACATCGACAAATGCGAGCTTCGCTGTCCGTGTCAGTATATAGAGGGCCGCTGCAGAGGCGGTGATGCAAGCCAATGTGACCGTTCGAATCCGTGCACGAATCACGGAAGGTGCATCGCGGTTTAAGGTCGGCGAGGGACGTGTGGCGGCAGACAAGTAGAACGGAACCACATAAGCAAGTGTGAACGTGACCTGGCCGGGGGATCAGACATAAAAAGTCGCAAAAGCCATCAATCCATGTTGACGTACCGAAAGTAGGGCTGCAGTGGTGGTCGAGATAGCAGGCTTGTCCTTGTCTGTTTCGTCATGTCGTTAGCATATCGATATGTAACCGACTCGACCGGGGCAAAGGCCAGACATCCATGAGCAGCACATGCCCAGGTTGTGGTCGTTGATGAGCGGTGGAGCACCTGGGGGAGAACTAGTTTCACGACTCAAGGCGGCGCGGATGTGTCGAGACACAAGAACCAATGGACTGTTCAACGCACCTTCATGATTGAAATAAGTGTTTTTCAAATTCGTGAAGAAGTCAATCGGAGCCATGTTATCCACACTGCTTCGCCGTGCAGAGATTGCGCGCACAGTGAGGTCGGATGCGAGAAAGGGGTGTCGTGAGTCCGAAATGAGGGAAGTGTGAGTTCAGCGATGAGGTCAGAGTGAGAGAGTCGCGGCCTCCCCCACGGACTGTGGCACGCTTCTGATTGCGCTCGGTTATCCTTCAGGCTTGCGGTGTCATTTTTCAGCTATTAAATTCGATAGGCAGATATTGCCCTGAGTCTGTGGACAGAAGAGGCAGAGAATGGCCGCCTGTTTAATTGACGCCATCTCATTGAGCCTCGCACCACTCCTCTGGCACCGACTGGTGCGTGCCTGATTGGCGTCGGTCCGCCCCTGTCGCACCGCAAGATTGTCGCGTCAATTTCGCGGCCAGCTCTCGGCCAATCGGTGAATTTGTCATCGCGCAGGATGCCACGCGACCAAAGCGAGACTTCGGTGCATGGCCTCGATTGTAGGACGCGTTTTGCGCGAGCTCCTTGGCACCAAAGCACCCCCGCCTGAGTCTTCACTGCTCTCTTGGTCCTTGCGCCATCTAGCGAGTGTGTTGGAGCCACCTCAATTTAACATGGCTCAAGCCTCACAGGACGCGAGAACAGGCACACTCCTCGTCCCCTGATCCCCGACTCCCTCACCGAATCGCGGAAGAAAGCTAGGAGGCTCAGCGACTTCATCCGACCTCCATCCAGAGACCTCCGACGTTCCTTGAGCGGCCTCAGCATACTCGACATTTCTGCTTCGTGTACGGAGCATAACGTCCTACTTGCACATACCAGTCGCCAAACTTAGACATCCACGGTCATATGCACACCGCCCGTCCAATCTCACTTTAATCCCGCCCTGCAGCATGCATATGCATGTTCGACCCATCTTCAGCCTCGTCCCGGTGCAGATCTGTGCATCTCCGAAGCTTCTGCTCAGGCATCTCCACAAAGCAACACTGACACGAACTTGGATCTGTTATTGACCCTACGCAGCTCACCTTTAGTCACTCGTTATATTCCCTCTCTTTACGAACATCCCTAGCGATTTGCGCGAATTGAACCCGGGTCGCAATCCATTCTCTCGACGATGAGATAGCTATGTCCTCGTCCCCTTCGTCGGTTAAGCAAAGGTCGCCGAAGCGGACTTCCCCAAGAAGGACACCACTGCGACAGCAGTCAGCCTCCCAAGCGAACGAAGTCTCCTCGCGCCTGGGCAAAGAGTCGCGATCAGAAGAGAACCTGGACATATACAATGCCAATCCATTCCCGACAAAGCCTTCGCAGGTGCTGCTGCCCAGCACCCTCCGCAAGAAGAAAAGCTTCGGCCCCAGCCCACTCAGTGATACCTTTGGGTTCCTGTCCGACAGTGAGGCAGGCACAAGCAGCGTCTCGAAAAGCTCGCGGGGTTCGCAGCCTACTGTTAGACTGAAGCGATCAGTCAAAGCATTGAGAGATCTCTATGAGGCACAGGGAGAGGACACTTCGCGTCCTTCCACCGCAACATCACCGCCTCTGCGCCCGAGCACGGCGAGTTCATTGCGGTTGAGAAGCCTCAGCTCGAGCGAGAGCTTGTCCGGGAGATATGCTTGGGAGTCACTTCATCACATTTCAAACGAGGATTTGGCATTACTGCCGGCCTTGCCCTTAGGGACCCCTGCTGCCAAGAGGATCTCGTCGCGGACCTCAGTGTCCATAGCTGGAGATGCCCCGGTGACCTCGAGCCCAAACTACAAAGTGCTGGGCGCAACATCGAGTCCGCGGCCTCCGGCGTTCAAAGACCCAAATAGCCCTCTGCTGGAAGCCTTTGAAGACCCACCAAGTACAAGCTCAGCTGAAGAAAGCTCCTCAAGTCCCAATATCGTCCGCCTTGCACAATCCTCCAGTACAGAAGACTTTCAAAGCACTGACCAGTCCTCGAGCCCCAACGTGGTCCGCCTTGGCCACACGTCGAGTACGGAACGGTTTAGTGACGGCGAGCCATCGTCGAGTCCAAATGTGGTAAAATTGGGAACATCTTCGCCGGGACATTCCCCAGCTACAGCCCGGAAGGCACATTCGGATTACTCTATGCGGTCTCGGTCGTCCTCCTCTATTTCTCTGGGGAAAAGGAAAAGGTCCGATACGGCTAGGGGGCGGTCTTTTGCCGAGAGGATACGGGCAGGAAACCCTCTCGCATCGAGCCCTCCAACCAACCGCCACATCGACATTGTGGCTGCAGGTACAAGCTCTCCCGTCAATCCAGGTCTGCCCTCGTCGGCACCACAAAGCATTCAGCAAAGTAGCATTGTCGATGAGTCGAGTCCAGTAGTTCGAGTCCTGGGCCGGGATGACCCTTCGTCTGACGGCAGCTCGGTTGCTGAAACCCATTCGAGTCTTCAAGCGGCCCTGAGCTCCAGCCCGCCTAGGATTCAATATCCGGTTGTCCGCGCTCCACCTCCCAGTCAGCAGGTCGGCATCAGCGTCCCAAAACGCAACTCGAGATCGATGTCTACAGAAGGCTCAGCACCAATGTCTTCTGCTTTATCAGCAATACCATCTGAAGGCTCCTGGTTGAGGTCGAGACACATCAGCGAAATCAGTGAGATCAGCGAGCTCTCTTCGGCTCCGGATCTTGATGAATATCTCAACTCGGAAGACCTAGCTCCAGCATCTAAATACATCATCAATGAGTCTGCGAACCAGACACAAATTCGGCTTGTTCCAGGTCCGCGAACGGGCACGGCAATTGAGTCGCAATGTGATCCCGCAGGCGACCACCATTCGATCGACCCTCACTACCACGAAGCCTCGGACGAAGTTTCCGCCCTTCCCATGTCAGAATATGCATACAGATCATCACCTCTCCGACAGGTTCGGAGCGGTAGCCTCTCCTCAGGCACCAACTCAGCACAACAGTCTACAACTCGCCTTAATTCCATGAGATCATTTACGCAGTCACGACAAACCAGTTTTCTTCGTCCCAGCTCTTCATCCAGCAGTATCATCAGCGCCGCTCCGGTCCCCTCTTGGGCCCGGAGGTATTATTCGGGCATGTACAGAGATTCTTTTCAATATCTATATCCCAGCGGATCATATTTGAGTTTACGTTCGCTGGCAGCGAGACAAGCACCGATTCCTGTCTCGACTCTGGCACGAGCACCTTCCCGACCCGACACAACGAGGTCAAGAAGTCCCAGCCTCAGCAACATTCACTACAGTATGAGCGATCGGCTAGGTGGTCTTCTTCGCCCCAAGAGACCGAAGCTAGCTGCCAGAAAATCCCACACTCTGCCGGGAGTAGGACCGCTTGTCTCCAATCCAGCTACCAAACTCCTCTCTCCTCCACCATCAGTAGCGCAGCCCTTTGTGCATGGAGCACGGCGGCAGTCGTATCAACAAACCCGAGTCTACGAATTACCATCCGGACAGCACAGCAGAGCGGCGTCTGTGCCCTTGCCTCCCGTCGATCCCCGCGCGCACTGGGCTGGCATCGTCCACATACACGAGCAACCGCATGAAGATGGAAAGGGTTCAAGCTACACGATTCATCACCACGCGTATACTTACAGCGCCTCTGGCTCTGAATCGCTGAATCAGTCCGTCATTCATCGACCTTGGAATAAGGAGTTGCGCAGCTCATGGCATCGGTGGTCCTCATCTCCTCATCTCCACCATGACGCCCGGCTGAACACTGGCTCCTCTGTATCCCGTGGCTTCGGATTCCCCTTCAACTCGAAAGCACGCTGGACGACCGGCGTCCCTGAGATCACCACAAACGACGGCGACACACCTGGGTCAATGTTCCATGTCGATCTCCGCTCGGTTCAGGTTCTAGCTTTTGCCACGGGATTCCTCATGCCATTGACATGGTTCATCGCTGCTTTCCTGCCGCTGCCAAAACGGCCAGATAGTTTCGGTGACATTGAGAAACAAGTTTACCGGGAGTCCCAACAGCAATGGCGTCAAATCCAAGCCCAACGTCAGTCTTCTCCTGCGCAACAATCCCTCACGCAATCCGTGCGAAACTCCCGAACTCAGGGTACCTCGCGCCCCTCACAAGATGCAGGTTGGGAATCAGGCTCTCTTGAGGTCCTGGCCAAATTGTGTCTAGAACGAAACCAGGCCGGCGTTGCAGAGCTCAAATTTCAAAATGCGAGGTGGTGGAGAAATCTCAATCGTTGGATGTGTATCGTGGGCGTAGTGGTTATTACCCTCGCTGTGGTGTTGGCTGTATTAGGGACGAAGAGTAACTGGGCAGAACGTTGAGTTCGGAACTGAGACTCTGAAGCTACAGTGCTCCAGGAGCTGTCAATGACACTCGACAAGGAACGGCATGATCGGCGGATAGTTTTGGTCTTCAACGCTCTCGACATCTCATCGACTTATCCAGCAAGCGACGACATACGGGACGGCATGCATGATTTGCATCACTCTATTCGGAGTTGTAAAGCAGGATCTGGCACTATCTCTGTCGATCTTTGATCATATACCCCCTTCAGCGCGCAACGTTCTCGATATCCGGTCTTAATTGAACGCTACCCACTAGTTTCAGTTCTAAAGCAGGTACATGGAATGTGCAGTCTCACCTTCTGATCTCGTCAACTGTTTGCAGACTTGTTAAGCGCCGTGATTCAATCGCTAACATAACCTCCTACAGTATCTCGCGGAGGATGAAATGCTAAGCCCCTGTTTCTCCCGTTAGTGGTTGATTCTCACAGTCTGCTGACCCCCCTAATATGCTCATCGCCCCTTTCTTCGTCATGCGTTTATTTATTCATTCTGTTTGTGTAGTCCCCTTTTCAACCACCAAGATCCCCCGAATGCGGCCAATCCCAATAGGCATCATCAACGATAGCACTGACAGGGCTTACTGTTCCGCCACGGAGAGTTACAAATGCAAGGTCAGCAGAAGATCGCGATCACCACATCCATCACCAGGATAGAGCGGAGCAGCATAGGAGAGAACATGAAGGCATGCGACAAAGTGAATACAAGTATATATATATAACATACTGTACAGTATGTATGCATGCAGGCGTGCGTATAGGACTGTCCAGTCGGGGATTTCTCTCGTACTATTTGAGTCCTGAATAGGAAATCCACAGGTCTAAGGTGCGTGGAAAGTGACAATGTTAGTACTCGTGGTACTGTATCTCGTCATGGGGATGAGAATGGACATCACGAGAATGGCCTGACACCCCGACTGGACGCCCCAGCACCCAGTTGAGTTGAGTTGAGCTGAGCTGAAGTTCGCGCCAGCCAAAGCCATTCCTCCGATTTCTGGCCAGGATCCCTGACGCCATTGAGGGAACAAAACATCAGGCAATGATACAGCGATCTTTCTGGAACAATTCTATCAATACTTCTTCCCAGCCTTGCCCAGACCCAGCCTCTAGCAACGGTTAATCATTCGGTCTACCACTGTAGGACCGTCTCCTCTTCTCGAGGTAAAGAAACAACACGCGCCCATTTTCACCGTCCCGCCCGATATATATTCCAGACATTCAACATCCTCGCCCCCTGTCCGGCCGTGAACCCCTGATAACACGCATCACTAGAGTAATCCATGAAATTGTGGATCGGATCAACTCCCGAATATCCCTGCGGACCGTAAGGGTTGTTACCCTGGCTGGCTAGCCCGGTATACGCGGTGGACGAGATGCCCGAGCTGGGACACGAATCTTTATACACAGGACAGCCATCTGCCCACCATTCGTCCATTCGTCAGCATTCCGTTCATGTCTCCTCTGGGGCTGGGGTTGGGGCTGCTGTACACATGCAGAGCTAAGTCACAACAACAATGCCAAAAATTGCGGGCGCGGGGCAGGCTCCCACTTACTCGTACTCGTCATCTCCTGCGGCGTGTCCGCGACATAATCACCCCAATCCCCCTCGGCACAACTATTCCCCGTAAAAGGATGCAAGAGGCCATTCCAATGGCCGACTTCATGCGCGGTAGTACCTCCGAGATTATATCCTTGCATATTCCCTCCCGGCATGGTTCCGCTGAGCACATTGCAGCCATCGACAATGTACTGATCCACGCGAGTCGACGGGGTGACGCCCGACGCGGGGAGAGAGCAGAATCCCAGCAAGGTGGACCCGGCAGGCACGCCGGGCGTGTTGGCCCCAGCCTGGAGCAGGGATTGATAATAAATATTCAGACTTGAGTAGGTTCCACGCCGAAGCGCCCGTTTCATGGCGAGATCATCGCCGTTGGATGCCCATGTGTCGTTGGTGACCCTGGTCACGCCAGCCAGCCTGTACCCGATACTGGCGTTGGTGTATGCCTGTGCGAGATATTCAAACTGGTTCTGGATCATGCTGTCGCTTATATAGTTGGGACTGCTCGGGGAGGATGTGGCGGTATCGGAGACGATGTGCATGTATGTGTCGATGATGAACAGTGGGATAAGCGCTTGGCGGCGTGAGAGGCTCGAGGAGTGTCGATACTCGATGGAGGAGATGTTCCAGAGCTCATTTTCCAACGGCTCGTTTTCTTGCAGAAATTGATGTGTGGCGAGCAGCTCCGCTGTCGGTGGAGGGGCGCCGCAAGATCTGTTGATGGGGCGGTACTTTGCGATTCCTGCGGAGCTGTTAGGAACTAAGGTCAGGATGAAGGTGAGTAGCAGCAAAGCATGAACAGATGAGTCCCAGCACGAAGAAAGCATATTAAACAGACGCAAACGAGGTAGTAACCACCGCCGTTGTGGAAAAGAAGTGGAATAGCAAAAGTCGGTCTCAAAACGAAACCGCATCTTCGAAGCACAGACATCAACACAGTCGTCGTCATGCCCCGTCAAGTTGGAATGTGGGCTGCGATCCAAGGTGGTATTCCTTCCCACGTGATCCTGAACCAGCATGGGAAGGATAGGTTGGGGTAGCATTTGGTGTATTTCACTGTCGAAAGTATAATCCGTGACCCAGTGCATATTCTCTGATTCATGAACGCCGGCTTCCTAATTCCAGAACAAAAACGCTACGTCGTCAGCGTAAGAAACTCATTCAACCTTGTAAGCGCTGTTCATTGCCCCCTGATGTCGCGACCAGTGGCAAGGATACCGGTAGCCGGAGAGGCGTTGTTCCAAGACAGATAGGTATGGTCGCCGAGTTTCCTGGACAAAGTGAGTAAATGCGGACTTGGAGGCTCGACCGAACCTACCTTGGTCTGATCAAATGCGCAACAGTGAACAGCGCACCCAGAACAATGCATAACCCGCCAATGGCGACGTAAGCGATGCCCAAGAATGAGTTCTTTCCACCCACTACTGATCTCGTCGAGATCAGAATACTCTTCGTGCCGTCATAGACCGTGACTGGGAAGACTAGCCATAGTTAGCACCAGATGAATAGCTTGCCCCATCGCAACGTACAGTCATAGATCTCCATCTGGTAGATTCCGGCCGTCATAGTCTCATTGTCGTTCCGCAGAGCCAGCTTGCTGAATGTGGGCAGACCAGCTGTCCTCATCCAAACCTGAAACTCCTCATACTCGGAAAGGTCGGGAATGGGATTTTCCGCAGTATAGCCATCAGGGTATCTCTTGACCCAATTCGGGGGCGGCGCCACGTCGAAATTGGTGTATTTGGTCCTCTTGTACAGAGAGGCGTCGGAACTCCAAGCAATGCTTCGGTTGGTCATGCGGTATGGCTGAGCTGGCTCATTGCCTGCTGCATTGACCAGTCGAGGCGAGTTTAGAGTGTCGTTGAAGATGGAGTTTGCGATGAGACCACAGGGGTAGTAGGCCTTGCCTTCGTTGTTCGTCTTGATAGGGTTGCAGGCGCTGTCATGGATGGTACTATTGCTGATAAAGTCGCCGCTGAGCTGATCTGTGTCAAGAGACTTGACGTATCTTCGGTGGTTTTGGTAGAAGTTCGTGAGACGGTAGTAGAGGTAGACCGGCGGTCCGATATCATTCGGGATGTCGAACTGCAAGGTACAGACTGGTGTGTTGGGGATTGTGACGCTCCATGGCGGTGTGGTTGTATTCAGCGTTCTCTTCCATTGCGGTCTCACTGTACTGTTGGAGTTCTTGAAAGACGAGTGCACTTTGGACTCGGGGATCTGAGTAAATTGGTTGGTCGCAGTAGCGTTGCAATCGGTGTAATCAATCCTGAGTTCTTGGATCTGAGCACAATATTAGCACCTTCCTTGTCTCTCATCATGGTCGCCGTTGCCGTCACTAACACTTGCGCTGGCCCAGAGTAGAAGCCCGCCGATCGGGGCGAAGATGATACCGACTGCAAAGAAGATGGGGAGGACAGTCTTCGGAGTGAGAATCGGTCTGAGGAGTCAGTACAGTCCAGCAGTCTTGGAGAGCGGGGACGGTGCTCACTGCCATGCCTTCAACCGCTGTTGTCGGAATGCGGTGTCTGTATAGACGCTCCGTCAGCAACATTGCGCCTGAGGGGGATCAGTCGCAGGGGCCATACTCGCAGGACGCCTGCTCTTCTGCTTCTTCTTTCCCTCGTTCTGAGGATCCTCTCGCTCCATCGAATCGGAGTGTTGCAACTCTGTCCGCGACATCTTTGCACTTCGTTCCCCGCTGCTGGCTGTGAGGTAGAGATGAGGACGGTGCAGACGCTGTTTCGCTGGAGGCTGCACACTCAGCATCAACGCGGCTACCAAGCCACTGCCTTTCCGGCGCATCCTACTGACGCTATTCCTCTTAGAGTAACGTGCGTATTCTGTCATTTGAACTTGCATATCAATTTTCTGTCACTTCGGTCTCTCTTTCCTCTGCCTTTTCTTTTACTAACTCATTTCGTGGACATGATATTGTAGGAGCCAGGGTTACCTTCGAGATCTCTCTCTCCTCTGCTACGTGATCCCAGAGCAGACACAATGTCATCGCGCCGTAGCTGGAGCGTGCTAGGAATTGCAAAATTCCAATGAGGCTTCAGTTCCTTACCGACGGTCGCTACATATACACATCGATGAAGGGTTTGATGCATAGGCGTTGTTCAAGCTATATCGTCCTTTGCTGGCATGGCTGGACCTCCGAAGACGGAAAAAATTTGGCCCTTTTTGTCTATCACAATGGCCCGAAACGTGCCTTGTCCGAAATACCTGGGTGATCCAGTCACACATTCCGACTCCCAACACCATCGCTATGTCATTGTGCTGATCATACATTGATTTATTTCATCGCTCTTCCGGCTTCTCCTCGCCGGCGAGATACTGTCTCGCCTAGTTCCTGGAGGCAGTCACCCAGGGTTCAAGCTCGACCCGTGTTGGCGAGCTCGGCTATCGTCCCTCTTAGGATGCCGAATCCGATGTGTCGCTCATATAATTATCGTGCACGCCAGCCCCGTCATGGACGCCTGGAGTTTTGACTTCCATAACCGGCAGTAACGGCGTGTGCTTGTGCCGGAAGTGACCGGCCTTGGTTCTTCTCTCTGCTGCGTCCTCCATGCTCGTGCGGTCGTACAAGTAAAGGCCGAAACATGTCAGAGCAATTCCGACAAGCTGGACCGAAGTGGTAGAGCTCCGGAACCAGATCACCGCGACCAGAATTACCCACACTCTTTTGATCAGGGATGCCACCGAGTACGATACTGGAGACATCATCGAAAGGAGGACAAAGGCCATGATGTTCTGGAAGAAATGGAAGATGCCATTGAACACAAATTCCACCGCCAGCTGGCCGTGATCTAGTGTGCCTTTTTTCTCGACAAGATCGAGCGATGCGTCCTTCCATAGGTCCTGTAAAATCTCGAATCCCTCTGTGTAAATCCATACGGGCGCCGAGAACACAAAAGCTCCCACGGAGCAGTAGCAGAGGAGATTCAGCTTGTCCAGTTTGCGAGGAAGATGCGTTTGGCCTTCGGCCTCCGCCCGGGCCGATTCAGTGAATAGTCGCTTGGAGAAAATGTTCTGCGTCACGAAGACGATGGCCGCCACCAGAGAGGCACTGATCCCCCAGAAATTCGTGGAAAGGTCCGTTGAACATGCCAACATCACCCCGAAGGTGAGGGGTATCAGCGACAAATATGTTGCTCGTTTGTAGCGTATTCGATACACAACTCGATACGCCAGTACGGTAAATAAAGGTGACAGCCCTTTGATAGTATGTACCAGTGATACCGGTATTTTCGAAGTAGCGTATGAACTCAGAAGATGCCCGAGTAGCTGAAAAATCGAAAGTGGAAACGCCGTGTACGCGACATCCCATGATGGCTTCCGGAGACCATTTTTCAATGCAGGCACCGATCTCTTCAGCGAGGGGAAGACTGAAGCCAGGCTCGTCAATATGAGGCACCAGATGAACACCGAGGCAAATTGGATAATGGTGAGGGTGGCGGGTTTGGGGAAGGCGTTCAATATCGATTTGGACGAGGTGTTTGTTAACGCCGAGGTCATGTACCAGACAATGCATAGAGCCTGTCCTCACTGTCAGCGTCACACGGAACCTGACTTTCATTTACTCACAATCAGCTTGTATGATATGGGGGCTTTGAGGGCTTCTGCCAGCTCCTGCGCACTTTCGCTGACACTTCCCTGCCTCGTCCGCAGTCTGTGCAGTGCATCGCTAACGCTGCGTTTGTGTCTGTGTGTGTATATTCCTGCAGGCCGCGCATCGCGAAGTCTCTGGCTCATTTTCCTTGGAGGCCATCTCATTTCACCGTTCGGAACCGGTCCCGGGGTGAGCTCTTGCGGGCTTTCTGCGACACTGTTGGAGTTGAAGGAGAAATTCGGAGGGACACTGTGGTCGAAGGAGGGAAATCTCTCATGGCTGGGCCGGGCGTCGCCTGCGCTTTTGTATGGCGATACTGATCGATGTACTGTCCGAGGTTCAGGAGTTTGGGTCATGGTGGTGGTCATGTTCATGGCAATAAAGGGATCGAAGTAGGTTCAGATGGCGCCCTGTCATGCATGCTGTTGCAGCTGTCAGAGTGCCACTTTAAGGTGACTTTGTTAATCTCGCCATCTGGTCCAGAGCGAATGTAGTGGTGCTGTCGACGTGTTTGTCAGTGAGGTGTGCAGATCTAGAAGTCCATGATGCATTCAAACCGTGATCAGTCTCAGACAAGCATGGGTTGCATCGGGCAAATGCACGTTGCAGAGTCCGTGCAGGCGTTGCGCAACGCTAGCACCATTAGGGGCTGATAACGCAACGCCCGTCTTCGGCTAATTAGGGGGTCGCTTACTGGGCCATTTGCGTCTCCGTACGCCATAGTGCCCGCAGTTGTACGGTGTATTCCGTCAGGGCACGTCAATTGTCCGCCACAACATCTGGGTGATTTGACTTGTACCAACCGAGCAATATGTAAAAGAATGAGACGCGGTAGCTTCTTCAGAGGCTTTCTGGCTACATTGCTTCAGGCTGCGACGTGTATTTCCACTCAGAATGCTCAACGTATCCTCCCAGGACAAGGCACGACCAACCAAGGGCCGATCACAATCCTACCCGAGTGGGATGTGCTCGGCCCATTTAGAATTGGAACTCGAGGTACGTAGGGCGAGTCTCGCAGTACCGCCCAGCTCATTGACTGCAGGGTAGAAGTCGTCTGGGGAGCGGATCCCCTTGAGCACTATGGAGGAGCCCAGCGGATCAACGTGGACGCAGAAAGCAGCTTCCACAGTCCTTTGACCAGAGATGCGACGTTGCGATGGCAGCATGTGACTTGCAACACTTCAACTGCAAGGAATGGTAGCACCGTTGACTTCGACCTCAGTTTCGACCAGGTCGACTGGGACTTTGCCCAGAAGATCTATGGTTGGTCGGCATTCCAGTATCAAGCATGGGTGAAAGGAGGAATTGTGAACCACGGCACCACTACCCAGACAGTTACACTTTTCACCAACAACATTGTGGAGCTCTGGGTCGGCAACCTTCACGTTTTCGGCGGAGACTTCTTCAGCTTTGGTAGAGCTCCTCTTGTGGTGGACCTTCATCCTGGAGCGACCAACCTCACTGTTCGTCTTGTCCGAGAAGTCCGTTCGATGGGAGGCATGGGCCCTCCAACTCTGCAGTCAAATATGCATGTTCAAGCCGCTGCACCCATTCTCCACGTCCTCGCGGAAGATGTGGTTTTACCCGACTTGGTTCACGGACGACTCTGCAGCAGTTTCGGTAGTGTCACAGTCAGAAATCAAGCTGGCGCATGGCTAACTGTCCGCCAATTGACCGCAGCCTCGAAAGGGAAGATTGTGGGGATCATGTACCAGGAGATAACACTCGCTCCGGGCCAGTCAAGGCCGCTGAAAATGACATTTGATGTTGCTCAGAAGCTTGACAACTTCCTGTACTTTTCTATAAAGTACTCGCAGGACGACTCAGCAATGCACGAACTCACGTTCACCGTCGTTTTGACGCATACGAATGCATCCTCCTTGCAGAAGATCACATTCCTCCATCCCAGTGGAGTGGTCTCGTATGCGACATTGAAGCCGCCCTCCGTGTCCGCTGCATCAACTCACGAGGCGGCAGTCCTCCTGAATCTCCACGGAGCAGGGGTTGAAGCGGGTGGTCCTTTGGCTCGCCACATGTTTGATGGTGCTCCTCATCTTCCGGCTTGGATTCTAACCCCGACCGGCATGAGCCCGTGGAGCAGTGATGATTGGCATACCTGGGGCTTCGCTGACGCTCAAGCCGCAGTGTCAGCCATTCCGGACTGGATGGAGACTAATCGTTGGGAAGGACCAGGTGTCCACACACAGAGAATTCTGGTTGCTGGCCACTCAAATGGCGGTCAGGGAACGTGGTTTTATGCTTCTCATAAGCCTGATCGAGTTCTCGGCGTCGCTGCTGCGTCGGGATATACTTCGATCGAGAACTATGTCCCGTATGTTATGTGGACCGAAGCAGACCCTCTTCAAAGCAGCATTCTTCACAGCTCGAGGGCAAGCTTTCGTCATGAACTCTTTGCTGAGAATTTGATCGGCGTTCCCATATTTCAGCAGCACGGGTCAGCAGATGATAATGTGCCACCCTATCACTCTCGCCTCATGAACACTCTGCTTGCCCAGACAGGACACTTGGCAACTTACTCGGAGCTGTTGGATAAGGGACATTGGTTTGCTGGAACCATGACCACGAAACCAATGATGGACTTCTACCAGCACCATCTAAGCTTTTCTCAATGCAATCAAACCGCGCCAAACCGCTTCACTTTCATTGTCCCCAATTCGGATGATATGGGTTCGAAGTACGGTATTTTTGTCGACCAACTGTTGACGCCCGAGCGATTGGGGAAGATAACGGTGTCGGTGAGCAATAACCTGTCGCGTCCATATTGGCATCTGCGTACAGAGAACATTCATCGCTTTCATTTGGATTCAAACGTGCAGCTTAGCAATCCTCCGAACGAGATCGTGGTCGATGACCTGCCTCATTCGTTCGAGATAGGCACTGACGAGACATCATTTGTGAGGGACGAAGCCGGTGTCTGGTCTCTTGAGGTCGCTCTCGACTGGAAAACTCAGGATAAGAGATATGGGCGCCAACGAGGCCCTCTCGATGCCATTTTGCGGAGTGATGGTCCCTTTGAAGTGATTTTCGACTCCAACAAGACCCTAACCGTGGCGGTACAGGCCAGTCGGAACTTCCTCCAGTACTTTGGTGCTGACACGAACATTGTTGCCGTCGCAGAGTACGAAGAAGCTTTGAAGAGAGAAGGCAATGTCGTCACCATATACTCAGGGGCTTCTGTACCCGACGCCCGTATCCCCCACTTCCCAATCCAGATCTCCGGAGGATTCATAACACTCAACACCAGAGATCGCAGAGTCATACACGTTCCATTAGCAGCAGGCATGGGTGGAGTCTGGCTTCGCCCTCTTCCCGATGAGAAGCTGGAGCTTGTCGTCTGGGGTTACGACGATGTTGGGTTGCGACAGGCTGCCAGGCTGATACCAACAGTTACCGGAGCGGGTGTGCCTGACTTCGTGATACTGAGCGACCAGGCGAGGTGGAAAGGGGCTGCCGGTGCCTTAGCGATGGGCTTCTTCGACCACAACTGGAAGATATCCCCTGCTTCATATCTCCCGTAGTGTGCCCAGCGGGGCTGAGAAGCAGTCAGTCTTTTTGAAGGAAACTGAGAGCCTGGGGTGACACTGCTGGATACGTCTGGCACAGCTTTCTAGTGCTCAAGCTTTGTTGCTCCTTCTCTGCTGGAATGAATATCAAGGCGCGGTCGCGCCCGTCACCACCAGAGATTGAGAACGGCCACCTTGCAACAAGGAGAGCGCCTCCCTCACGGTGAACATCTGAACCTGGCGCCTTCCTCACTTCACTGACATGTCCCGAAAGCAATTGCCACCATCTGCTGTTCTTCTCTTTCTCACTCAAACTCATCCTCTCGTTTCGTCCTCCACCTCTTCTCCCACTCTCCTCCACCTCGACATTTCGAACGGCTTCCTCATTTCGCAGACAATTTCTTGTCACTCTCGTTGCCTTGACGGTGCTTCTCTTTCTCTCTTCCCTCGATCTATTGCCCTGGATAGTCTTGCATGTTGTAAGGAACCCCGTCAATCACGACTCTGTTGGCGGATCCCACATGGCCACACTCGTCTCAACCGGTTCTCCAGCTGGCAAGATGAGTCGCAAACCAACTCCAACGACTGTCAAGATCAGAGAGGAGAGTGATGAGGCACTGGTCACGGCGGCAAACACACTGACAGTATGTTTGGCTTTTTTTGGCTTCACTGCTTATTTGGCACTCACGCGCATTCACAGACTGCAACTGGCAATTCTCACTCAGCCACTTCCAACCGTCCGTCCTACAATATCTTGCAGACCGACAAGCTGAGCAACATCCAGCTACCAAAACACAAGGAAAAGGTATGCTAGGTGCATTGCTCCAACTCTTTGTCTTCCTGAGCTTACTTCTCGTTCAGACCACCACCAAACCATCTGAGTCCAACACTATGGGAGGTGGTGGCATGGAAGACATCTTGTCCCGTCTCAAGCTCAACGATGCTCGCAAACCGAGTGCCACTGCTCCTCCCCCTGCTGAGGTCAAAACCCGCAAACCTGATGACTTGAAGAACCTTGATAAACTTCTGAACAACCTACAAGATTCAAGCAAGACCTTGAAGAAGCAAGAGCAGGAACTTCGTAATGAAACCCAGACTGAAAATCACAGAGCCACCACTGCATCCGCTCATGACAAGCCCGGCGCTGCCAAGTCTGCAGTAACCAACAAGATCGACGTTGCTGAGATGATGCGTGTCAAACAGGAACTTGAGGCGGCTAGATCGGTCATTTCTCGCCAGGAACAAGAGCTTGCAGAGACCCGCACCCTCAAGCAAACCATTGATCAAGCCATGGGTCCGCCTTCTGAGGTAGACTTTGGTGCAACCACCGACATTTCTGAGACCACCATCGGCCATCTTCAGAGCGCCTTCAATGCCTCTGCCCGCCCTTTCACTTCGCAGACTGGTGCTGGTGGTGCTTGGGCTGGCCAGGACGACCATCGTCAGGATTTTCCTCGTGCTGGCCGTGGTATCTGGAACAACGCTTCCTCTTCCAGGACCGAACTGCTGTCCACCAATGCGACTGGCCCGACATGGAACAACAACCCTCGTGATGCTCGTCTCTCTGGACAAGCCTACAATGGTGTATACGGGGCTCCGTTCTCTCCAGCTGACTCGGCCTTTCAGCACCGCACCTTCTCTGGTCCGACTGGTCCACTTGGCTATGACATGAGGACAAGCAGTGACATGATAGGCATGAACGCCAGTCTCGGCATGAGACGCAACGGTGCCCAGCTGAGAATCAATCCAGGTCTTGCTGATCCTATGACCCAGCTTGGCAGTTACCCGCCCGGCGGTACCACTTTGACACCACCACCAATCAGTCCTGTCGGTTTCCCTGGCCAGTACAACTACCAGCGAGGACTCAATACCCCCATCACTCCTGCTACTGATTTTGCTCCTGGCGGTGTCCAAAATGGTGGCCTTGCATGGCCGCTCTCGGCTAGCGGCGTCAATGCTCAGACATATGTCACTCCACTGGAGCCAATGAACTACCGTCGCCTTCTCGACAAGACTGTGTCCTGCGACTGGAAGTATATTGTCGACAAGATTGTCTGCAACAATGACCAGCAGGCCAGCATCTTCCTGCAACAGAAACTCAAGGTCGGTACTGCCGAGCAGAAGTTCGAAATTGTCGAAGCCATCGTCAATCAAGCCTACCCACTTATGATCAACCGCTTCGGCAACTTCCTTGTTCAGCGCTGCTTCGAACATGGCACCCCAGATCAGGTCGTTGCCATTGCTAATGCCATCCACGGCAACGTCCTATCCTTGAGTATGGACCCATTCGGCTGTCACGTCATACAGAAGGCCTTCGATTCCGTCCCAGAAGACCACAAGGCTGGCATGGTTCAAGAACTGCTTCGCCGCATTCCAGAAACGGTTATTCACCGCTATGCTTGCCATGTCTGGCAGAAGCTATTTGAGCTCCGATGGAGCGGTGAGCCACCTCAAATCATGCTTGAAGTCAACAAGGCTCTTCGCGGAATGTGGCATGAGGTTGCCTTGGGTGAGACGGGTAGCTTGGTTGTCCAGAATATCTTCGAGAACTGCATCGAAGAAGAAAAGCGTCCTGCCATTGAAGAAGTCATCGCCAACATCGACCTCATCGCCCATGGCCAATTCGGTAACTGGTGCATCCAGCACTTGTGCGAGCATGGCTCACCTCCCGACAAACGACGCGTCATTGATCATATCTTGGCCAATTCCTACAGCTACAGCATTGACCAGTTCGCTTCCAAGGTGGTTGAGAAGTGCCTCAAGATTGGTGGACCGGAGTTTTTGGACCGCTATCTTGGTGTCATCACTACTGCTCATCCTGATCGTCCACGCATTCCACTCATCGACATCGCTGGCGACCAGTACGGCAACTACCTCATCCAGTGGATCTTGATGAATACTCACCATCACCAGCGTGAGCAAGTGGCCATTCACATTCGCAAGCACATGGTGTCCCTTCGTGGTTCCAAGTTCGGATCTCGAGTTGCTATGCTTTGCTGCAATCTCAATCAAGTCACCCGTCCTGGTCCAGGTGCTGTTGTCAACCCATTCGGTGCTCCTGGCCAACCGCGCAACCAGTGGCCGCGCTTCCGCTAGGTCGACACCTGGGGAAACCAACGGCCAGAACACGCATCACACTTCAATATCTCATCTACTTACTCGTCATCTCTGTCAAGCTGAAGGTATTCTACAAGACTGTCGCTACAACAGAGGGGACCTACCCTGCACCTTGGAATACTGACGATGACTGACGCTGAAGATGGCCGAGAGAATACCACTCCGGTGTTTGAAGTCAGTGTCATATCTTGGCCTGCAACTCTTGGCTGGTCACTTTCATCCCGGCCTTACCAGACAACAATATTCAATTGTATGTGTTACTCAATATCGACAAGGAATGTTTCATATCTGCCACGGAGACGAACGACGCTGGGTTGACCTCGCTCATGCGGGTGTCTGGGGTCGGGAGTCGCACCTTGTTGGCGGCATTTTCAACAACTATCAGCGTTATGGGAATCCATGTTCATCACTCATGGCAGTTGGGTGTGTATCATATCATGTCCTTGACAATTGTCTTGCCGCAAGAGTGAATGGATTGGCAACAATGACCAAGCAGGTATTTTCCGAAAGCATGATCAGACATCCAGGATGATCGGGGAAATGTAACAGATAGTGAACATCATAGCTGAAACAAGTGCTCCGTATGATCTTCCGCTCCCCGTTCTCCTCGACTCGAAGTAAGACGAGGCACGAGCTCTGGTACGATTGCGTCCTTCAGCTTCTGTTATCCTGTGACCAGTTGGGCGCGATCAAGGACCGCGCCTTCAAGGTCATGGCCGAAGCGCGTGCGACAATTTCTGGCTAACTGCAATGCTACTGCTTCGCGTGCGCGGACTCAGCAGGCGAAGTTAGATGAGCTCTGAGAACACTCAAAATTCGCGAGCTCACAGGACATGCTTGTGATGGACTCGCACGTTTCTCGGCGGTTGTTGTGCTTTTGCCCTCGTGCCTGGAAAGTGGCGAAGCGCAAGTGAGAACATTTCTCTCCCGTCATGCCCCGCATGTTGCAGCATGCGCGATGCTCAATGTGATGCTATCTGCAGTACCACTGTGAATATCAGCAGGTGGTAACCGGTTGCGTGGCTTGGGTCGAGTACCGTTTTAATCAGAGTCTTGGCGAGAGGTAAGGGTTTCAGAGCATGTAGACTATCGCCGACCCTCTTATCAAATGCGGTTGCGAAGGTCTATCCAGCACGGAGAACGGCTGCACGGGCCATCTTGTCGTGCCAGCATATGCGAGTCCGTGATGTTCCCGCAGAAATATCGACCACGTGGAAGTATCGGCTGGCTGGATCTCGCTTTCAGGTAGACACAGAAGCTGATCTTGAGCTGGCCTCGTAGTGCTTGAGGATTCACGGGATGGGGTGTGGTTGTCAAGCAAGGTGTCTCAATCGTTACTCAACAGGCCGCTCGGGGCGATGGCGTTTGGTTGCAGCATTTTCACGACTCCTTGATCTTGGCCGGGCCGCACATTACCATTCATACTGCCGCTCGCCTCGGTCTCCTCTTCCTCTTCTTCTTCTCTGCGCTCACCAGACCCCGTGGCCTCTGCATTATTGGGCGTGGCTTGATGCTTCTCCCCTTCCATGCTCGAGGAGGTAGTCGCAGTGTCGGCGTCCTTTTCCCAGGGCTTTCTACGCCGTGGCGTCTTGTCAACTTTGCTCGTGCCCGGTTCGAGGACGGTGGGTGGGATGTTTTCGATGCCGGGGATGGGGAGGTTGCGGGTTATGAGGTCTACGATCGCAGCGAAGGACGTCGGGTAGGGTGGCTCGGCTTCCTGGTTCGGGGAAGTAGAGACTGCTGGAGATGAAGCTATGGCGGCATGTTGGTCCTCTGTCGACGAGGTGACTAATGGCACAGTGTCCTCTTCCTCAACCCGTTGAGCATCGGTCGCAGCCCTCGTTCGCGTCGATTGCGGATCGCCTGACACGTCCGGGCCGACCGCTGCACCATGTGTACCGCTTGCAGTCTGCTGCTGCTGGGTGTGAATGTGTGACGTAGTCGACCGCGCTTGCGAGGCAGCCCATTCCAGATATTGCGCCGGATCAATGGGCGGATCAATGTTCAACTTCCGTGAGAGGTAGAAGCATCGTGCTTGGAGGACGAGATCCGACTTCTCCCGCAGTTCTTCTGGCGTGGCTGGTGTATCAGGGTGGCCCAGAATTGCCGCTAGGCCAGAGAGGAATTCTCGATCGGCGTGGAATGGGTACGAGCTGACTTGGCTGTATATCGTCTCGAGAGTAGGTGGGCTGGAGAGGGATATGGGGTTAGGTCCGCCTGAGCCGCTGGTGGTTGTTGAGATACTTGGTGCGGGAAGCTGCGCGGCCTCCTCTTGTGGCGGGTCTACGGTGGTCATTGTATGAAGCTTTCAGGTACCGCGTAGGTAGGGGCTACAAGAGTGGAATATAGAACTGGAAAGCCATACAAGAAATATTACCTTGCCTCGGCTTGGGATGGAAGTTGAAGTTGGATGACAGGTTTGCGGGGATTCTTCGGCATTGACGTCGAATTCGTATGTTAATCAAGAGATGGTTGAGGAATACCAGATCGTCCTGCTCTCCATACCTAGTGTTGGGACACAAACGGTCTTTCGCTCTGTAGTCATCCAGAACCCGTGTATGTCTTCGACACGAGACTTCGCGAACTTGGCTACTCCCGCCGCACAACAGGCCTGTGGCCGAACTGCCTTGGCTGCAGCTCCTACGAGGTATGATTGCATCCCGCAGTTTGCTATCGAGAAGTACAGCAAGTACCCGCAACATAGGGCTTAGCAAGCTGTTCCGACTGGACAGTCAGCTTCCCAGTGCATGAATCCACGCTGTGGCTCTTCTACATGTCCATTTTCCATCGTGGGGGCCTGGCGGTTCTACGACTTGTCCTGGCTGAACTTCTTTCGTGTTACAGTCCTCAGGACCTAGTTACTGTACGAAGTACGGAGTACAGACTCCAAGTATGGAGTACTTGTATCCTCGACACTAAACCCTAATGGGCGGCATTGGGCGGTTGGGCGGCTCAGCGAATAAGACGGCTCTAATCCGAGGGGCTGGCGCCTGTTTCTGGCGCCTGTTTCTGGCGCTTGCCGCCGAGCTCATCGCGTAATCGACCTCTCTAAAGTTCATTCCTCTACTCCGTATTCCTTCGTGAACTATAAATCGAATCTGGCCCCTTCGACAACACCTTAGGAAAGGCTCATCCTTACGCAATACTCCATACTTCCGGCCATCCTCCATCGGGCGATTCACTTCTCAGCGACTTTCACTATTCCTGCTGCCGCCTTGCCACACCTAGTTTTTAAGCTTGTTATCCTCGAATATATGCTGACCTTGCATCGATTTCGTCTCAATTGTCGCTTTGGGTTTGTCCCTAACTGGCTCTCACGGCTTAGACTTAAGGTAACCCCTCTAACGGGGTTTCGCCTACATGAAATACACCCATGGCAGATAAGCGCCCCACGGTAGCCTCGCCCGACGAGCTTTTCTCCGATGATCAAAGCAGGGCCTTGTCAACTATGGACTACCCGTCGGACTCGGGTTCAGATGTCATTGAAGAGTCCGCCGAGCAATTATTCACCCGCTTAATTGACGAACACGAATCTGATTTCAAGCAGAAGTTGAGAGCGCTCACTAGCTTTGCCAAAATCCTAGCAGACGACCATGCCAAGTCTATCAAACAATTAAGGAGAGCGTGCAAGGACTATATCGCAACAGGAACACGGCATGCCCAACCTACGCAGAGCCCTAAATTCCAGCAACACGCTGCTGCTCATGACGAAGAAGCTGCCCGAAGGTCAAAACTACCGAGTTCGGCTACACCATCCACTGCAGCTCCTGCCGGGCAGGCAAGAACTACACGAGGGTCGGAGGAGGTAGCCCGACCCTTCCATGGCCGGCCCGAACCTGGCGAGACAGGGCAAAACCTACCCGAGCATCTCTTTCAGGACTACCATCTCAGGAAGGGTGATCAGCCTAGACAAACGTCCCGACATCTATCTCAGGCCCCCGATCACGAAACACCGAATCACGAGTCTTCGCTTGGCCACATGGAGTATCATGATGATAATGCTGACGATGACGAGGCTGAGACGATGGCCGATATCAACCATGAAGAAGGGTTGTTACCAGATAACGACGATGCCACCACAGCGGACATCCCACATCAGATGCATCCAGCAGCCTCCCAAACTCCAGGGTCAACCCCAAAGCCGAACATCGGTGGACCAGATGTTGGACAGACTCCTAAATCTGGTCGGTGGATGACTCCGAAGGTGAAATGGGCAGCAGAGGAAGAGCAGCGAATGATAGATATTATCCACGAGTTGTCCCAGGCGACTGAACAGGAGGGGAAGAAGGGCGACATGTGGAGACGTGCAGAAGCTATGCACCGAGCATATGGATACACTCGTACATGGGAACAAATGGCTGCAAAATGGTCCATGCAAACTCGTCACAAGTGCAAACTACTGGGCTATACCTGGGCAGAAAATGTGATGAAGAGGGTTCCCCATATGTCACGAAAGCGACGCGCACTTTCCCCCGACGACCAGCAATCAGCGCAAAACGACTCTCCTCTGAGCCCCAAGGACAGACGAGCGAGGAAGAAGTCCAAGAAACGTCTCGATGCGGAAGCCACGGGGTCGAAAGGTAACAGCACTCCAAAGCAGCCCCTGGGTCACCATAGTGACCTTAAACTTCGATACACCTTTGAGGGTGCGTCCAGTGATATTGTGCAAGTGGACTGGTCACCAGACGGGCAGTATTTTGCTGCTGCAACTAATTCCGTTGTCGACGAGACCAGCAACTTCTCCCACAACCGACCGCGCAACTTACTCTACGGCTCGCTTCCCACAAAGACAATTCGCGAATTGCCCGAGCATCGTATCGAGCGGCCGAAAGGCCAGCCGCACTATGTGTACACGACTGTCAGTGCCGTCAAATTCGGACCAACCGGCCATAGAATGTATACGGGCGGATACGACAACAAATTGAGAGTCTGGGACGTTGAAGACGAGACTCAGCTTGGATGCAAGGCGGAGTTGCTTTACAAGAACAAGAGAATTGAAGTAATGGATGTAACTGGAGACCAGACCACTATCGTTGCGACTGGCACTCACAGTGGGACAAGATCTGTTCGCGTATTCATTGGCGATGCGGACCTCACTGCCGACTGCAAAGAAATTCGCCCTCTCCGAGAGATGGGTATAGACGCATTTCCTTATGCACCTACCTGTCTTAAGTTTGGCAAAGGACAGAGCCAGAACAGACTGGTCGCCGGTTTTGGGCAGGACAGCGACACTCTCGATGGGACCTTTGGTGCCGGTTGCATGTTTGTGTGGGAGTTCGCCGAAGCTCAAAGTAAGGCCATGTCCTTTGACCGAGGCGAGACATTCGTGTCGGATTGCACGTGGTCTCCCAATGGCGACTTCTTCGTCGTCGGTGCCGTGGCCGATCCCTTTAACAAGCAAGAGCCCTGGGAGCACTCTGTTGTGAAACTGTACTCGACGACAGAACAGCAAACGACGATGACTTTCCGTTGTACAGCAAGAGACATCAATGATGTGACGTACGACTTTGACCTGGTCACGGCCTCGTGCACCGACGGTTCGACGTACGTCTGGGATCGACGCAACCCTCGAGTCCCCATGCATATCTTGAGGCATGGCAAGCCGGTCGGCGGCTACGCCCAGGGACTTGACCGCGAGCTGAACGATGTCGGTGTGAGATATGTGGAATGGACTCGCAACCCTGGCCAGCTCTATACTGGTGGCAGTGACGGGTTCCTCAAGCTCTGGGATACCCGGCGCTCGCAAGCTGATGTCCTTTTGCAGGATGTTGTAGACATTGGAAACGAGATACTATGTGGCAAGTTCTCCCCCGATCATTCGTCTCTGGTGATTGGTGATGAGGATGGCCGTTTGCATCTTTTCGGCAAATCAAAGGCGCCACTGCCGCAAGAAGACTTCAAGTTCATGTTGGCGGAGCGGTGGGCGGGACAACCGGAGAGAGATTCTCTGGACTAACTACAGTAATGATGTTGAAGCGGTGAAGCGGAAGCAGGGAGTATTATTTGTGAGAAGCCGCAACATCCCGTGGGATTCGGTCGATAGACAGGAATAAGTATATACGAGATGGGCATTGAAGAAAAATCCTAGCTGAGCAGACTACGCCGTAGCGACACTGAGATATCGAGATCCGAGATACCGGGATACCCCAGATACCAGTCTTAGACAGTTTCTTGCTCGATGTAATACAACTTTGAAGAATGAATTCTAAGACATCACTGAGATCTGACACTAGCAGTATCCGCAGAGAGTCGATATTGGTGAGACGGATATCCTCTCGGAACCATTCGCGTCGAGGGATGTTCGACACGTCAAATGCCCAAATCGTATCTTTTGACGACTGGCAGACTCGCTGGGACTGGACCGTGTAGGTGGTGACTGGACGCCCTGCATGATGAAGTTGCAAGAAAGAAACATGATGCATACATAAGGTACGTATCCTCAGAAACGACACTCCAACCACCTGGTAAGGATGCTTTTCGTGATATGACCCTCGCTAGCATTTTGTGCTCGTCATAACGACGAGACGGCAGAGTACATCAGGACACATTCTCCCATTTGATATCATTACCCAGAGCACTAGCAGGCTGGTCTCGAGGTTCCAGCAGCGTAGATTCAAGTTGAGCTCAGGAACAGTCAAGCAGGAAGACCTGATTTCTACAACAGCAGAATCCCGCTGAGGTCATTATTACCTTCTCATCGTCGGCGTCTCGTACAGTCTACGTGACAGAATTCCGCACTCCCTGCTACTTCACTTCGGGGGGGACTTGCGACAACTTGACTCACAGTCTACGGTACTCCGTACAATTAGCAGTAATGAATTATGTACTTGATCTAGACTAATTACATATCACCATCTTTATTCTCGCTCTCGCCAGCTCTCCACGGCGGCGAGTCTCGTCCATTTCGGGCTCAACGGATGCAGGTTTCTGGTCGAACCTCGAATCCCGAACCTCGCACTTCCGGCTCAAACACAGAGTGTAGTGTGAACGAAAGATTTACTCATACTTACTGTACTGCTCGGCCTACATCAACATCATTGATACATCATTGATACGAGTCCATCGGCGACAAAGTCCTACGAACGCAATCCTATACATATCATGTCCATTTCTACTTCTACTTCCACTGCCACTTCTACTTCTACTTCCTTCTCCAGCTTGTCCCATCCCAAACCCCCCACCCTCCAAACAGAAACCCTCTCCTCAGCCTCTGCCTGACGCCCGTCTCCCTCAACACCATACCCGGCCCCCACCTCACGGACGGGAGCCACACGCTCGCTGGCCACCGAGAGCCGTGCGGGTAGGGGCGACACTGAGCCGGAGAGAGCCTCACGACCGCGCCACTCTTGGGCGCGCTTTACCGGGTCACGGTCACGTGGCTGAGTGCGATCTTGTATCCCGGGACGTTGTGCGTGGATCTGGACTTTTGGGACGGGCGTGCCACAGGCTCTCACATTTGTGGTATGCGTGGTCGTCAGTCGCGTAGGGTGGGGGTTGGAGATGAGGAGGCCGAGGAGGCTCAAGCAGAAGCAGGGGCAGCGTGTGAAAGGGAAGGAAAAGAAAGGCCCAAAGAGTCAAACGTTGGCCTTCTGGCTTCGGTGGAGCGGATAGGTATCTGATATCCGATATCTGGATTCTTCTCGGGCACCGGTCGAACCAGCGCTAGTGGTCGATTTTCAGCGAAAAGTCTACGTGCGGGACGCCTTGGTGGACGGCGCTCGTCGATATTATGTCGATATCTGGAGAGTGTGAAGTGGTCAGTGAAGGGGCATTGAGCACGGGCTGGAGCAATACGTCTCTGCTCGTCGGAAATGAAATAACACGGACAACACTTACCGTTGTTGATGTACGCCTCGACATTCGCCTCTGTCAGTCCGCCGCTACTTTCCAGCAGCACATCCGCTCTCCCCCTTTCCTTCCACCTCTGTTTCAGGTTCTTGGCCGCGACCTTGAGCCCTTCGCCGTCAAAGTTATCCAGCATGACGACGTCGGCGCCCGCCTCGATCGCCTCGTCGGCCTCGGCTTCCGTCTGGACCTCGACCTCGACCTTCAGCGCAAACCCGCCGACGGCCCTCGCGGCTTTGACGGCATTGGTGATCGAACCCTTGGCCCAGATATGGTTGTCCTTCAACATGATCATGGACGACAAATCGTGCCTGTGTCCGTCGATCCCGCCGACCAACATGCCGTACTTTTCCACCAGGCGAAACCCCGGCGTGGTTTTCCGCGTGCCCGCCAAAGTCCCTCTGTAGCCTGCACTGCGGACCAATTCGAGCATATGTCGACTCCGCGTCGCCACGCCACTACATCGTGCCAGTGTGTTCAGCGCGACTCTTTCGCCCAGCAACAGCTTCCTCGTCGGGCCTTTCACCGTGGCGACTTTGATCTTGCCGCTCTGATTCTTGGGATCCAGGAATTGGCCTTCGTCGTAGTGCCACTGGACCTCACAGTCCAGTTGGCGGAAGACTTCATTGAAAAAGGGCACCCCGGCCAAGACGCCGGCAGATTTACAGAGGAGTTGGGCGGTGCGTGGCTGCGAGCCGACCACGAAGCCGCCGTAGTCGAAGGACGGCGTGTCTTCGGCCAGCCACGTGGTTATCAGCGTGGTGAAGTGAGAGGGCAGCAGGTCTGAGAGGGAGCCATGTTGGTCGTGCGAGCCGGAGACGCTGGTGGGGAGAGGGAGGTCTGCGGCCGAGGTCATGCCGGGCAAAGGTGCGCGCGAGAAGTTGTTCGTCACGGTCAAGCGATAGATGGTGTGCGTACGATCCAAGGGCGATGGTTAGTTGGGGTTTGTTGATGTGGCTGCGGCGTGGTGCTGGAAGTCTCTGACTCCATACACAACTCACTTGACGCGCAGTCTCAATGTACAGTACACTTTTTACCCCGCAAGAAGAACGTCGATGGAGGTGGGGAAGCAGATGACTTCAGCTTCACTTGAAGGTCAGAAACTCCGAACCCTAAATTGACATGCAAGCAGATGACTTCACCTCGACACGCTGTCTCTGTCTCGAAACTGCCTGCCGCTCCTCGATTACCGTCATGGACATTGGACTTCAACCTCCGGACGGACGTGGATAACCAGCTTGAAGGGCGTCGTTGGCTGATGCCGTGTCCTCCACATCCTTTCTGCGACGCCCGCGTCGAGGACGAGCAGGATCTCCGGTTTCACTGTATCAATGACCACGGCTTGAGCCAGACACGGCCCAGCTCTAAGTACTTCCAGCACAAAATGTCTGAGCAGTCATTGATAACGACCAGCCCCGAGATCCGAGGAACCAGTCTGACCTGCCGGGCTTCAAGGGAAGCCTACAAGTAGACGTGAGGTCGTCCAGTAGAAGTTCATCGAGGCCTGCCCGCCATCCGGTCGCCGCCAATCCGGAGAAGACTCGCGTGATGAGTACAACACGTTCACCCTCACTCCTGTCCCTTGTTGACCGTACTCGCTCGTGGCTCGTTTCTTGCGTTCACCAATTGACCGTTTACGGCGCTAACAGAATAATGATGATATTTGACGTGAGAGGGTAATTAATTGGGCAGTCGGTCGGTCGCCTTTCGCCAAAACACCACTCAGGTGTCCTTTTGAAACCGAGGTGAGTTGAGAGTTGAGAGTTTTCGCATGATCAAAAGTCGCACTCATCGCGTGGCCATGTTTGGGGTTGCCTGAATAAGTACGGAGTATATAGCCATGCGTTTGGCAGATGGCAAAGTAATCATCTCAACATATTCTAAAACTGTCCATCAATAGATGTTGGAGTGCATAATACTGAGGAACGCAATCAAGTCCCCGACTATCCTCATTCCGCTTGTGGTGGTGCGCTTCGCTCTGGCTGATATATCCATCCAACTGCTCAACTCGACAGACTGCCCTGGAGCTGTCCTCGCCAACGGGCACGCCTCTGGTTCAGAGTCGACACAAGATAGTGGGCTGCATTGGCCCCCAGCGACTTCTCGGCGTTCAATATCCTCAGCGCTGATGACCGGTTCGCGTGCTCCTGGTTTACCGACCCTCAATAGTCACACTCAGATCGATAAAACAGAAGATACCGGATGATTCCAGAGTGTGCTGTCACAGGGCGTTGGAGGTCAGAATGTTACTGCCGTGACTACATGAGTGGGGCTGCTCCAGATGACGCTGTAGAATACATTCATTCAGGTTTCTGTGCCTTTAGATAAGTGGTGATCAACGATCCCAATGGCAGTAATTAATCAGGCTGAGATGGCTTTTACATTCAGCCTTGATCGCATGGATCAGTCGAGTAGCTTTGATTGTGGTATTACCAGGTATTCTAGGGACGATCAGATCAACCCTGCATGGCGCCGTTCCTGACGTTGGAGGTATCATTGCTTCGCTCTTCACAGTCACTTGTCAGGCACTCCATGGCAATAAATGAAGTTAAGTAAAGAGATGAGTGCGAGAGCGTTGCATGGGAAGCTTTCGCGAGAAAAACTGCCGGAAAGGCTTGTATCACGGGGTGCCCATGGGTCGAGGGACCGAGACTGCCACCTGGCGCACGGGAAGTATTGTCACAGTTACACTGATTATACCGAGTAGTCTCTCCCAAATTGAACATGGGAGGTTTTGTAGTCCCACGTTTGGTTTGGCACTTTCGTTCTTGCAAATAATCTGAACGTTGTGGACTGGAATTCTTACTTATTGACATACACTTAGCGTATAACACCTTGCTCTAGTATAGCTAAGGCTCTCGCGGGCTGGAATCTGCAGGCAGGCTTCCTGTTCTGGCTCCCTGTAGAGCCGCTCACATCCGTCTTGTATAGGACCTTTCTGGAACAACCTTGTCCAGCTTTCTTGATCAAAGGGATCTTGCATGGCCCATACCTTTCTGAAGTGTAGCTTTCTCTTCGAGGTTCCTTGCCCCGCTCAAGCTCATAGGCAAAAGTTTGATGGCGTACATACTCCGTTCTCCAGAGACATAGTCGTCGTGGGCTCAGGTCTTAGGCTCATTGAGCATGCTCCCTGCTTCGTTTAGCAGTACTCGTAGTGATCAGGTAAGGTCTACAGCTGTTATTGAATTGTGTTTGAAAAGCGTTGTTGACAGAGTGCAGACCGGTCTGATCTACACCCGGATGGAGGAGGTGGACTGCCGTTCTCGCGCTAATGAGGGCTGGCATTGAGGTCGACGAGCACGAATGGAGGACCTCCTCATTGTAGCCTTGGCTGGCACCAGGATGACATTGGACAAGTGAATGAGAGACTCGGGCAAAAGTTGCCACTAGAAGCATGGCCGACCAACCGACCAAAGCCTAGGAAGATCTGCCCAATCGATGAAAGGCAATGGCCAAAGAGCCCGAGATTGATGGTGCTTGTCTTCCGAGATGATCAGGAGGGACATAATGAGGCAGGTTGAGAAATGATGAAATACCGGGGATGTACACAAACGTCGTCTTGACCCTACTTTCCACCTGGAAGGGTGAATGAGAAGTTTTGGAAAGGTTGGTCCATGGCGGCTTATCAGCTCTGTCTGACGAAAGGGCGAAGGCGGGACTTCTCTATAACGGTCGGCCCGTGCACATACTGAGTACTTGATCAGATTAGCGAGACCGCTGAGCTCTGGCTGCAAGTCACGCCCAGCACAACGTCAAGTTTGAAGGCTGTCATATTGAGGTTGTCAGTTGCAATTGTGCACATGCCTAGAATGCTTTGTTTGCCCGTGGAAGTTTTGCCAATGCATATGTTGTGTTTCTGCCGCATTCATTGCACCCAGTCCGCCGCCGGTGTCGGCGTCCTTTGAACCGCAACTGCTTCTGTACAATGCCACGACGCCAAGTAGAGGAATTCGAGCGGAAGATCATTGGAAAACGGAGAGGCCCGACCATGTTGTGGCTCATGGGGCCTCGGCTTGTGCTTGTGGCATGCTGTCGCTCTGGCCATCCTGTGTACAACTTTCCCCGGGGGTTGCTTAGAGCTCACAAACAATGGCCATCCGCATCTGGGGACAGAAGTAGGGCAACCCTTCGAAACAATTGGTAGAAAACCACTTACAAGGGCGTTGGGTTTCGAACGAGGCAACAAGCAGTGGGTGATTCCCTCGAGGCAGAAACCTCAACATTCAGCTCGAGTTGTCTAGAACAAATCCAGCAGCAAATTCCGAGGAGTGCAGGGGCCTAAATTAGACGCAGCCTTTCCAATTTGGGCATCTTCTGAATAGCGAGAGTTTGCATGAAGCCAGACGGAGTCAGATAGATGAGGTTCTTGAGCGAATGACGATTGGAGATGTGGGACGAATCGCAGTCTGCAAAACGGGCGAGCGACCTTCACTCACCGCCCATCCGCCTGAGGAAAACCAGCGCAGGCAGTTTGTTGACCCTGCATGACTTACGCGCCGAGACCTTGAGCAATGGTGCCTCAGGATGACGTCGTTTCGGTCTCCCACAGGCATGATTGTGGTCGTCAGCCGGGCGGAGTTCAACCGAAGAGTGATAACAGGCCTTGACATGCACGTTCAGGTGTCATATAGTTGAGATATCCGGTCCTGAATATTCCTTCTGTACTTTGCGCACTGGACCAATCAGCATCGTCATTCAGTAAGGCGCAGGCTGCTCATGTGAGGAAAGTCCCAGACGGATTACGGCCGGCGGCATAGCCAGCCTTCGGGCGCCCAACATCAGCCAATGAGAGGGAATGTTGAGGCAGTCGAGCCACTGAGTCGCCGTGGGCTGCAGAGGGGAGTCCCTGAGAGGTTGCTGGGGCAGTAATTGAGTCCCAGCGTCAAGCTGTGCGACTAAAACAATCCCTCCAGCGCATGTATCGCGACTTCAGTGCGGTCACGGCCTACGCCGATCGGCCTCTTATGAGCGAGATTGTTGACGTTGAAGGGTACACTGGTCGTTTTGGGCGACGAGTCGCGTTGCGCTCCCCTCCGGCTGGGCAAACGAGCGGCACGAAAAGGGTCGAACTTCGCAGCTGTATCTGTAATCGTAAGGAGAGAAAGATAGTATCAGGCTGAGACAGTGGCTTGACCCCACACACAAGACATCAAGATCTGGGAAAGAAGATCTTCGACAGCTGTACCGATATGTGAATGAGAGCGCCGACTTGTGCCGTACCCAACTTTGGTGACAGGAATTGTGGACACCACCGGATCAGCGCAGGCACAGCAGGCCAATCATCGTAACTGACTCATGAGGGAACACAAGTAGGACCAGTTGTGTGTTACCCTGTTCCGATATAATTGTTGACGAAGCTCTCGCACTCGGCATTTGCTGATAGCGTCTGTCCACGTGGCGGGTCCCAGTGGCAAGTCCGAGTCGGTCCTCCTAATTGGGCAACACATGGGCGATGTACTCGGCTCCATGGTGGCAGGGATATGCGTGTTTGCTACCGACAGACAACCACCAGGAACAACGAAAGCTCTCCGTGCTGAGATCTTGTCATGTAGGTGGTTGATCCGGTGACGGAGGATCTCGGTTGGAAAAGGCTTCCACGATACGGATATGATGAGTATTGCTGAAGGTCGCGTGGTATGGATTGTTTGCCTCTGTGCCTCAACCAGTGATTGGTAATTGGAGCAAACAGAAGCGATCCGGCATTGGCCTCCGGAAAGCAGACCGAGCTGCAGTGACAGGGATCCAACAGTTACCAGGGCAGGCTGGAGGCAAAGCGGCGTGGCTCTTGCAAGGTCGCAGCTGCAGCGACTGGGCGGATATTACCAACAGCGAATGACCCTCGCTACTGCTCAGGTTGTTAGCTGGTCTGATCGCGGACTCGCGGCAGGAATGGTGAGCTGCCCATGGATGTTTGTTCTGGAGAATGTGAGCTCAAGTTGAAGCTGCGAGCGGGACTCTGGGTCTTAGCACAACTACGTCCCTAATGCGAGATTCATGCAGCGGACGTGTGAGTCGGCCGAGTGCAGCACAATATTCGACATGGACGTGGAAGTCGAGCGCAGTGCTCAGGGGGATGTGTCGGTGACATTTTTCACAGTAATACACGGTTAAGATTGGAGACCTGCGCACGTGACCGCAGCGGAGTCACGTGCTGAAGATCGAGACTGCGCCTGGACAGTAGAGAGCGCAACGGAGCTGCCACCAACTGCCACTTGGGACTTTTCACAGCTTCCGTACTTCCCCTCCCCATGGGTCATAGCAAACAAGCGACGCATAAGCTAGCGCATTCGGTGCGTTATGCTCGCAGACTCGTATCGTTCTCTCCAAAGCGATCTCCTTCATGATATGACGGGTACGCTACCATAGCCTGTTCGCGGACTCCAGGAGGCGGCAGGGTCTACGCCTCTTCGGACGTCTCACAAGACTATGTGCACCCCTGTCAGTGCAATCAACTTGTCTCCTGAGAGAATCTGGAGGCCTTTGACGAAGACTCCTTGGTCCGGCCATGGTGATCGACGTACCAGGTACAGTTACCTCGAAAACAGTCGTCCGCATTTGGCTAGTTGTCTCGGGCTCGATCGAAGGCGGCCGTTCTGATGCACGGGATCCTGGGAGCTGGACCGTTGAGTCTGCATGCACGTACGCCATCGAATATTAGTGCAAACCAAGTTGGGCGGGCTGAGGCAGCTTCTGCTTGAGCGCCCGAACCCCTGGTCAGTGTACAGTTGCCGGCCCCAACGCTGCCAGCGCAGTCGGTTGATGCCTTTGTGGAAATTGGACCATCCCACACTTCATCAAACGGAGGCTGAATATGCCTTCCTGGTTCACTGGCGCTGGCGGTCCTGGTGCGAGACGATGGCAGCCTTCAGGATGAAAGGCGCCTATGATGTGCATAAAGCAAGCCACTCCCTTGGGAGCGATCACGGCACGATCCGGTGACGAAATGCAGGAGACGAACAGCCATCGTGAGGCTAAGGTCGAAGTCGAGGCAACCGGAGACGAAGTTTGATCCCGCCAGGTCCACAAAGCGCGTCGAGTGACCAAGCCTCGCCACCTTTGGTATGGGTAACGCCTCGTATGTTCCTCGTGCATCCTCACCAGCACGAGCCTTTGCTTCGCCCACTCCGCTTTGCCATCTTCGCCTCGCCCTCCCCCGCTCCTGGATCCTTCTCATGTTCAGGCAGGCCTCTCTCTTTGTCTGGCTCTGCTCACCTTTGGTTGCATCTCCGCATAAGGACGGTGGCGGGCCCCTAATCCCTGCCGCAGTGGGGAGCTGTCCAGCACACAGGTTGTGCCTCTAACTTGGCCTAGTGGACCATTCTGTGTCGATATCAAGTTCGCACCTTGCTGTAGTTGATCCCTCAACATCTTATCCCACCCTCTACTCCATTGTCGACCTCATGTCCAGACGCTGATCAATCATTTGTCTTGAACTTTTTACCTCCAAACCTCCTCCTCCCCATTGCTACCACTTCAGCTTTGCACCTTGGGCAGAGTTCTGCTATTCTGAACCACGCTTCCCCTTTCGCCCTTCCCTTGCCTTTGAGTCGGCAGAAGTATCTGGAACCCTCTGAAACAGGCAATAACAGGCCAACGGCAGCGACTGCGAGCTTCGAACTTGTCATATTCCTTCCTTCTTGACAGCAGTGACAGATTCCGTGGTCCAAACGCTGTGTCTGTATTCAACCGCTTCGATTGTGTTTGACTGGCCTTCTATCAGGTGTTGCGCTTCCAGAAATGACCGAGTATGCGCCACGAAGCAGTCAGGATTACAATTCCTTTCCATATAACCAGCACCTCTCGATGTCGCATTATTCCAATGGCAGCGGCCTCAGCTACCTCTACGGCAATGGTCAGATTCAGTATCCGACTGTCAATTCACAATGTCCAACGTACTCACCAAGCTATGCTCCAAGTCAAGGAACCTCGACGACTCCCCTCTATATGCCTACCACCTCGGGCCACCAACTTCAGTACTCTCTTGCGAACACACGAATCCCCCCCACTCTACCTTCCCAGTCCCGTCCCTACCCGTCGCACTACGTCAGCTCTTCAACACACCGGACATCGTCGCATCATCAACGGCTTGCTTCTCCTCGAGACTACAGCTCCATGGATGGTACCGAGTGCCAGGATTCGCCAAATCAAGACACAATGCTGTCCGAGCCCGTTGTGCCACCTCTTGATGGTTATCCGGATGTACACGAGTTTGATGAACTGATGAAACGGTGAGTTGCGTGCCTCGTTGTAGGAGCTAGTGCTGATGTGGTGACCTCAGCTATGTCCAGGACCTGTCGCCCAAGAAACAGGACAAAGCTCTGATCCATGCCCGCAGAGCCGCCAACATCAAGCATGTCCTCATCGACAAGAAGACGACCTCAATAGAGTCAGCACAGTTCAGGTCCGTTGCACCATTGGCAAGATAAGCTAGACACGGGTTGATGATGTGGCTTACTGATGCCGTCTCGCAGGTTCTGGGTAAAGAAGATGTTTACGCTCGAGCCGAAAGAGGGCAAAGTACCGGACGTAAGTCACTGTCATCAAACTGGGAGGATGGCGCTGACTCGACTCGCCACAGCATCTTAAAAAGATTTGCCATGAAGGCAAGCCAGTCGCCGTACGAGAAAAATTGTTCAAGATTCTGACCAAGGCACACAAACAATGCCAGCATGGTGGCCGGGACAAGACCTCTGCGCAGGTCAGAAAAGTATACTCGTGGTATGGACTCCCTCAGTTAAAGGATTGGTGGGAGCAAGCTAACCACGCGTCCTCAGGGTGCCGAAAGAACTCATCTCGCGATTTGTTAAACTTTGTCCGACCTGCCAGGTGAGACGGGGGACCAGCCGCAATTCGCCGCCAGAGTCAGTCAAAAGCCCAAAAGCAAACACAGACGTCCAGTCTCCGGAGACGTACTCATCTGCCGGTTCAAGAAAGAACTCGAGGGTCGGCGGGATCACAGCGGCGAATGCCAGTTTGCCTTTGCAGACGGCCGGGTTCAAGACCACGCCAACATTTCAACAACAGAACCGTTGGATGACACCCATACAACCACAGACGGGGAGCGCACACGTCTCTCCAGCCACCACGCAGAATACCATCAGTCGCCACGACTCGTATAACACGATGTCACAGATGCCCATGAGCTGTACCAATACCAATCCACCCGGTATCAACTTCTCCTCTCTCCACGCTTATGGCACCAGTAACGGGGCTTCAAATGTATTTACTTCGTCACCATTGTCCCAGCCACACGGGCACGTATCAACAAGGTCGACATACGACGGCAAAGTCGACGCGCATTACATGTGAAGCTGAGCTGTGGCGCCTGGCAATGCTTTCAGATGAGGCAATCCACCTATCTTGACAGGCGCATGACTCGAGGATTCGTCGCGCATATGATATGAAGACATGGGATCTCTTTTCTTTGCTTCCGCGGCTGAATCGACAGGGCTGAGGATCCCGGCGATTGCGCACCTTCTTTCCCCATGGGCACCGACTTTTCTTAGGGCCTCCTTCCGCACAAGGTTCGGGTGATCAACCGTGTTGATCAGGTTGAATTGGGACTTCAGGCGCAGGGTGAGGGATACAGAAAAGTCTTTCGCAGTTGTCACGATGACGAATGAACGCTTCAGGCTATATGGAACGACGAGAAAGGAATACAGGCGCTGTTCGGTTTCGGATTTATGTCTGGCATTTGGTCCAGAAAACCTGGGCGCAATGATGTCGAGGGGAAATGGGGAACGTCTCGAGCGGACGGCGGTCGTGGGTTTCTGGTTGGGTCGGACATGGGGTGCGCAGGAGATAGCAGTTACGCAGTGCTCTGCATGGTCATGACAAAGCGATGCCGGCAGGAGTAGCAATCGATCAGCTTTCGTGGTCCACTTGGTGAACAACGGACTCATCACTCGTTACCAGAATCGTAGCACCGTGAGACTCCCACCGAACACCCCCTCAAGGGGACTTCTGGAAATGCGGTGTGCGTGAGGATGATGCGAGTTGCGGCTCGATTTGCAAAGCTGAGCATCGCTTGCGGTCTCGACTCTTGGACCTCGGCGGGAAAAGCCGGCAATGTGTCGCATCTTTGCCATGAGCCTGCCCAAGGGTCAAGTTGCTTGGGAATTCCTCTGCATAAACCTACCGTGAGCATCAGCACACTGCGTCGTCCCGGATGGCACAATTACCGGGTAGGGGTAAGCAGTTTCCAAGCGCAGAGAGCAATCAACATCCGACTAATCGACTAATCGGAGACGTGGAGTGCTTTGAAACCGTGCCTATTTTCCACTTCTCCTTCACTTGGATGTGCTGTTGGCAGGGAAGTGAAGTTTCAGTCATTCCCACATCGGAAACGCGGGTCGTCAACGGTGACAAAAACTCTGCCACAACCTCTTTTCGAACAAGAGGTCGCGACGAAGTTCTTCTCTTGGGCTATACCCGGTGGTGGCCAACCATCCAGTCTACTCCCAGTTCGCGTCCTGACGGACGCCGATTTGACAAGTCAAGTAGGCAAGCTATTATGTTGTATCTCCCACGGTACGTTCGTTCGGTTCGGTCGGTCGTCGTTCGAGTTGGTGGAATGATCGGTCGTCGGAGGTTCGAATTCGTCGGTGTTGTCGGTTGTCGTAGCAATTCGTCTCTGACACGCTTCTAGCCCGGTACTAGTTTGACCTGATGCCATTGAGGAATTGTTGGCAGCTTTTGGACTTGTTCAAAATATATGGTGAGGAATATTGGTGAGTGAATATGAAGGTAATGTGATTGACATACTGCCGGACCTAGGGGTAGGAGCGGGAGTGCCAGTGAATTGAGTGTGAAGTGTTTCTGGCATGCGAGGCTGGCTCACGAGGCTCAAATACCGACAGTTCTGTACTAGGCACGGAGTAATTACCTATAGTATGTCTCCATTTACGGGATCCGAGTGGAGCAGAAGCCTTCCAGTTGCTTGCTAAATCGACAAAGGCCAAGTCACGCTCGTGCAGTGACCACACGAAAGGTAGCCACGGATAGCCGTCAATTGAGTCCCGAGCGCACTGGCTTACAGTACTCCTTACACGTTAGGTACCTAGGTATTCCGTAGGCTCGCAGTCTCCAGACAGGGAGACAAGGAGAAGCTCGAACCCGGAGCTTACTCCGGACGGAAAGCGGGAAGGGAAAATAGTCCACCGGCCAATCAGGAATGCCAGTTTGAATGCGCGCGTCTCGTCTCCTCCGCCCAAAGAGTTGTTGAACAGGCTGGCATGTTGCGCCTCTTCAATTAGCAGCTTACATATCACTCTCATCCGACGATCGCAGTACGAACCCTCTCAGCGCCCAATCCTTCGCCTGCCTAAACTCTCTGCTCGAACTTGACGCGTCCGCCAGGCACTCTGCACACACTCACTGCCGACGCTGAGGGCGGCCGGCTCTTGCTGAACGCATCGTCAATCAGCGCAGCGCGCAGCTGCTGGCTCGTCACTGAACGTCGCCCATCATGAATCTATTCCGGTTACTTGGTATGACTCCGTCAACAGATTATTTCGACGGCGCGCCCAGTATCACTGACGGGATTATCTGAATAGCGGACCTGTCGCATCTGGTCTCGATATTCATCCTACTACACAAGATGAAGGTCTCGAACGTAAGTCTAGCCTAGCATTCCCTCTCGAACGTCTCCCGTCCGGTCCGGGACTAATTTGACGGGCGGCGAAACAGTCATGCTCAGGAATATCATTCAAAACCCAAGCGCTGTACTTTCTCGTCTACGTGACTCGGTACCTTGGTACGAACGCCCTTCGATTCCATCCGCGCACCGTCGCTGACCCAGTGATATGCAGACCTCTTCTGGACCTTCACCGATAGCGCCTGGAACACCATTTTCAAGCTGATCTTCCTCTCCTCCTCGCTCTACACCCTGTACGTCATGCTCAATGACTACAAACCCACCCACGACCCGAACCTCGATACCTTCCGCGTCTCGTACCTTACGGGAGGCAGCGCAGTCCTCGCTCTGCTCTTCCCATATCGCTACACCATCCCGGAAATCCTCTGGGCGTTTTCTATCTGGTTGGAATCGGTGGCTATACTACCGCAACTTTTCATGCTGCAGAGGACGGGCGAGGCGGAGACGATCACCACGCATTACCTCTTTGCGTTGGGGATCTATCGCGCACTCTACATTCCGAATTGGATATATCGCTATTTTGCCGAGAATGGACATTTTGACCCTATCGCAGTAGTCGCGGGAATCATCCAGACCGTGTTGTACTCGGACTTTTTCTGGGTTTACTATACAAAGTGAGTTCAGGCTCCATGGACCACGATGAGGGATCTGGGTTTATCAGAAAGATGGCGATTGCGAGACAAATGCTAACATCTCCGCAAAACAGAGTCCTCAAGGGCAAATCCTTCAAACTCCCCGTCTAGGAGACCACTCACGGATATTTTATGGGGAAAATACCAGATTGCCGTCTCTCCTGGCCCAATTTCCTGGGCGTGGCTCCCGCACAGCTTCCAGCGTTGGGAGCAGAACTTGCGCCGTTGCGCTCCCTCAAGACCAAGAACTGCGCCCGCCAAGATATGAAAATGTACGGTCGGTTTGGTGGGTTCAAGAGGTCACTGTCGCCGGTCAGCTCGGAGGGCTGAGTATGAGGTCCTGCAAGCGGAGGCGCTATATGTGAAGGTACAGCAGATGCTGGCCACGGCAGATGGATCAGCGTAGGCGAGCCGTTTTGTATAGGCTCTTGCTTTGCTTCCCATCGCACAGTCGCGGTGTCACGGGGCTTGCAGGACCGGAATGGTGCGTGGCAACAGATGAACATGGCTTGAAGAGCGACAAAGATGGAAGGGAAGAATATGCTATGGCAGTCGAGCACGAAGTGCCGGATGGCGGCGGCGATCCTCGTGGTTGGGGACATGTATATCGGTCTGCCATGTTGCGCCGTACCCATCCGTGTAATCCATACTGTGTACTAGATCTACAAAACAGGGATCACTCATGGTGTGAAGAGCACGTACTCTGTACGTAAGGATTCACTTGCTACATTGAAGGCTCATTTCACCGGAACAACGATTCGCCGGTTGCTCTCTGGTTGTGTGCTAGCCGAGTTCGAGTTTGCTCAACTGGATCACTGGCGATCGTAGATGACCAGGAAGTGATCGAGCACATGTTTCCCTGCACCGCAAAGATAAACTGGAGACAGTGGAGATGACATAAGGAGATGATACAATCACGAGCATGTGGCAGTGGTATCAAGTCGGGCAAATGGTGCACATGCTAGAGATAAGAGGATGCGGGATCCAAGAGACTGTATGGCCACATGGCGATGGTGAGCGGATGGAGATAATTCGCAGTTATGAGCATCCTGACATTCGGCCCTCCACACACACACCCACACAGGAACACATCCCCCGGTGACCCTCTGAGTCTACTCCTGTCATAGTGTCGAAAAAGAAAAGAAGCAGCAGGAAACGCCCCGAGTCCCAGGAGCCAGGAACTGCGGGCGGCATCCGCCCGATTTCAGGGCTGCCACAGCGGCATTCAGCCAATCGGGGGCGCAGTTTCGGTGAGGAGAGTTGCAGTTCGTTCGGCTCTTTGCAATTCCCAGTTGGAGCATGTGATCATTCTCTCCCGTAGATCCTCATCATCGCCTTTTCGCACTTTCACCAGAGCCCGCCGCCATGCACACCACCGCCGAGGGTCCTGGTTTATAGCTACCGGGAATGCTGTGTCGCTTTTTCTCTATGCCTAGTTATCGCAAAACACGGACATTTCGCATTGACTACACCATACCTCACCCTCAGTGACCATGTAGGAGTATCTCTCCATTCACAAGAGCACTTCACCGATCACCCCTCGCCCGTTACCGCTAAGTCCTGGCCCGACATTCACTCATCCACGCCTCTTGTCACCCATCATGGACTCTCAGTCGCCAAACCCGCCCTATGCAGTACCTCCACCCTTCTCCCCTCCCCTCTCTGCCCATCGCTCCTCCGCCGACTCGCAAAAACCAGCATCCATCGACATCGACATGATGAGGTCCGACGACCGATCCACCAGAGCGGGTAGTGTCCTCTCTGGCATGTCAATCGAAGACATGGAAGCTGCCGAGACCCTCAACAACCTGTCTCAGAGTAAGGTCCCTGTGCGAATGCGCCTGGACATACAGTTGACATGTCGCATTAGAATTCCATTCCCCTAGACAGGCCCATCAGCCGCCCCCTACGCTCGTGCAAACGCACACCACCTTTCATGACCATCAGTCTGAACCCCTGCTACGTCTATTCACGAGCCAGTATCCATGGACGAGACCCCTGATCGATGGCTCCTTGTCTGCTTATAAGACAACCCAGTCATATATACCCGGCGCAGAATGGACCGAGAGAAATGTGGGCTTACCCATCGCAGGAACCGTGGCCAGAATATCAGGTGCGGAAGCCGGGCTACGCTGGGCATTACAGCCCAAGCGCGACGGGAGATCGCCTTTGAAGAGCGCAGACGTGGAGAAGGGGTACTCGGATACTGCCCCAGACGGCACGCGCCGACCAAGTTCTGAGATGACCTATTCCGAAACTCTTCCCGCCTACAATGCTGGTGACCGCTCACCTCCCTACAGCGAACAGCAAGTCCTGCTTCAGCGCCGTGATGACCGTCACCCCCCGCCGGGCTGGCGACAACAGCTTGTCGTATCAACCAGCGGCCTGGGTATTGCCATGAGCGAGGAATCAATCAGAAGTCTCAAGTACTGTTTGAGCTGGCTACGGTGGGCGAACGGCCACCTGGGCGAAGCCATTCAGAACCTGAGGAATCTACTCGAGAGGTGGGACGAAGGACTTACTCCCGGGGAACAGCCGCCGACCATGTCTGTTGCCCACATGACTCAAACGCAGGAAGAGAGGAGGCAAGCTGCCCTTTCCGCTCGCATTGCGGCCCTCAAGGCCGATGTTCTGCAGACGCTCAAGCACGTCGTGGGGATTGTGTCCAACTATGCTGGTGGCGCGTTGCCTCAAAACGCTCGAGATCTTGTTCACAGACATCTTACAAGTCTACCTCAACGATTCAGCTTGGCGAATATGGAAGGTGGTGAAGGCGCGTCGGCCGACACCAACGCATCAGAGGCCGCTAAGAGCGGGAGACGAGTCATGGTCCTGGCGCAAGAAGGACTGGATATGATGACTCAAGTCAGCCGGGTGGTCAATGATACCCTAGTCAGCGCCGAAGGGTGGTGCGAGAAGCTTGGGCGGAGAAGGAATGACGAGCAACAGACACAGCAGCAACACATGTTCGCCATTGAAAAAATGGAGACTGGAAGTCGCGATGGAGGGCCAAGAAGCGAAACCGTGCGGAGCGAGACCCTCGCGCCAAGTGAAAGTGAAAAGGAGAATGGGGACATCAAGATGACCATGTAACAACAACGATACACAAAAGTTGAGCTGGACAAGTTCTAGTGAGGTACTACCTGTCTCTCGCTATCTGTGGATGTTATTTGCGCTTGGATACCGTGCTCGGTGGTGACGAGGGTGAGCTGGAAGAGTCCCGCGCCGCCTGGCCTCTATGCTTGAAGACGGGAATCTCAAGCTTGGTGTTTGACTGCCTCTGCCTATGGGAGGTGAATTGATGAGTCTCACGAGGAATGTGTCATGTTACAGAACTGGTGGAGGTCGACAAGTGGTCTTGAATATCTCGAGCGAAGGGGTCTGGCTAGAGTACATGCGCAAGCGTGGAGCCAATGGCGCAAAAGTAGAGTTGCTGTAACAAAGCAGAAATGGCTCCGAGTAGAGTGCACGGACAAAACCTGGCAATGATCAATCCCGTTCTTCGTCACTGACGGGTTGGGCGTTGAACGGCAGCGACGTGGGAGATGTGGGAGACGAGGACGAGTGGAGTACATAATCTTAGTACTCGTACTTCATTGCGGAGGATCTGTGACGACTTCAACATCGCGTCTCACATCTGAAGAACCGAGTCTCGGCAGCGTGTCGTCGACTCCCTCGACCTGCCAATATGGACACATGACCATCAGCATCTGACGAGAGAGATGGACTCGTCATTGTACTACAGCTCGTCGCAGCGATCCGGGTCACCCACACAGACCCGCACCATCTTTCCCAAAGGCCCCGTCTTCAACCTCGAAGATTTCTCCAGCAAGGATTTCATAGCCAAAGACTTTATCGAATCCCTCACCGAAAGCGCGCAATCCACCGCTCGACGCTCGCAGGGCCCGCCCACAAACGCTCCTTTTGACCCGAAACCCCTCATCCGCGCGTTTGAACAAGCCTCGCGGCGTCTCGACGAGCTCTCGGGGGAACTCGAGCAGCGGGAAAATGAACTATCCGCGGCAGTGAGGCGAGCAGAGGCATCGCACGCCAGCAACACTGAGACGCTGGGTCGCAAACTCAACTCCACCATTGAGAGTTTTCAAAAGCTGGACACATCGCTGAAGAGCGACCGCGGCGAGAAATGGGGTGGTAATGTCGCCGTAGAGACGGGCCGGAGGATAGAAGAACTCGACCGCCAGAGGAGAAAAGCTCTCGACGCGCACTTCTTGATTGAGTGTTGGGATGAAGTGAGCAATCGCGGCGAGGTCACCCTACTCGAGAACCTGCGACGGTCAGGCACCGGCGAAGGCAAGATCCGCTCCGCTAACATCGCTCGCCAACTCCTCCGCATAAGCCAACGTCTCGATCCCAAATCCCATGGGGGACAGACCAATGGCGTCGCGGGCAGCACGAATCACGCCGGCGTCACCGGCACGCAGCAGCGAAACTTCAACACCCGCGAAGTCATCGAGAAATTCATCGAGACACTCGAGAATGACATGCTCAAACTGTTCGACGACTTCTACCGTCGCCAGAACTTTGAGGAGATGAAGAACTGTGCCATCGTGCTGCAGGACTTCAATGGCGGAGCCAGTGTCCAAGCCGCGTTTGTGAACCAACATCAGTTTTTCATTGATCGAAGTAATCTGGTGACCGAGGAGATTGGGGGCGATCAGGAGACGTGGATTCGGCTGTCGGACCCGGACGCGGAGGTGCCAGGTGTTGAACCGGGATTGCAGAGCTTGATTGACGAGGTCAAAGTCGTGGTGCAGGAGGAGTCGGCCATTATCAAACGAGCATTCCCCTACCCGGAACAAGTCCTGGGAAAGTTCGTGCAGAGGGTGTTTCAACAATCGATCCAACAAAGGCTGGAACTCGTGCTCGAGAAAGCAGAGTCAGAATCCACGCTCGCATATCTACGCTCCTTGCAGGCCGCAAGAAGTTACATCTCCCTCTTGGTCGACGACCTCAAAGCACATGGTCTGACGGAACATCCCGACTCGGTCACCTCCCAGACATCTCAGCTCCTTGACCAACAACTCGACGAGCTTTTCACGCCCTATTTCGGCGGTTCCGCATACATCGACAAGGAAAAGCACAACCTGCAGGAACTGTACAAGTCGTTACTCTTCAAATTCGAACTCTTCCACAATCGTCGCCAAAAGGAACCCAAGACGTATCTCGCGGCCATCCGTAACCGCGGCCAGGAGCTACTTGCGAGTGCGAGAGAGGCCACCGACGCGTACGTGAAGTCCTTGGACCTGGAGAAAATGTCACCTACACAGAAGCGCATCCTGTTGAGTGTCGCCGGCCTTAAGAATGCCGACGACAAGTCCTCCTCGACCGACGTGGTAGAAATCGACGAGGAGGACGGGAGACTACACGTGCAGTTCGCGAAGAGGATGATGAAATGGTTGGCCGAGGGTGTGAGGCGCGGGTTAGAGTTGGGAGGAGGAAATGAGACGCCCAAGGATGTTGCCGCACTCCTGAGCCTGATCCTGAAGAATCTGCTCGAAAACTATGTCGAGGTGTCGCTCGACGCGTCCGCAGAGTCGGCGAGCAGCTTTGAGTCCGCGAGGAGGGAGCCAGACCTGTCGTATCTGGCCAACCTCAGAACGGCCGTCCACATCACACACCTCGTGCAAAGCTGCATCAATACGCTCCTGATCCCGCTCGCCAACTCGAGCCTCACGGCCCGTCGCGAAATGGAGAAAACCACCCGCACGGCCATTACACGCATCGAAGACCAGATCAACAACATCGAGCAATCGACCATCGACGCGGTCCTAAACTGGACGTCGCGACTGCTGACGAATCAGAACCGTGCAGACTTCCGACCCAGGGCCGACACCGAAGCCACTTCGCTCGAACAGCCGCAGACGAGCACGTGCGGCGACGTGTGCAGGTTTTTGAGCACCTTCCACGACACGGCCACGCAGAGCCTCGACGGCGCGAATCTGAGCGTCTTGCTCACGGAATGTGCCGTCGGGGTGCGGTCGCAGCTTCTGGCCCATTTCACAAAGTACCAAGTCAACCGTATCGGCGGGGTGATGCTGGCGAGGGACATGAGTCGCTACGTCCAGCTCCTGCGGAGTTGGGAGTTGGATTCCACGTCCGAGGACGGTACTGTTGCGCTTGATGCAGCAGGAGAGGGTGGCGCAAGCGGTTCCGGGAAGGCATTCAAAGCGAGTCTGGAGGTGCTGTCCGAATTGGCGAGTGTGTTTGTGTTGCATCCCGATGCCTTGAAGGAACGGTTACGCGGGCCGGTGTTGGGGAATCTGGGCAAGGAGAATCTACGGCCTTATCTGCTGAGGCGGGATGATTATATGGAGGTAGGAATGCAGAGCTTACTCGCCAGTCTATGAATGAGATGAGTTGGAGAGAAAGAGAGAGAGAGAGAGAGAGAGAGCTGCCTTCTCCGTCCTGTTCAACGAGGTGCTTCCACCGCCCACGACTTCACACAGATGGACTACGCGGACACGTCTTTGAAAGGAGGAGAGTTCTATACCACCACTTTACGTACCTGATACATCAAGCCGCAAATAATGATACCCCTCAGTCCTCGCGTTTCCAGCCGATGTGTATATGCTATGCTGCCGTGCTCCAACTGTGTTGCGGCCACCCGTTCCTGGAATCGCCGTTTTGCGCCGCGCAATACAACGCCACCCATGCATGTACAAGTCTCCCGACCTTCATCTGCGCGGTTGACCTATGCCTGTACAAGTCTCGCAACCTTCATCTGCGCGGTTGACCCATGCCTGTACAAGTCTCCCGACCTTCATCTGGTGTTTGACCGTCCACCGACGTTTGATGCAATTCAGATCTTGAATCCATACCCGGCCATACAGTCCTTATACTGCGAGACCAGGCTCTTGCAATCTTCTTGCGGGTCATCCGATCGGGAGAAGAGCATACACTCGTCGCGCCGGGATTTCTCGTCCTTGCAGACACAGCAGGGCTATTTGCGACGGGTCAGGGTCAGAATCATTGTGCCAGCCTGGAGAAGAGCTTTCTGTCTGGGCCGTCGGCGTACCTTTACTTTCTCCGTCTTCTCGGGTTTCAGGTCTGCGGCGAGGTTGTTCGGCGTCAACGGCTGGGTGACTTGAGAACACGCATAGATATTAGCTCTCCTTTTCTCTCCCCGCGTGATGGGATTGGAGCCGGGAGCACGTACTGGCAGCAGGCTGCGCCGGCGTAGGCGCCGAAGAACTGAACCAACCCATCTTGAAGCTGTCGCTAATTAAACACAGGCTCGACAGATCAGGATGAGAAATCAGTTGGAGATTGAGGAAGAAATATGGAGTTGGAGGCGGTTGCGTCAATGTCACTGCGATGCGATGCGATGCCGCATACTTCACCGTACATGCGACGTCGAATTTGCTTTGTCGTCAAACCATCCCACTTGTCTCTCTCTCTGCCTTGCTCTGTCTGGCAAATTCCATCTGCCCACCTGTCTCGCGGCTTGTCTGACTGTTCAACTCACACCTCCCACCATGGCGACAGGACTGTTCGCGTCCCTGCCAAAGCCAAAATACACCGGCGAACATGAAGAAGTTCCACTCCACGCCCAACCGAAGGGACCCCGAATTGTTGGACCCGGCGTCGTTGATGAATCTCAGATCGTCTTGAAGGTGCGTGACACTGACACTCGGCTCGTCCCATGCCTCTGTGCCTACTTACTAACATCTGTTGTCTTCTTGCAGCGCGCTGGACCCCCTGCCTACGGCCAAAGATCGGGATGGCGACCTCGATCAGCAGAAGACTACGGCGACGGCGGTGCGTTCCCCGAAATCCCCGTCGCACAGTACCCTCTCGACATGGGCCGGAAAGGGACATCGTCAACCTCCAACGCTCTGGCAATCCAGGTCGACGCCGAGGGCAAGGTGAAATACGACGCCATAGCACGACAGGGGCACAGCGAGAGTCGAATCATCCATTCCAGTTTCAAGGATTTGATTCCATTACGGCAGCGCGCTGATGCCGGAGACATCAACCTCGACCGTCCCACCCAAGAAGAAGCACAAGCGACGGCCGAACGCACGAAGCAGGCTCTCGAGAAACTCGTCTCAGGCGCGGTGGCAGCGCAACGGCCGAAAAACGTAAAGGGCGTCACCAGAGAAGAACCCACTTACGTGCGCTACACCCCCGCCAACCAGATGGGTGACACGTCCAAGAAGAACGACCGCATCTTTAAGATCGTCAAGAGACAGGAAGATCCCATGGAACCTCCGAAGTTCAAGCATAAGAAGATCCCTCGGGGTCCCCCTTCGCCCCCGCCGCCCGTGATGCATTCCCCGCCCCGCAAGTTGACGGCGGAAGACCAAGAAGCCTGGAAGATCCCGCCGCCCATCAGCAACTGGAAGAATCCCAAGGGCTACACCGTCCCGCTGGACAAGAGACTAGCAGCAGACGGGAGAGGTCTGCAAGACGTGACGATTAATGACAAATTCGCCCAATTCGCAGAGGCGCTCTTCACCGCGGACCGCCACGCGAGAGAGGAAGTCCGGCTGCGGGCTCAAATGCAGCAGAAACTAGCCGAGAAGGAGAAACTGGCCAAGGAGGATCATCTGCGCGAGATGGCGCGAAAGGCAAGGGAGGAAAGGCAACGGAACAACGAATCCGGACCTTCACGCCGGTCGAGGACGAGATCGAGATCGAGATCGAGATCATATTCCGATTCCTCTGACGGGGGGCGCTCTCGGAGCGGTTCCGAAGACGAATCCGCGCGAGAACGAGAACGCGCCCGCCGGGAGCGCCGTGCCGAAAACGAGCGCCAACTCCGCCAGTCGCGCATGGGCACGGAAAAACGCATGCAAATGCTAGCGCGCGAACAGAACCGCGACATCTCGGAGAAGGTCGCCCTGGGATTGGCGAAACCGACGCAGAACAAGGAGACCATGTACGATTCCCGGCTGTTCAACCAGACCAGCGGGTTCGACAGCGGGTTCAACGAGGATCAAGCGTACGACAAGCCGCTCTTTGCGGCGCATGATGCGATCAATTCGATTTATAGACCGACCGCCGGTGGGGCCGACGAGGAGGAATACGGCGACGACGCCGCGGCCGGGGAGATGGGCAAGATCAGCAAGAGTAATCGATTTGAAGTGTTGGGTCGTGCAAAGGAGGGCTTTAAAGGCGCGGATGTGGCGGAACGGGAAGCCGGGCCCGTCCAGTTCGAGAAAGACAAGGACGATCCTTTTGGGATTGATAGCCTGATTGGCGAGGAGAGGGATCGAGCGAGAGGGAGCGACAAAGATTCCGGCAAAGGGAAGAAAAGATATGGACTCGACACGGGCGAGGATAGGGATCGGGAAGAAAGAGACGAGAGGAGGAAGAGGGCCAGGGTGGATGATGATTAGGGGGCGCCTTCAGTAGGAGTGGAAGCAATCCGATCTTGACTGGCACGACAAGTTGATCAGGATTCGTGCTGGGCAAAACACCTCCCGTAACTGACTGTAGGTTACAATCCTATCCTACAGTACCACTCGTATAATCGTACTGCATGGGCGTAAGCGTGAGCGTGGCGTGCGTGGGCATGAGCGTGCACGCACTCGGAAAATCAAACAATATACTCAGTACTTCTACGGATTGTTTGTATAGTACAGCACAGTGTAGTACGTGAGTTCACGACACTGGAAGGAACCTCGGAAGGTACCTTACCTAGGCACCTTGGACGGGAGATCAACAACAGGGATTGATTGGCTTCGAGTTCCATTTCATTTGGTGGACTATTTCATTTGGTGGACTATTTCATTTGGTGGACTATTTCATTTGGTGGACTATTTCATTTCGTGGACTATTTCATTTCGTGGACTATTTCATTTGGTGGACAACCTCTCGATCCTCTCTCGATCCGAGTCGCTCGCCGTCCAGCAATGGCGGAAAACAGGCAGTCGTCCGATCACCAGGTGCTTAAAGGAGGGGAGAGGGATGCAAGGGGATGCAAAATTGAAGGATGGAGCGAGACATTCGGACCTGCGGACCCTTTGCTTATTTTACTGTAGGTCTTGGGCTCTTGGGCACGATTTCCACGGTTCTACGTTCTGAGGATTGATGGGTCCATTTTCTTGCGCTGAGTATGGTTCGTACTGTATTGTACTGTATGCATGTACAGTCGTCCAATAGTCAGGTATATATCCATGTCTCATGGGTAACGGGGCCCCGTAAAAAGGACTTTTTAGACCGGGTCGGTCGGTCGGTCTTTCTTTCAGACGGCTAGCCGGGCCATGCATAAAGTATACATGTAGACTTGAGAATATACTGTATACTCTTCGCGGGCACATTATTGGTATCGCTATCGCTATTGCCTTCGCCGTAGCCACCATATCGCCATCGCCATGACTCCCACCATTGGCGTTGTTCGCTCGGTCGATCAGTCTGGATGATGGGAACTTTCTTTCTGGGGTCGAACAAAGAACATCGTTATGGTGGCGTATCTTGAGAAACGGCGATCTGTCTCCGTCCGACATGTGCCAGTCGCATTTTTGGGTACTCCGTTGGGGGACCCAATCTGCTACTCCTACTGGTGGACTCGTCCTGGCGTTGGCTCACTCCGAGATTTCCGTGTTATACTGGGTCCGAGCAAGGATGTGCAGCGCAGTCCCATTCATGGCTGACCGCTTCGTCATCACTTCCCTTCGACAATCGCATCCAGAGAAGTCGCTTTTCTGTTCGTGATGTGGATCGTTGGGAATCGTATCGCGACCTCCTGCCCAAGAAAGTGAGCTGTAGCCTGTTGATCGTCGGACCTCCCATTTCCATATGCCGGGGTAGTGGCATTGCATCCCAAACCGTCCGGCCTCTGACATGTGCGTGTGTCTCGTGCATAATCCTTACAGATCACTATCCACACGTGGCGTGATAGAGACGAGGATTGTCCGGGAACCATCATCGGTGATTTGAAAACAACAACCTGCGCAGGGCAACAGGACCCCCCGAGCCGATTTAGTTCCCTCCTATGGGTATAAAATGGCCTTGAGGATGCGATCGTGGTACGTCAGACTGCGGTCTGAGAAACTCATGGTCCAAATCCGATATGCTCAACTGTGTATGTTAGTCAGGAGTTTCGGGAACAGGTGCGGCGGCAGGAAGTTGGCAGGCATTGAACGAAGTCTTTGCCATGCTAGGCAAGGGCCAGATCGGCATTTCCAGAAAAAACGCTCTACCGCGTGAGTGGTCAACGGGGGCCCATACGCTCCAAGGTGAAAAGAAGGGCGGCCAAGTGAATGGGGATCCCGGCCGACGAAACCCGAGCAATGGTTGTGCGCTGGCTGAGGCTGGCTTTTGTCAAGGTCCTGGAGACATCGACGGCGATTTCTTGGAGGTCAGATGCTCCTTCCACCAAGCGCAGTTCACCTGGTCTTCCATGGCGGCGAAATCCTCTTCTGCCAGGTCCTCCTTCTCCATGTTCATGTCGGGACTGATGTCACTTAGAAGCCATGCTCGGACGGCGGTCGTGAGCTGTCTTCGACCATCCCCGTCCAACAAGGCAAAAATCTTGAGGACATTGATCCCGTAAGTGCACATGTCGACTTCCTTGAGGACCATTTCCTCCTTGCCGAAACATTCGGTGTAGTATTGTTCCCGGACCCGGTCAACGACGCCCATAATAGCACTGGCGGTCAAGCTTCTCTCCGAGCTGCCATCCAGAACAGATTTGAGTCGTTGCAAGAACATGATCTTGTCGGCGAGATTCTGCTTCCCGAAACTCGCAAGCGTCATGTTCAATCCGTAGAACAACGCAAACAGTCCTGCTTGGAGCGAATACTTGATTTGCGGATCGCACGTGGTGTTCATTGTCTGGGCGGTATATGTAGAGAATAATGTCGACCTTTTGATTTTGACATAGCGACCCAGAAGAGACTCCCGTGAAGCAGCTTTGGAGGCATACAGCCCTGAGCCCAATTGATCGTGGTCATTGTCGTTATTCTGCGTTAGATACGTCCTCGTCGCATGGCGGATCAGTTCTGCCCGGTTCTGCTTTGCGAGGGTTTGAAGGCGCCGCAGATCGAGAAAAATCATGGTCTTCACGGTGTCGAATTCGCTGGCCGATTTGATTTGAATAGGTGCGTTCACGTAGACTCGCTTTAGGCCCGCCAGGGACAGAGCCGTCTTGTCAAGGTTGGACGCGAAATAGTTCAGGATTTCCGGCTGTTGCAGAAAGGAATCTAGAGCTCGAAGATGTTGGGTGCAGGCGTCCGCGTGGAATACATAGCATTCGGCGGATATCGCATACCTCAAAGTGGTGATGGCGTCTTCGAGGTCGAAATTGGGATTGTTCAGCAGAGATCTTAATATCCCGTAACCGTGCGCTCGACGTTTCAGAATAGATTGATCGATCGTGACAGACCTCGACACCTCAGGCACGTATTTGTTCATCTGCTGTTCGGCAATTACCAAGATCCAGTGCAGCGCAGAGGGGGACCTCTGTATTGTACGAGCAGCGTCTGCTCTATACGGGCAATACAGGGCTTCTCTGTGAAACCCGAACATCTGGGTTGGCAGTTCTGTGAGGTCTTTAGGGTGCGGACATTAGCCAGCGAGATCACAAGACGGCGGAGAGAAGAGACCCACAGTAATTGAGAAGATACCTCTCATAGTGATCAAAGGTATTCCCCAGCTGGAACGTCGACCCCAAGGAGCCTATGCGAGGGACATGACCGAACGAGATGGCTTCCTCGGAATTCCTCCTGGCGAGTGCTTTGCCATAGCTTTCGTCTTCGTCATTGGACACTGGAACGGCAGCGGGCGCGCTGTTATATCGAGTCAACTGATTAGCCTCGAGTCCGTTCGACCCATGTGACCCGGTGCTGGGGCGACGCTCTGGCAATCCCACTTGGATTACATTCGGGTCTTTGATGTCTTCAGCGACGAGTTGCACCGGATACGGGGTGACGCTTTTGGGACTGTCGCTGGACGATCGGGAATCATCAGTCCGCGGGCTTTCCAACACAAAGTCGACCTGCAGGGGAGAAGACTGTGACATATGTCAGTACAAAGCCACCCAAGCAGAAATCGGACAGCTTGGGTAGTATCGTCACTCACCGTTCTGCTGACAGTGGTCGAGTTGTTGTTCTTGTTGTTTTTACGGCGGTTGTGGGAGAATCGAGCGACATGGGAATTTATCCTCGACAGCCTCTTCTTGCCCGGCACGCCAATCTCGCTCTGCCCCGTCTCCGTCACAAAGTGGATTACTCCAGCTGGCATGTTCTCGGTGTGCTTAAGTCGTGACCATGGCGGACCTAGGAATGAGGCTGGATATCAGATCCCAGACGCGAACGAGGGTCGTACGGCACAGAAAGAGACAAGCCCACAGAGCGCATGACGAGTGAAATCTGGCGCCCAGCGATAACGAGGGCACGAGGGAGGGGTCAAGCTTCCAGAGCCACTTACCACCATTACCCGTTTAGGATCGCGCCAAGTGATGGAATAACCAGGAATCGTGGCTAACTTAGTAATCCGATTCGGTCGCCCGGAGGGGCGAATGGATTGTGTAGGCACGGCCCTCCGGCGCTGCATATAAAGATGGTGTATGGACGCTTCCGAGGCGTGGGATCAAGCAAGAGCGAAGCCTTGCGGTATTTTGAGGGAATACGGGCGTGATAGACTCGAATTTGAGAGAGCGAAGATGCGAGACAAAGGCGGCGAGACTCCGGGGGGCTTAGGCGAGCTTTGTGGCCGCACAGAGTCAGACCTTCGCAGTGGCCATGCACAGGACGCGGGCCGCGCTGTCTGTCAAGAGCGTCCGTCTGCCGTCGGGAGATATCGCGGAGGCGGCGCTGGCCGAGGAGAGTCGATGGTGCTGGTGTGTCGTGTCTCGAGTCTCGAGTCCTCGATGGAGCCTTCGCTCAGCTCCAGGAATTCCCTCAAAGTCGAGATACGGAGCCGCCACCCACAGTACTGTGACAGCAAGCCCCCAATTTTGGCGTGACCTTAAACGTATCTTCTGGATAAGAAGCATGCCCGGAAGGGGAGCTGAGATTAGCAAAAGGACGAAGGATTCCGAAGCGCATGATGAAGTCGAAGTCGCCAAGGCGTGGGGACCTTCGAGACCCTCGCTACCCTCTCGACCATGGCAATCCCCCTCGCTACCCTTAGCCGTCCTCACAGCCCTCACAGCGACTCGGCGAAGGCTCCGAGTCGCCACTTAAGTGGAGGGTTGACGGGGTATCATGCCCACTTCGCCCACCCCCGGGGGCGGGCACAGTCAGCTAGCAGCAAGAGGGACCCGTCTTCGTTATCGTTCCAACATTATCTCGCGAAGCAGAACACACAGATAGCAGGGATGTGGAGAATTGCCTCGCGGCAGCTATCTCTAGCTCTTACCCAGTACTGATGCCCCTTATCTCCCTGCACACCCGACTCTAACCATGTGGACAGGCACGACAGACTAGCCTTGCATGTCCTTGGGCCTCTGCAGTGACCTTCTAGAACCCGCGTCTCCGTCTCCGTCCCCGTCTCCGCCCCCGACTCAATAATTATCCAGCCCTGCACTGCGCGCAAACGCCCGGACGTACCGCATATGCCTGCGCAACCTGACGACGAATTCATCCACCGGCTCATTGTGGCCCAAGACAGGCGGGATCATGCTGGTGTGGTATTCTCCACGGTGCGCTCTGTCCACATGATTCTCCCCTGCGACCTGTAAGCCGGGTTGTGCACGAAGTGGTTGTCGCCGCACAGTTAGACGGGCGTGTTCCTCCTCCACACCGACTGGTGTGCGCTGCGCGGGGATTTGCGGCGGAGGGCCACAAATATAGGCCACACCACGGCGGATGTGGACGACGCCGCCGATGGTGAATGGTGCCGCGCCACCATCCAGTCGGAACAGCGGGATCCTCGCTGTGTCGGTGCGGTAGGTTGGCCGGATAACAGGTGTTGGAGGTGGAGGCGGAGCTGAGTGTGGCGCCCCATATATTCGGATCAAGTCGACGATGCGGCCGATCGCCGGCACCAGACGCGCTTCGATGTCCCCAAAGTATAGGTCGTCATCACATGCCATCACTGGAGTGCGACGGTAGGGCTGCCGTCCCTCGGTGGTTGGTATGGGTGGAGAGACTGGACGCTCCGGGGCCGTCATGGGCCCATCGTCCCCGATAAGGGTGCACGTTTCCCAGTCATCCTCAACTAGCGTCGCTGCTTCTGAAATGGGGGACGCTGCGTCGGTGTACTCTTCTTCGATAGGGGAGAGAGGCATGGTGTCTCTGAAGCACGACATTTCAAACCGAGTCGACGATGAGTATTGTGCAGAGCGGCACCTGGGAGATGATCTACTCTGGCTGGTTGATGTTATGCTCATTGTCTTGGGAGGAACTCCAGGTCTATAACAAGTGCGCAGCAGACGAGATCTATATACCTTTCCAGTAGTGTTGTAGGTCCTCAACCACGTAGAATTTTGATGTCCTCATTTGCACGGTATGATGAGAGACCAAACTCACTGTCTGGTTGCGTAGCCTGTAGTATTGTCCGGATAGTACCGGCCACATGGTCAACAGGTCCTCAGATCCATCCTGCTCCCCAAGCAGCGCGTCGCATAATGTCTCGTGCTAAATGGCCTCCCACTGGCTGGCTGGTGTGCAGCGAAAGCAGAAGAGCAAATTCCCCGGTCTGAAAATGGCATGTTTCCAGTCGACCCGGTAGAAAGCAAAGTAGGCAGCAAAGCCCGTCCGCGAGGCTGTACTGTGAATCCAGCAAGGCTGTCACGTCCGGCAGAAAAACAAAAGCAGGCATATAAATCAAACGACCACAAAGTCGGTCACAATTGCAGAACACGCCAACAAGTGTCTCGAGGTTATGAGCCCGAACACTTCCTGAGGTTCACCTTGGGAATAGACTTGGGGTCTGATGACTTAGTCTTAGTGCATATGCAGTGTCAGGTAAGGGGGGAGAGATGCTAGAACTTGGTGCACCAGGTTCGAACTTCGATTCCCCCGAGTCCTGAAACTCGACAAAACCTACCATACTTAACGACTGTTCCTATGTCGGCCTAGAAGGGGACGGGTTTACTCCAACATGCGAGATGTTAGGTGGCTTGAGTCGTGTGCTCGCCGGTGACTTTTTTTCCTTCCTTTTGGTAGCCGTGTGTGCGAAGTGAATATGCGCCGTCTTGTTGAGGCGTATCCCTGGACTCCTCTTGGAACCTTCACGACGCTGAGATCCGGTCTCTAGCGTGGCTCTTGTGTTCGAACACAACTCAGTTGCATTGCGCCAAAGAGGGACAGACTGGCCGCCACTCAAGCTCTGCATCCTCCTCCGAACTTTCTGAAGTAGTTGGAACTTTTTCATTCCATTCTCGTGGTTGCACAACATCGAATGCCCGGGCGCATGCCTGAGTTTTAACGTAAGTCATCTCGTGGATCCCCAATCCCATGCCCTCGCCACAGGTTCAAGCTGGGGTCAGGTCGTCAAGCCGTTGTGCTCTGCATCGTGACTCGGAGAGATACCAGATGCATCGTCCGAACCCTAGCTCAAGCTGTCAAGGTCCTTTGACTGTTCCGCACATTTTCAAGTGCAGGTTCTCAAGTCTTAGCCATCGCCGATTTTTCTGGAGGCTTGTCGGGAGTGTATTCTTCGTCTGGCCGGGAGTGTTCCATGGGATGCGTCTCAGTATCAGAAGCACAAGCCAGCAGGTGGATTCCCGGACGGTTTGTCGAGTCATTGTGCTCGTCGGCTCGTTTTCTGGGACACTCAAGAAAGGAATGAGCTTCATCTCTTGCCATGCTTCGAACTCGTGCAGCCCCAGCTGGAGGCAACAGCTGGACTGTTGCAGGTACGTTACAGAGAGGTTGTTGCGTCTAACATCATCTGCATTTGCAGGAGGTAGGAGTTAGGTGCAAGTCGTCCGACTACAGGATACTAATCGTGGCTGTCTATACTGTATCGGCGGTGCGACATGTGTTCCAGCAAGAGTCAACAAGACTTGGTGCAACAGCTGCGACACTTGACTGGCAGCTACTGTTCGGAGACAGCAATACAAAGCTGCTATGGGGAAGGAAGAGGTACTGTATGTGCGCAACGGAGTGACGTTTGGGCACAGGAGCGACATTCCGTTGGGCCAAGCTTGAAAAAAGCGAAGAGATTCGCTCATGGTCGTTGTGTGTCACCACAGCGTCAAACGGTGGAGCTCACAGCCATTTTCGCTGTTACGGGAATGAGGCAAGTGTCAGCACATCACATTTCTATCTTCATCGCCGGCTACACCCAAGAAACAATTATATTGTACCGATGGCCTCGTTCCTTCTGCCTCGATGGCTACCAAACCTTAAGATAACGCTATGTGTTCGCGCTCACCCCCCGTTCGTAGCTGCAAAGCCCGTACCCCGTCCTTTGGCAAGCTCTGTCAGTTCGGAATCACAGGAGGGCCAGGCAGCGGATATATTGGCCTCGGCCGCGGCTTGGGTTGGTCGCGGTCATTGCTCAGAGGTGGGTCAGCCTGTATAGAACGTCAGCCGTTGAGGTTTCCACCAGTCCGACGCGGACGTACCCGGACGGCCTCTCTCATGGGCACAGTCTCTGCTTTGTCCGATGGCATACTGGGCGTTTCAGTAGATCAACGGCTGAGATGTGGGAGGACAAATTTCTTGAGAAGTATGACCCTTGCTGGCAGAGGTGGGAAGGTCTTTATAGTCAAACCGGGACGCAGGTGTCACAAGCACGCCTGACTTCTACCATACTGTGCGACCCAGCGGCGTCATGCTCCCTCGATGCTCGTCTGTGTACTTGTGCTCACTTTGACGCAGCCCTGCTGGTATACCATCGATGCGCCTTTATCAGCGATGTGGTTGACCCCTTGCAAAACCGAAGGTAGTTACGGCCCTGTCTCTAGCACTTCCTTCTCGGCGAAAATTATGGCGACTTCTTGTCATCGAGCAGCTGGACGCGCTTGCCAGTAAGTACTCAAGACACCCTGATGCATGAAGCACGTTCGTCTCTCATCTCTTTCACTGTCTGCATCCCGCAAGTCCTACACTTGGACTTCCTAACCACTCACCTTTTTGGATTTTGGCTACCAGCACACTCGTTTGGCGACGAAGCACACGGGAGAGGCCCTCCTCATGGTATTCCCATTGTTCATGTCCAAACCATCAAGTCGATACCGTTTGGACAGAGTACTGGAGATATAGCTCAGCAACTTTGTTGATCTACTGCACCACAATGTCTTTCATGCTTGACCCACGGGGAGACCTACCCCCACCAACCATTCAACACAGCTCGTACTATTACAATCAAACCCATACGAGGGGTACGTCTTTCGGACTCTTGAACAAGAAGCCGAAGAAGAAGCAGTGCTATGACTGGATCTTCTCTACGGCATCCAACGTCCACGTCGCAGTCGACCGTACTGCATTCAAAACCTACGCTGCTTTCAAATCCTACGTCCTTACTGTGTCCGACCAACGCCAAGTCCCAGTCCGAGGTATTGGAACAGTCGAATTGAAACTGAGAAGAGAGCCGGGCAGTCGAGACAATCACACGATCATCTTAGAAAGGGTCTTGCACGTTCCGGACTGGATCTGCAATGTTTTCTCCGACGTCTACTTCCTGCCGGCCTCCAATTACGAGCACACGTGGATTGAGTCTGGTGTCAATTTCTTTGTGCGAGACAAGGAGATATTGAAGCCTTGGGGTTACACCGACAACTTTTGTGGCCTTGATCGGTTGGTACTGTCCAAAAACCATCAAGGACGTAACCCGATGCTGGAAGATCCCGACCGAGAAGTGTTTTCAGTCAGTCTGACTTGGCCGCAGAGCCAGAAAGATAAATGGGACAAACGCGTTGCTGAAGAATTAAAGCTGGAAGCCGAACGTCTGGAGAAGACTTCGAAGAAGACACATGCCGAGGAAGAGACCAGAGTCCTCAAAAGACAAGCCAAGAGCGCTTTGGTCGAGGGCACCAAATGGAGGTTGGTCCCGGATGTCTCAAACAGCGAACGGGGAAAGTATGAGAGCAAGTCCGGTGAGACCAGCGGCGCTCCGAAGATTCTTCCGCGGGTCTCCAGCTTGTTCGATCCAATCAAAGGTTGATGCGGTGGTTGTTGTGGTCCCTGGTCTCGAACAGAGCAACGTCGCATGGAGTTTCTTGTTCGTCAGCGTAGTGTTTTAGTCTATTGAAACATATGTCATCGGTGGTCTCAGTATCATGGGTAGCACTGAGCAGTGCCCTGCACAGATTGAAGAAGTGGCATCTTAAGAAGCTCACATAATATATGGAAATTCGAATTCCTCCTCCTTAACAAGGTCGATCAGTGGACGAGCCTGACCTCTTTTCCCGGTTCCCACTCCTTCAACGCCCCCTGCAAACTTCGCCAATAATTCAACCTCACGCACTCCTTCTTTGCTTCGTCGACATCTTCGTTTTCGAATGCCTTACCCAGTATTTCCTCTGTATCCCGGATCCTGGCCGCATTTTCCTCCATCAACTTCTCCATGTCTTCGTAACTCGTCGCCTCTTCGAGAGCTTCCTGCGCCTCCATCACCTCGAGTAACGTCTCATGATCAGTCAGGCCAGAGTGGATATTATTGTCCTCAGTCGTCACGTCCACACCATACTTTTCCAACAATAAATAGCGCGCACGCAGGAGGGGGTCCGAGAGTGTCTTATACGCCGTATTCAGCAGGCTCGACAGAGCCAGAGACTTCTGATGTGAAGCCGTCCCGGCGGGGAATTTGTCGGGATGGTAGCGCGACTGGAGCGAGAGGAATTCTCTGCGCAGAAGTGATGTCGGAATGGAAAAGGACGAGGCAGGCGGAGGCCCGTTCGGCAGGGTCTGCGGAAACAGTGTGTAGTAGTTTGTTATGTCCGGGGGTGGCGTGTCTTCTGCTGGGGTAGACGAGGCGTGTCCCTCGGATTGCGGTGATGAAGGCTGAGGGTGCGCTTCCTGAGCACTGACTCGTGATGTGCTGAATGGTCGTCGAGAATGATGGGAGTTGGTCACCAGCTGCATCGGCGGATATCGCAGCTGATGCGGTCGTGGTCGCGTCTGTGCTCCTGTGCTTGTGGTGATGGGCGATTCGAGCGCGCACAGCCGCCGGAGAAGGCGGAGTGTCTGCGGTGAAGGAATTATTCTGGACATCGTGTCGATGTGTTGATAAGGCGAGTGTGCGAGCACAGGCAGAGAGATTCGAGCAAGGGACTACTCGTATGGATTGAGGTTGAACTGGTCGACTACTCTGAACGAGGTGAGGAAGATACATGTATGTTTTGAAATTAAGACTTGAATCGCAGAAGAATCTCGGATAGAATTCCACTACGTCATAGTCCGGCATCGGATCAATGGGGCTCCTTACCGTTAGCGACCCACTCCGGTTTATGGAGAAAACATCCTCCGTACTCGAATAAATACCTAGGAAAAGCTACCTGAAACTCTGAACCCACAATGCTTGCGTGAAAATGGCTACATTCGAGTACAAACTATCTTGTCCGCCTCTGAGGCGCTAGGCATAGCCTACGAGGTACCCTTTCAAAGCATCCCGGCGCCAGTCTACAAATTGGCGGAGACACAGGCATGTAGCTCGCCGAAACACTCTCTTTAACGGAACATTTGGCTAATGTCGAGATGGCTCGACCACATGGATCCCCTCTCCGCCTGCATCTGGAGCTGCATCATGGCGGCACCACTCTGACCCCCTGGACCGGTCCCCAAGATCTGCTCCCCCAGCATCCTCAACTTCATCGGCATCAAGTTGTCTCCGTAGTGTTCCGTGACATCATGCTTCTCAATGGCGCAGCACAGATCGCTCCAGTTCCTTGGGTCCTTCCCGTACTCGAGACATGCCTTCGCCTTCGCTGACGACCACCAGCTTGGTAGCAGGCCGTCCCGTCCCTCTGCCTTGCGCAGGAAGCGTTGGAAGGGCTTGTAGCTGTCGGGAGCTCCTCCGTAGATACAGTCCTCTTCGACATCTCCAGTGAACTTGTAGTCATCCTCGACCCGGAAGCGGTAGCAGTCGATCAACAGCTTGTAGACGTCGTCTTCAGGACGATTGTGAAGGAACTTCCTCTCGGAAAGAGCGTGGAATGGTTGAGGGACGGCTTGAGGAGCTGATAGTCCTGGGAAAGTAGTGTCTGACCTCGGGTTTGTGCTGTTGTCGGTGTTCGTAGTAGTGGCACTGGGTGTATTTGTCGACGGACCCGGCGTTGCCCCACTGCGTGCCGCAGCGAGACGGCTGCAGCTCTTTTTGTGGTGTTTCCAGTCGTCCTTCTGGCAGTCTCGCGAGCAGTATTTTGTTGTGTGGCACTTTGCACAGCGCTTCAAAGGAGCCGAGTCGGTTGCTGGCTTTCTGCACGCCGCACACTCCATTTTGAGCGGGTGTTAAGAGGGTTTCGTTCAGGATAGGCTTGTGGAAGAAACTGGATGGGCGGACAGTACTCACGCAAGAAGTAGTCCTGAGGCGGTGTGGTGAGTAGGTTTGCCAAAGTTTGATGTTTGTCTGAGAAGCGCACTGATATGCTAGCAGCCGAATGAGGGGGTGAGGTTATTATCTGACTCTGGTAAAGCTTGCATCGACATTCAGCTACCGCGGTAGCAATAGAGCAAACATTTACTATGTTCTAGGAAAACATATACGACTCATCCGGGCGCGTGTGACAGGTCTTCTCTTCAAGTATACTCTGCTTTCCCGCGTCCTCTGGCCGTCTAACCGCCTTTGACCCTTTGCATGTAACGCCTGACGATGATGTCGAGCTCAAGCCAGGCAATGGGCCGCAGATATGATCGCTCCTCTCTGCTTCTTCTTGACTGCAACAATTTTCCCGAGTCCAGCCCTTCACATCCTTCTGAACTCTCGTGCCGAAGCTTGCTGGCTGGTTCGCCCATTTTGGTGACCATGTGCTAAAGCATCTCATTCATCCATTGTCGGTCAAAGAGATCCTGAAGCATGCTCGAGGCTAAAGCAGAATGATCAGAGAGGACTGCGCCGTCCTCTTGAAGCAACTGATAGCAGCACGGCGGGTCTTGGATGAGTCTCATTGAAATCTCTTGAAAGAGCCTAGCACCGGCAAGTGATGCTTTGCTTTTTGTGCCTCGCTGACGTCAAGCCTACGTTTGCATCCCACCAAACCCGTTTCAGCTTCCGTCACCCTTTCAATGAGCTTGACCTCTTATTATCACACGTGTGACTGGTGAGCTTCGGGTCAAGCAGTAATAAGCATTTCGGCAAACGTCCCGTCTTAAATTCGTGTCTTCCTGACACCTTTCTCTACATAAAACTCTACGCCTCACCTTGCAGACTATTCCCTCGTCAGAAACGCGAAGCCACAATGTCTGACTTCTACAACCGTCAAGGGGCAGACCCCCGTGAGTACGGAGGCGGTGGCCGTGGAGGTGACAACTACTATGACCAAAGTCAACGCTTCGATGATGGCGACCAAGGAGGCCGTCGGCGAGAGGATTTCGGAGAAAGACGCCACGGAGGCTCCCGAGACGACAACACCTACGGTGGTCGACCGAGCGGCGGTTATGGCGGAGGTGACGGTGGTTATGGTGGCGGCGGACAAAGTGGCGGATATGGAGATGAGCAAGGTCGACACCATGACCGTCACAATGATGATGGCTATGGTGGCAGCTCTAGTGGAGGAGGATATGGCCAAGATGATCGTCACAGACGCCGCGAAGATGAAGGATATGGCGGCGACGGCGGCTACGGGAGACACTCTGGAGGTGGGTATGGAGGAAATAGCTCTGCCGACGACTATGACCAGGACGAAGTGATGCAACACGCTCAGCGTCATGGCAACTCTGAGGACTCCAGCATGTTCTCTCAAGCTCTGTCCTTCCTCAGTGACAACAAGCATAGCGCGCAGTCTGAGGACCTTGATGAGGGTCGGATGCAGCAGAGCCATCAACAGCTCTACAACCAGTCCAGTGGTGGTCAGCAGCACGATGCCTCCAGCCTGGGCGCTGGCGCTGCTATGCAAGCGTGGGTTCCTTCTATTTGAAAAGATAACTGAACATGACAAATGCTAATGATGGTGAATAGACTGAAGATGTTCTCGGGCGGTAGTGGAGGCGGGTCACAGTCCCAGATGCTCGGGATGGCCATGCAGGAAGCCTCGGCTTTGTTCGACAAGCAGAGCAGCATGGGAAACGTGCAGGGAGGTACAGACAAGCAGAGCGTGATCAACATGGCAGCGAAAATGGCACTTCAAATGTATTTGAAGAGTCAGGGAGGCGGTGGCAGTGGCAGTGGTGCATCAGGACTGATGAGCCTTGCCAGCAAGTTCTTTTAGCTTGATCCCTCCGAGTCAGGGCAGGTTAACCGAAGAGACTAGTCTAAATCAAGTATGGATTCGACCAGTAACGAGCTGAGCGTCATTCTCGTATCGCCCAGGTTCTCCCCATGTTGCGACAGCTTTGGAGAAACTCCCCTGATCATCCATCCTCGTCTTCACGTCTTGCCCTGGCTGAAAATTGGGCATCGTTGGTCGCTGTAGACACTTTTGTTGAAGATTCGGTCCTCGCTCTGTCTCAAGCTGCACATCTTTTCGCCTCTCCAGCGCCCAGTGCAGCGCCTAGGATCCAGTGTCCGGGGTCGCCCTTTTGTCCAACACGTGTCAGTGTGCGCCGTCACCCACCAACAACTTCATGAGCATATCTCGTTGGTGAAATGCGCAGAAAGAGAATTCCGATACCGCAGAGTTCACAGTAAACCGCCCGACCATGAATCAGAATCCAGGCGAACACTGGCGCGGACCTGGAGGGCCTCCTCAGACAGAGCCTCAGCCGCAAGGCAGACCCTTTGCCAGCTTCGGGTAAGTGAATGCCATACGCGCATCCAGAATACCTTCACTTCACTCCCCCCGTCTCTGGAGCCTTCACATGTCAGATCGAACAACAATCTGGTATGGTGCGGTGTTTCGCTGACACTTCTCGTCCTTTTCAGACCCAATGGACCCGCACAACCTCCTCACGTCTTGCCTCCGCCATCCTCGTACCATCAACACCACTCGCAACCGTCGGGAAGCCACAGTTTGTCCATTGCCGACCTAACGCAGGGCCCTTCAAGCCACCAGCAAGAGCATCAATACAATACGCAGCCTCCGCCTCCGCCTCCTCAACCCCAGGGTCATCCCATGGGCAGGCCGATGGGCCATCCAATCCCTCAACACTCCCCCCAATATCTCGGCCGTGATAGAGAGATCAGGGAGCTGCGGGAACGGGAAATGAGAGAGCATGAAATGAGGGAAAGAGAGCGCAGCAGCCTGGAAATGCAACAAAGGCAGCGGGACGAAATGATCATGCGAGAGCGTGAGGCTCAGGAAAGAGACAGATTGGATCGTCTCCATCAGGAACAGCAACAACGCCCCGTGCAGAGTCATGCCGGCTCCATACCCATACACCAACCGGTTGCCAATAAGGTGCAGAACTCGATTCATGGGCCTAACGGTCTCCTAGCGAATGGAGGTGCAGGCGCAATTCCACAGAATGGTCCTGGCCATTCCGTCAACAACGGTCTCTTCGGAGGAGCGGGCCAACACGACGCCCAGCGACAGCCTCAGTATTTGCATCAGCAGGCCCAGCCGCCAGCACCACAGCCAGGTCAAACCTTCATGCCGGGCCCATCCCCAATGTCCGCTCCTGCGCAGATGGCCCACGGCCAGCAACCCATTCTCAATGATGCCCTGAGTTATCTCGACCAAGTCAAAGTCCGCTTCAGCGACCAACCGGATGTCTACAACAGGTTTTTGGACATCATGAAAGACTTCAAGAGCCAGGCCATCGACACACCAGGCGTTATCGAGCGAGTCTCAAACCTCTTCAACGGTCATCCAGCACTAATCCAAGGCTTCAACACTTTCCTTCCGCCTGGCTACCGGATAGAATGCGGGACTGAGGAGAATCCAGATGCTATCCGCGTCACCACTCCCAGCGGCACCATGACACAGTCGCTGCAGAGCAGAGGACGTGCGCAATTTGAGCCCGCAGGACAAGCTCCTGTTGGACGGTCAGATACATTTGAGAGCAGGCATGGCTGGGGTCAACCACTTGGAGCCTCACCGGGGGCACGGTCGGCAGAATTGCCTGGATATAAGCCAGTGCCTGCTGATGAGCCTGCGAACGCGATGAGTCAAGAGCAACGTGGGGTGTCGACCCTACAGAGTGCAGTTACAGCAGTGACAAACGGCACGACAAGGCCAGCCCTCGCCACGTCGCCTGGGCCAAACCAAGGAGCGGGATTCTCTCAGCAGGGTGCTGGTTTTGGCGGCGCCCCAGCAGCAGGCGAAATGAAGCGTGGAGGGCCTGTTGAATTCAATCACGCTATCAGCTACGTGAATAAAATCAAGGTCTGTATGAATTCTTCACTTGCGGTTGGGATTTTACGTGATTGACGATTTTGCAGAACCGCTTTGCCCAACAACCTGAAATATACAAGCAATTCCTGGAGATCCTGCAAACCTACCAGCGCGAATCGAAACCGATCCAGGACGTGTACGCTCAGGTCACCCAGCTGTTCATTTCCGCCCCGGATTTGCTCGAGGATTTCAAACAATTCCTGCCAGAATCCGCCGCCCACGGTAAGGCACAGGCTGCTCGCGCTATGAACCAACAGATCGAGACCAGCGATGTGCGCGGTGAGCCTGGATACGCCGGCGCCGCTATTCCTCAAGCACAGACTCCCCGACCGGCCTCGAAGATGCCCCCCATGGGGCAATTCGATCCTCCGAGTACAAGCAAAGACAACAAGAAGCGACGTGGAGGACCTGGGACGACCACGACTAGCCAATCCACTGCGCAACCTGCTGTAGAGTCGTCTCTGGCCCATGGCTCACGTACAGCCCCTGTGCAGGTCGGAAATGCTAGCAAGGTACGCTCCGTTCTGTTATTCACTTCGACTTACCCCTCCTTTGTCACCCTCGATCGTGCCTCCTGCTTCTTTTCTCTGCCTTCTTTCTGGTCTCAACTAATCTATCTGCAGCGCCCTAAACTTGCGGCCCAACGCCAGCCTCAACCTGAGACTACAGTCATCACTTCACCTACGCTGGTCCCTCAGCTTCCTGAACCTCTCCCTCCTTATCCCAGCTCATCCACTACTCAGGAAGAACTTGCCTTTTTTGACCGTGCGAAGAAACAAATTGGAAATCGTGCCAGTTATGCCGAGTTCCTGAAACTCATCAATTTGTACTCTCAAGATCTCATTGATAAATACACTTTGGGAGACAGGGTTGGCGCATTCATTGGCGGCAACCCAGATCTGATGAGTTGGTTCAAGAACTTCCTCAATATCGAGGAGCAAGAGGAGGTGATCGAAGCCCGAGCACGTCCAGATCCTGGCCGTGTCAACCTCGCGCACTGCAGAGCACTTGGCCCCAGTTATCGTCACTTGCCCAAGCGCGACCAGGATAAACCCTGCAAGGGTCGGGATGGCATGTGCTATGAAGTGTTGAATGACGTTTGGGCATCTCATCCGACTTGGGCCTCTGAAGACTCCGGATTCGTGGCACATCGGAAGAATCAGTACGAAGAAGCTCTGCATAGAATCGAAGAGGAGCGCCACGACTATGATTTCCACATCGAGTCATGTCAGCGAACGATTCAGCTCATGGAACCCCTTGTGCAGCAGATCGCTGTCATGGGAGATGCAGACCGCGCCGCATTCCAGCTGTCACCTGGGCTGGGTGGCGCTAGCGAAGCCATTCCGAAGCGCATCATCATGAAGATCTATGGTCGCGAAGCTGGTGCGAGAGTCATCACCGAAATGTTTCTGCGTCCCACTGTCGTTCTGCCAATCGTCCTTTCTCGACTCAAGCAGAAGCTCGAGGAATGGAAGCAAGTCCAGCGCGAATGGGAGAAGGTCTGGCGCGATCAGATCCACCGGCAATTTTGGAAGAGTCTGGACCACCAAGGCATAAACTCCAAGAACCAAGACAAGAAGAACTTCCAACCAAAGACCTTGACAAGTGATATTCAAACCAAGTACGAAGAGGCAAAGAAGAACCGCGACAACGGCATGGCGGAGAAAAAACACCAGCTCGAGTACAAGTTTGAGGATCTTGATGTCGTCAATGACGCAACTCGTCTGATACTCACTTCCTTGGACTCAGATCGACAGCAGAACTTCAACAGCGGCGAGCAGGAAAGAGTACGGAGCTGGCTGATTGACTTCTTAGTCCGCTTCTTTGGACTCGACAGCGACAAATTCATCGAGCAGATCCAAACGGAGAAAACGCAGCGTGAACCAGACGAGGTCACAGACGGTCCCGAGAGCGACAATCACGTGCCTGCCAGGGGCAAGAACAAAGGCAAGTCAGACTTCCTGCGGAGACTGGCTCTTGAACGGAGACACGGCAAAGAGGAGAGCATCGCGTCCGCGAGCAAGGAATCCACTCCTGCCCCTGGTGCCGACAGTGAGATGGAAGTCGACGAAGAAGCGGCTCCTTCCGATGGACCAGATGAACCCCAACAGCCATGGATCAATGTGGATAACAGCGACACATCCGCCCGTCGCTTGGCCATGGACGAGACGTATCCACACACGACCTTCAACCTCTATGCAAACGCCAACATCTACTGCTTCTTTAGGCTCTTCGAGATGCTGTACAGCCGCCTACTTGCCATCAAGCTCAATGAACCCAACGTCCAAGAAGCCATCGCAAGATACAAGGGCGTGGATGGGAGAACGAAGCCTGCCATTGAGTTGCGTATGATCGACAAGGGACCTGATTATTTTTTCTACGCTGTTGAGGGTCGACAGAACTACTATCAACAGATCCTCCAACTATGCAGTGAGGTCCTGGTGGGCACGGTTGAGATGGGCCACCTTGAAGAGACGCTTCGGAGATACTACAACAAAAGTGGCTGGCAGCTCTACACGGTCGACCGCCTTGTCTCGACTATCCTGCGTTTTATCATGAATATTCTCGGTGGAGACGCGAAAGACAAAAGCGTTGAAATTACCAACCTCTTCTTACGGGATCGAGAGCGGCCGGACACGACCAGAAAGCAGGAAATCCAATACCGGAAGCAGGTTGAGCGATTATCCAAGGATGCCGAGCTCTATCGGATCAGCTATGTAGGTCACACGGGAGCCCCAACGAGAGTGCGCGCATGACTAACTTTTCCACAGACGCCAGAAGACCGACTTTGCACCGTTCGCTTGTTTCCAACCGAGGATGCGACTTTCGACAATGACTCACTCACAGACGAAGCTCGTTGGCAATACTATATTGCATCATATACGATGACCGACGCGACCGAGGGCGTCGATCAGTCGAAGATGCGTTGGCCTTACCTAAGACGCAACATTGCTCCTCAGAACGCCAACATCGAGACGGCGTATCAAGAGGTGTACGGCAGTCTTGACCATGTCGACGAACAAACTGCGTTCATCAGCCCCGATTCGTACAAATTGCTTCTGCAGGGCGACTTCGGATTCGTTCGTGAGGCCACGACGACCAAGGGCTACGAAGCTGGCAAAATTGAAGAGAGCGAGAAGTTCAGAGAACGGTTTGTGCGCAATACGGCGTGGATGAGAGATCGGAGGGCCGAGGATGTGGAGAAGAAAAAGTCGGCGTGGGAAAGAGGTAAAGCCGAGGGTTTTACTGGGTACGACAGCTCAGTCTGATGCGACAGTCAACAAGTCCGCTGGGATGCATCTTGTGTATAACGGTCGCTCAAGGCGGGCTGGCGACTTGCGCAACGGCTTCTTTCAAGGGCGTGGGCCAGCGAATGCGCAACGAAGGGAATTTCCCACGGGCTCAATTACAGTAGTGGTGCCGCTTAAGCAAGGAAGTCCCGCCTCCTGCTGTATTTTTGCCATGCTGAATGCTCTCTTCATGCAGTCCCCGTGCTACATACCAATCTAATGAACATGGGTGTTTCCCATGCACCAAACCATACTCGTACAGTAGCCTGCGCGAGGTTGCCGGAGGGACTGCGTGGCTCTTTCTGGGCTTCCAACACGGGCAGCGGCGGTGAGCACGAGACGAAGGACAAGCAGGAGCCGCAATCTTAGAGGCGTTCAAGTAAGCTTTGCCATGACCCAATGCAGCCTGGGTGCGGCGTGGTAAATCTCCGTAATCAACCCCTTGACGCCCCTTTTCCACACTTTGATCCCCATCTCCGGCTGCGGACCACTCACAATTCACTCACGATTCACTCACCACTCGCTCACCACTCATTTACCACTCATTCACCACTCACCCTCCACTCACCCACCCCTCCGAATTGCTTGCATATCCCACCGCAATTCCATCGGCATCCCACCTACCAGCCCGGCCCTCGAGACCTCTGAGCCTCCTCTTGACGAAACCGCCCCCACTCCGAAGCATGTCGGACTCCTTGATAGGCCACAAACATCCACAACCTCATCTTGCAGCGCCATGGAGCCGTGCCTGCTCGCGTGTTTCAGGGCATCTGCTGCAATCTCCCCAGGTCCCCTGTCGATCATCCTTGCTCTGATGCCGGAGCGGTCGGTTCCTCGAGTCTCTGGGCAGCTCTGTCATCTCTTTGGCCAGAGTGCCCTCACGAGCCGGCTCTTGGGTTGACAACCTGTAGGCAAAGCAGGAATCGACGTTCTCACTGGCGAAGAGTCCAAGGATCGGGCACCACAGTCGAGGACACAATAACCTTGACACGTCAAACACATGGCCAACGTCACATTGTGTTTGATCAGTGTCTCCTTTGGTCTCTCTTTCTGCAGCCTATCATGCTAGCAAGCAGTTGACAAGGCACTATGGAGATGCAACCATACCCTTTTCAAGCCCGATTCGACCCCCAAGCTCGAGAACCAAGCCCGAAGTTGCGTAGCCTGACAAGACGGGCTGCTTGCTGATGGGCCACCCAAGCACCGCGTTCCCACAGCTGCGCGCTAAACGAGATTCGACGTGGATGGCGCTATCCCCATCACAAGCCGATCCCCGGCTGGCGTTGGCGTGTGCCGAAATGCTATATGCAGGTTGTCACGGCGTTCGCACGAACTTCTCCTTCCTCCCTGCAAGGCTCTACTCATGGTGAACTGAGTGCTACCAAGAGCTTCGTGTTTGTGTTTCTCGTTTCAGCATTTCCAACTACCGCGCCACTCGTTTCGCGGGCATTCTTTACTCAACGGCGACATCGCACGAGACGAGGAATCTCGGCGAGATCCAGCATTACCAAGCATAAGAAAATCAAGAAGAGAGGGAGAAGAACTCGATCATCATGAGAGCTGTAACGATTGCCGCTGCTGGCGCAGCTGTTCTCACCACTGTTTCCGCGACCAGCCATGTCAAGCACATGCATGCTAAGCTTCACGAACACGCTGCGCGCGACACCTGGGTTGACTGGAACACGACCACACTTGCAGCTTCGAATACGCCAGTAGATGGAAAGACAACCAAGGCCGCGACGACGACCAAGGATACTCCTGTCAAGCCTGCTACTACCAGCCCTGCTGCCTCGACCACTTCGAGCTCATTCCTCTGGGAGGACTGGAGCAGCTCTTCTTCCACACCTGTCGATCCAGCCTCGACGAGCTCCGTGACCACCTCGAGCTTTGACTGGGCCGACTGGGAGGCGTCCAAGACCAGCACTACCACCTCCAGCAAGCCCGTGAAGGCCGCCACCACCTCCAGCTCGAGCTCCTTTGACTGGGCTGACTGGGAAGCATCCAAATCATCGACCGCCAGCACTCCCGTCGATCCTGCTACCACAAGCAAGGAGACCTCCTCGACCTTCGACTGGGCGGACTGGGAAGCTTCAAAGACAGCATCTGCCACGACCCCGGTTGATCCTGCCACCACCGCGACGGAGACCTGGGGTGACTGGGATTCGAGTGTTGCCGTCGATCCAACCACAACTGTCACCGAGAAGTCCACCGAGACTGAGACTGAACACGAGTCGTGGGCAGACTGGTCGACCAGCGTTCCTGTTGACCCTGCCACTACCAGCAGCGAAACCACCACTTGGGGTGACTGGACGGCCGTGGAAGAAACCACTACCATCACCTTGGCTTCGACTTTGACCACCACGAAATACGTCGAGCCCGTCAGCACCGAATCCGTCACTTGGGCCGATTGGGAGTCTAGCTCGTCCACTTCCGTTGCCGCTGCCAGCACGTCAAGCGACGTCCCTGCGTGGTCAGCCGATCCTCACGGCTGCGTCGTCTCCATTATTACGTCTTACGGCGCCCCGACATGTAAGTAGTTCACCCTTCTAAAAATGAGGTCGTGTGCTGATATTGAACCTAGGGTATCCGACGCCTGTTGTTGCAACGAACACTACTACTACCACCACCAGCACCTCCAGTGTGGTTTGGGGCGACTGGACTTCTACGTCTTCTACCCCAGTTGTCGCCATTACAACCTCCAGCAGCACTTCGACGTATGAGAGCTGGGCTGACTGGACTGCTTCTGCATCCGACTCGGCGACTGTGACTGCATCCAGCGAGGGATGGACCTGGACCGCTACTGATAGCTGGGGATCCGACAGCACTCCAAGTGCCTCAGCGCCCGGTGGGTGGGCCCCGTCCCCAAGTGGCGGCTCGGGTGGCGGTTCTCAGAGCGGCAACGGAGGCTCAGGCAGCGGTTCTTCGGGTGGCAGCGGAATCCATGCCAACGGAGACTCCTGGGGTTTGACCTACTCTCCTTACACTGCGCAGGGTGGCTGCAAGGACGCTGGCACTGTTGCGGCTGACTTGGCTGTCATTGCACAGAAGGGCTTCTCAACCGTCCGTGTCTACAGCACTGACTGCGGTACCCTCGAGAACATTGGCAAATCTGCTCGTGACAACGGCCTGAAGCTCATCCTCGGCGTCTGGATTTCTTCCACGGGCATTTCGGGTGCTCAAGGTCAAGTGTGGGACATCATCAACTGGGGTCAATGGGATTTGGTCCAGCTCATTGTTGTCGGTAACGAGGCTGTTTTCAATGGCTATGCTTCTGCTGGCGAACTCGCCGGGTTCATCGGCAGCAGTGCTCAAGCCTTCAAGAACGCTGGCTACACTGGCGCAGTCACGACTACTGAGCCTCTTTCTATTTGGGAGGATTCCAGCAGTGCTTCCGCGTTCTGCAGTGTCGTCGATGTGGTGGGTGCCAACCTGTACGCCTTCTTCAATGCTGCCGTGACTGCCGACAAAGCCGGTGGCTTCATCCAAGCTCAGATCAACATTCTGAACAATGTGTGCTCCGGCAAGCCCGTGTTTGTTTTGGAGTCAGGCTGGCCGCATGCTGGTAACTGCAACGGTGCGGCATGCCCCAGCCCAGAGAACCAAGCCACCGCGCTCAAGGGTATCCAGTCTACCGTGGGCGCCCAGGTCGTGTTCTTGAGCTATGAGGACGAGCCATGGAAGGAGCCCGGCCAGTTCGGCGTCGAGCAGTTCTGGGGTTGCTCGGGTGTTTTCTAGAAGGGCATGGGAACGTGACCGGGGCTAGACTGGGGTGGGTTGCATGGTGGGAGTGGAGGGAAGCGACACGCAGCAAGCGAAGACCAAGAGCGGGAGCGCGCATGTACGACTTTGCTCCGTCATACAGTAATGGCCAGAGTGTACAGTGTCCGGTGTCTTAGTTACGATGTCCTGCTTTGTGTTTTGGCCAGTTCATACCTCCCTTTGTGTATATTGCTTGAATACAATCTGCCCGACGCGGGACTATAAAGGAGACGCTTCACGCCGATGAGCGTGTGCTGTACTGATGCAGTACGGAGTACTGTATGTGTTTTTCGTCGTGGGCGGCATGGATTCAGCCTCGTCGGCGCTGCCCCAGCCTCGTCACTTGGGCGCCGCGGAGGGTGCCGGCGCCTTGGGCTCGCGTCAAAGTTGAAATGCTAATTTGACCTCATTTTTGTCCCTCGACACCCTGTCGTGCTTTCTCCCCTTCTGCCGCTCCATGTTGTACGGCGATCATACGGGCTGCGCTGTCCTGCATACGCCACATCTCCCCCAGCGCCCAGGGTACCACGCCCTCCCATGGCCCTTAGCCCGCCAGCGGGCGTAGCAGCGGTCGCTGAAGCTGCAAGACCTGTTCCGATGTTTGTCTCCATGACAACCTTCTAGCGTCACCTTGTGGCAATCGAGTGACGCTCAGTATGGATAAATCCACGAAGCCATTCGACAGATGAGTTCTCTGCGACGAGTCGGCCTGGAACCCAGATTGGGCCGACGAAAGATTCGACGAGGGCCAAAATCACCCTGAGCCGTGTCATGTCCGATTGGACAGCGTCCGCTTCATATCGCAGATACGAACTCCCGTGCTGGAAAACTAGCCGCGAAGGCTGATTCTGCCTTTGCTCTGACACATCCAGTATTGGCGGCTAGAGGCCGCAAACCTGCGGCATGACTGATTTAGGCATGCCTCTGCGCACTGAAAACTCCGGCGGCCTTGACTCGTCGAGAAAGGTCTTCGCATGGGGCTTCGGACCTATCAGCTGAAGCCAGAGACCATCCAGCATGGCGTGGATAGTCCCATTGTGCCAGGCGCAGGCTACTATCGCTGCGGTCGGGCGCAGCAAAAGGCAACCAGGCAGACCGCTAACGCCACGCCAACGCAATGCAGGGGCGGTGATAGGCGGAGAATCTCGAGGCTTCCTGGGTGCCCTAAGGGTGAGCACAGCCAACTTATAAGGACCACCGCCTTCGTCTTCAGAAGGACCTGTGCTCCCTCTTTGTAGCCAGTGCCCAAACCAGCTTCGACCGTTCTTGGCTCATGACAAGTCTCGCCCGTCTTTGCCAAAGATGAAGATCACAGCTCGTCAAGTTCCATTGGTCGATCGGTAGGGCTGGGTTTGCTAATCCTATTGGGTATTGGGACGGCAGGTAGATGGCGGACGAAGTGCCGAGCAAAAGAATCACCCTTCACCCGAAGATACCCACACACTTATACCTCTGGATGGCCGAGGCCTGCCGCAGAGCCGCATTCGGAGCAATGGCCGTCCGAACAAGATGGGTGGTGGGCCACCGCCCTCTCATTCACGCCTTCTCCGAATCAGCTGCCTTTACCCGGTCAATGGCCCGGCCTTACAGGCTCCATGTCGGAAATGATCACAGCCCAATACTATCCCTGTCTTGTTCCACTTGAGAAAGTCATCTATCGAGCTCCTCATGTCGAGCTTACCTATGTCCCCTACAAAGATGCCGCCACTATCAGCATGAGGCCGGAGAAACAGCGCCCTACCTGCCGTTGGTGTCGAGCTTTGAAGATGTTGGAGAAGATTCTATCGCTGTTGTCGAGCTCGTCAAGTCGCCAGTGCCAAGTGTGGGATAGAGGTAGGGAGTCGGTCGCCCAGTGGCACTGAACCGTACCTCCCTTGATTGACGCCATGGTTCGGCGCTAGGGGCTTCGAGCCCGGCAGTGAATTGGTGGTTCGGTAATGTCTTCGTGGCTACGTGACTAATGGGAGGTAGGCTCAGCTCTGCTTGCGCCAAGGGGGCTGCACTTCGGTGCCGCTCGCGCTCACGCTTACCCACTGATGCCCTATCGTCTGAGGCCGTTCCGGCTCTCTCTCATCCTTATCAACCGTGGACAGGTGCCCCTGAACGGGATCATCCTCACTGTGATCACCTTGCGCCTTTATAGTCGGCTGCTTTCTCAGCATTGACATCGAATGCGTCGCCAACGCATCAGGTCTGCAGATATGACTGATCTATGGACGCCTTTCGCGCTCCCGTTTTGCCTGCGGATTGACCACATTCGATGCAGAGAAGATCCTCAGTCGCCGGCGCAAGAGAACCCCCCTGATTTCTACTGGTCTCCGCCGACATCAACAAGCCAGTTTGTCAAGATAGATACATCAGGTTGGTGGACCTGGGATCCAGGCGTATATCCGCAGCTCTACAGATATCCGCAACTCTACAGAATTGACACCACCGACCCGGGCTCTGACTTGCCTACCGAGTACAGAAGTTGCACGATGTTTTGGTGCCCCGAACGCCATGGTTATCTTGTCGTGCCGGCGGACTGCACGAGCACTAATTTGTGGGCAGAGCCATACCCTTGGAAACGTCTTTCCTTTGGCAGATGTGCTTCAAGCCCAGCCACCGCACTTGTCGGTTATCAAAAGGAGCGTTATGCGCTGCACATGCCGGGGCCCGATCACTGGTTCGAAGATCTCCTTCCGGATGTCTACATACCGGAGGACTGCGAGCCAGCCACGTGCACCCTCGCTGGGAATCTGAGCATCATCGTCGGTCTCCTCGCGTTCTCGTCGACTCCGGCCCATGCTGTCGAGGCCGTGCGCAGGTCCTTCAGACCCGATCTATCCTCGACAATCTTCCAGTCCCACGATCTGCCCAAGACCGAGAGTGAGTAGTGTCGGAGCCGCCCAATCGGGCACCAGGGAAGCTGACTCTGTATTCAGGGCACAAGACTCGCGGAATGGTCATCACCATCGGCTTTGACCCATTCGTTGTGTCCAGGGAAGCTCTCAAGGCCTGGGAGGACGGCGAGTACGGAGGAATTTTCACCTGAAAGAACTACATACGTTGTCGTTGGCGATAGGGCTCTGGTGACGCAAACATCGAGCACAATGAAGGCAGGACATACTGGCAACGCTTCGCACAAGGCGGCCACGCTCGGAAAACGACACTTTTTACGATCAATCCACCTATCCGCCGCTTCCTTGCGGTGCGACTCTGCGATAATTCGACCGCTCTACGTTGTAAACAGCCTTTCTAAGTGATGGGTATCGAGGGGACGATCGACGACTTACGACCTTATGACGCGATGACTGCTTGACGAAACCGGACGACCTTGCGTTATGGTAATTCCTGACGACGCTCTTGATGAGTACACGAGGAAGCAAGTCGGGTTTGGATGCTTTCAGTTGGGCTGGGGCATGGACAGCCCATGACCTGGCGGCTGGTCCTGCCGGGTTGATTGTTTATCATATGCGCATTTCGAGCGTGCCCGGCCCCAGCTGCAGTCTCTTCTTCTTTGTGTTTGACGATGCCTCCTGACTTTGTACCCGCGGTTCTTCGAGGGTGGCACTACGAATCCCCTTCTGAGATAACAGCTATGGTATCCCTGCTCCTTACTGAGCCTTGAGTGCTTACTTCCGTGAAGCAACACGTACGCCGTGATCTACGACCGCAACACATGTGGCAACAAGTGGAGGAACCGGGCTCGAACAAGCCCCCAACCGCCAACCACCCGGCCAAGAAGCCCCAGGCTGCCAGTTGCATCTACAAAGTCTACAAAGTGCGCTCTCTACCCAGCGCCATGTTGTCTTACTGCATGTCGCTGCTGCTCAATGCCTGGTCATCAATACGTAACCTTTTTGTGTCCGACCACGCAGACTTGACAAGCACCTGTGCCCCCCCTCCACCGGAGATTGATTCAACTCGATTCCACGCCAGTCACCTATCAGTCAGTGGCTGCGACCGCAACGTCAGAGGCTCGGGCGGACTGCGCCATACAGTGACAGAGCGTGCGACCTCACCCACATCCATGGCTTGCCCCTGTAGACTACAGCCTACCCATGCCTTCGACTACTGTTAGTCTGGTGGTACCTGGTATTGTGTGCGGAATACAAGCAGTGAAAGATACCTCAGACACGCAAACCGTGTCGTGTTTCCTCGCCGCTCAGACACAAAAGTCGAGAAAGCGCAAAGGATACTTGGCGTCTCATGGCTCTGTGGTGTAGCGTAGACTACTGTGAATCATAAGTGCCGCTATCTGACCTCCCCCCTCACGTGAATGTTCGTGCTATACCCGAAACAGCTAGCGACTTTCTCCTCGCCCTTCCTGCTGCCTTTTGTCTCCTCGAATATGCCATTCATCGCTTTGATCTGCTCCGTCAACCATTCATTGCATGGGCAGCATTCAAATATGTTTCCTCATCTCTCTCATATGCCAGCCCCTAAGTCGTGCGACGTCAATCTCGAGCAATGATATCGTTGTTTGGGACTTAGTCACCTAATACTGTGTCTTGTCTTCGGCTCAGTCGTCTTCCGTTGCTGAAGTCTCTCGCTGAACTTATTATGCAAAGAACAAGCGCGATGCAAAAGCAAGAGTCTCGCAGCGCCACACGAGGCAGACGAGTGGCAATTGGTGCCGTCCTGGCCTTGGGCAGAAATGATCGGCAGAACAGGTGGTGGTGCAGGCTTAGCGCCCTCAGCCTCACTCCTCCCACGACAGACTTGCACCCCGTCGATATCTGCAACCTTGCCTCGTCTTCCTCGAAAGCACTCAAGGCTATGTTGCCGTGGTCCTAGCTCATACAACTGACGCCAGAGGCCAACGAGTCGACAACATGGCGCACCTTATTCACCGTGCTGCTCCCTTGAAGCCGGAGATAAAGCTTGCTCAGGCTCTGTCCGAGTTCGAAGCTATCCTGCAAGACACTGACAAGCAAGAATTCCGCTCCTTCCAATCCGGTCAGGCGGCTGTCATGTCAGATGTGATGAAGGTCACCGCAGCCATCGACAGCAAAAACAGCCATCGGAGGAGCCGTCGCTGCTTTGGCCCCCGTCTGACTAGCATCTTGGAATCCGTCCAACAATTCTCAACCGTCGTCGACATCATCATCGGCGGCTCCCAGTGCTTCCTTGCCAGCGCCATCTGGGGTACATTGAGGATGACGCTGCAAATCACGTCCTCCTTCGCGTCATACTTTGAGGACTTGTCAGCATTGTTCATGAGAGTCGGACGAGGATGCCCCCGATACCAGGAGTATGGTCTGTTATACCCGAAGTCTTCAAGGTTGCAAAGGGTGCTGTGCGAATACTTCTGCACAATTGTCATTTTGTGTAGGAAGGCCGTCTTGTTCATCAGGAAACCGTTGGTTGCTCAACTCTCGTCCGCGATCCTGAACCCTTTTCGCACGGAATTCGGCCCGTATGAGAGCCAATTGTCAGATCTGGCCGCCTCGATTCGTGAGGAGGCCTCGCTGGCATCGCACCACGAGCAAAGCAATGAGGCCAAAGAAGCCTCGTCTTTTCGCACCGCCATCTCGAGCATAATAGCTCCCCAAGAACTTCGAGAAGCCAGGAAAATGAAGAGTCAGAAGAGAAAATTGCAGATCCTCCATGCATGCTCAGCTTACAACCACCAAGCTGCATGGAAACGAGCTCGAAAAGCGGGAACGAGCGCTAGGATCGTCGATCAGGCCGTCTACACGCAATGGGCCGAAGAACCTTCACCGAACGTGTTGTGGTGCATTGGCAAACTCGGATCAGGGAAAACTGTTTGCACGGCCAGTTTAGTGCAAGAAACAATCATCAGATATCCAGATGCTCCTGTTGCCTACTTTTTCTGCAGTCATGATGATGCAGAGTCCCTCAACGCAAGGACCATCCTGGGCAGCCTTGTGAGGCAGTTACTCAGTTTTCTCGACCAAGAGACTTTCGATACCATTGCGGTCCCCGACCCAAGCACGTTCGATGAGGATGACATGACGACACACCTCTTGACACTCCTTTCTGGTAGCGCCCGGCAGTTCTTCGTTCTTATCGACGGGTTAGACGAGTGCACCGAAGGCGAATTAGGCAAGCTGTTGGAAAGCCTGCACAGGATGCTCCGTTCGCGTCATTGCTTTCACCTGTTCTGTTCAAGCCGGCCTGACTTGCATCCGAAGTATCGTTCGATCCTCCAGCATCAATACAAAGTGTCTTTGTCGGACGAAAATCCCGAAATCGCGCAATACATTGAGACCGCGCTCAGAGACCGGCTTGAAGCAGGAAGCCTCTCCATAGGTGACCCAAGCATAATATTTTCCATCAGGGACGCTCTGCTGAAAGGGAGCCAAGGGATGTAAGTACTTGCGATTTCAATTCAACGAGACGACCCTAATAAGAAGTAGGTTTCTATGGGTTGTCTTTCAGTTGGAGTCTATATGCGCCGAGCTTACCGACGAAGCAATCTTGAACGCCCTTCAGCGCTTGCCCAGAGATTTACCGGAGACCTTCGATCGCATTCTTCGCAAGTTGGACCGAGAGAAAGTATGTGACCAGGCCCTGCGCAGGAAGATGTTCGCGCTCGTTGCCGCAGCTCAGAGACCACTGACGACAGACGAACTCCGGGAGGCAATCAGCGTTGAACCGGGAGCGACGAATTGGGAATCGAAGAAATTGGTGAACGACATCCAGAAAGCCCTGGCAGGTTGTGGAAGCCTCGTGATCGTCGACGAGGAGGACTTCTCAGTTCGTTTCGCCCACCACAGCGTCATACAGTACATCACCTCTGCGTCTGGTGATCCGACCATTGCCGCGTATCACGTTCCTTGGGCAGCAGCAGATCTGATCATGGGTGAGATTTGTGTCACCTACCTCAATTTTGGTATTTTTGACACACAGCTCACAAGGGCCAGGAATAGAACCACCTTGCACTCCCACACCATGACCTCGAATATCGTGGGAAGTACTCTGCCTGAGACCACAGGTAGCAGTATTGCGTTGAGGCTCTTGAAGACCCGGAGAAAGGTGGACTTCGACATGGGAGCTTATCTTCAGGATGTCGCCACAGAAGCCAAGAGATTCAATGCAGCGGAGACCGCTCAACATCCGTTTCTCGCCTACGCCAAAGACTTCTGGCTGTTCCATACTCGATGCTTTGAGCAAGGACAACAGAAAACCTACAACTTGTGGCTCCGGTTGATAGATGGCAACGTCCCTGTCGCCACACTTCCTTGGGCCCCGGGCCATTGGTCTCAACTAGACGTGAATTTTTTGAAGTGGACCGTGGATAACAGCCATGGTGCACTGTTATACAGGATCATCGAGGCATTTACAGCTCCAGCTCAGGACAGCGTCACTGCTAACATCCTGGTGTTGGGCGACCTCGTTGCGAAAGCTCATGACTTCAGGGTGGAGGGTCGATTCTATGGTCGGATGCTGGTATTGCCTGACGTGCTTCGTCACCACGAACTACTCCGGCTCATCCTTCAACGTGGGGTGAACAGTAACGTGACAGATCATCGTGGATGTTCACCTCTTTCGCTAGCAGCAAAGTTCGCTGATCAAGAATCAGTCAAGCTACTGCTGAGCCAGAAAGATGTCCTGATGCACGACAAGTGGGGAGGTATGCAGTATGTCTTGGGCAGGGCTGTCCAGGCAGGGTGGGTCGACATAGTCAAGCTACTCCTAACACGGGGAGACATCGACGTCAATGCCGGTGTTGCAGCTGAAGGCTGGGACCCCTCCGAACACCAGGGTGGCAATGGCCACAGTGGTGTGCCACTGTTGATTGCTGCTTTGCATGGGCATCTTTTCGAGTTACTGCTTGAACAGAATGGCCTTGACATCAATCGCAAAAACGGCTACGGAAATACCGCACTCACTTTGGCTGCGGTTTACGGTCACGAGCAAAAAGTGGCGTTACTCCTGGCTCGAGACGATATCGACATCAACTCAAGAAACAATGGCGGCATGACTGCACTCAGTGTTGCCATTGAGTTCTGTCAGACACATGTTGTCGAACGATTGCTTCATCGGAAAGATGTCGACGTAAACTTCAAAGACGAGCAGGGATTAACGGCCCTACATTGGGCAATCCTATGTATTCCGACCCGAGTGTTTTTTCAATTCCACGATAAGAAACATAAAATTGGGCGCGCGATCATCGACGGCAACGGGCAGAATACCGCGGGGGACACAGCGCTTGATAGTCTTCATGATGATCTCCACCCATTTGGGTCCGTGATGAGGCTATTGCTTGCTCGACCTGACGTCGATGTCAACGCCAGAAACAGGGTCATGGAAACTCCGTTGCACTTTCTGGTGCGTACGAACCATCCGGCCGAGGTTATGCTCATGCTCGGGAGACAGGACATCGACACAGAGATGAGGGATGCACTCGGTCGTACACCACTCGACCTGGCTTTGAGCCTAGGACACACTGATATTGCCGAGGCTTTGAAGGCGCACATGGCTCGACGCAAGAGGACAGTGGAACAATCAGAAGCCATGTGTGTCTTATCCCGGCCCGGAGGTCATTTACCTTGAGCGAAGGAAGGCTTCCAGCGTGGATATGCCAACCAGACAGGTCGGAAGCTTTCGCATCGTCTCGTTAATCCCAGACGAATTGTGTTTTGTTCTATCACAATCATGATGAGATGCTCTGTCTTCAGTGGCGCCTAACTGGAGGCGTCCGAGCTGGAAGCATACACCACCCATGCTGACTACTTGCTTAAACTTTACCAGAGCAGAGACCTGAGTACTTAGTCGGCCGATGCTATGGCTCAATGATACCACGACAAGCGAAGGGAGTGATATAACGTCCCCCCCGGGTAGACCCAGCGTCACAGAACGTCACAAGGGTATGCGGTCCAAGATATCAGACAATCCACGATCCCAGAAGAACTCTTCCACGACTCGGTACCGCTCGGCAAAAAGCTCAGGCCTACACCGCCAGACTTTACGCAACATGAGGTCGGAATACTCCCTCGCTGGGGTATCAAACCCATATGCAGTACGAAGGACCATTCCCTCCCAGAGCATGACCTTCGCGTCGGTGTCCGGTATCGGCTGGCTCATGAGCCGGAGGCAGCCTACTTGGACGAAACCGTCGGCGTTCTGCCACGTCGCGGGTTCGCCACCCCTGAAGAAGCAGTAGGCTGAGATGGCGAGCAGCAATACTTGCTCGACCAGAGTCACTGAGAACGTCTGCAACAATCGGATACAGATGGCGGCGCTGATTCTGTTCTGCGTATTCAGAGTGCGGGCACGGTCCGCAACGGTGCCGTTGGTCGAGACGAGATTGGCAGACCCGATATTTTCCGAAATCTTCGCCAGCGCGTTGATGACAGGATAGCTTATGCTCCCTGTTCGACATAAGGCAGTCAATCCAGGAGGGAGAGTCGCAAGCTTGGCGCACGTTTCCGCGGCGAAGGGATGGCGTGGGTACAGCATCGGGCCCCAAATCGAGGGGTCTGCGCGCTCCATGTCGAGCACTGCGAGGCGTGCATGGTCGTACTCTTGGTATCTGCTGTCTCTTAGCTGGAGTGCTGAGGATGTTGGAGTTCTACGAAGGTTTGGCAATGGAGTGAAAATGGAAATATCAAAACAGTACGAACAAGCAAGTACTTACGAAACTAAGGTCCAGGGCGTTGAAGTTTCGTTGCCGGACGAGGAGGAAGCGGGAAAGGATGTGGACGCTGATGTTGATGACTCCTCGAGGTGGGAATGCGACCTGGAACCGGCGATCGTGCGGATCGCTTTGGCGTGGAGTTCCGCTTCGGCATACTCGCGCCGCAACCACTGAGGGAGACACAGCGTCAGACTTGGAAGGGCACGGACGAGTGCAGAGCATAGATGTAACAGAAGAACAGATCAAAGAAGAGCTTCTCAGCACGATCCCAACTCAACTCAGCACAGCTTAAATCCATGCATCACCATCATCAATCAAATCGCATCACAACAATGCATGTTCCTCAACTCAACTCGATTGAACTCACATGCAAAGCCGTCTGCGTGTAGATGGCCCAGATCAGCAACTCGGCAGGCACATCATCTCGCTGCAGCGCCTCTCGCAGCAAGCGCACGACGATGCGTTCGCACGTGGCTCGCTCGCGCGTCAGAGGGAAATCGCCAAACAAGAGGACGTCGCGCACGGCGGATGCGACCGACAGAGTGCCGAAGAAGGCGATCTCGTTCTGCAGAATGTAGCACGAGACACTGCGTCGGCGGGTTTCGTCGTGTGGCGTCATGGCTAGGTACCGCGGGGAGTGGATCGCCGGGCAGAAGGTCTTGAGCACTGAAGATGGCCCCTTCAGTCAGCGAGTGTACAGAAGGACCGGTAGGTTTAGCAGAAGCAGCCTTTTGCTTGCCAAGCATCACACCACATATGCGTTGCCGCGCTTGGAAACGGAATGGGACGCAACGGAATGGGGGCGGAAAAGGAGCACGTCGGTCTGCTTACGGAACTGCACACTCGACTCGAGGTGTTCCGGGACTTGATGCGATATGACGCTCAATGCTGGGGGGATGAAGTCGGACAGATTCGTCTGTGGGGTGTCGTCGCACTGCTGTTGCTGATGCTGCCGCTGTTGTTGTTGTTGTTGTTGTGGTGGTGGTGGTGGTGGTGGTGGTGGTGAGTGGTGATGGTGGTTCTCTCCTTCGCTGTTCTCCTTGACTCGCTCGCTTTGCGTCGCGTTCGTCCTTCCGGCGTGGTAGACTCGCCATCTCAACCTGTCATCCTGTGTCCTTGTTCGGGTATTTCGCTTCTGCCGGAAATGCCCCTTCACATTGACACCGTCACAAACTCTCCCACCGGCTGAATACTTCTCTGGTGTCAGCATTCTCGCCGCGCGCGCTTCTCGGCCCGCATCTTTGACTCGGCACCGGAACGACATGCGCGCGGCATGTGATTTGATCATCGAGTCCACCTTTTGGAGATCCTTCTTGCATTGCGATGGCGAGAGGGAGCGTGAGGCGGAGCCGGAGCCGGAAGCGGAAGCGGTGGCGGAGGGCCCTGGTGCCACCACGAACATGTACTCCATTCTTGGATTCCTCGGTCGGGGCACACGATGTCACGAGCTGGACATGCGAACAGAAAGAGGGACGTGCGAACAGAAAGAGGGACGTGCGAACAGAAAGAGGGACGTGCGAACAGAAAGAGACACGTGGTCACGGTAGCGAGGATTGCTAGACTGAGCAATGTGATGTGATGGGTGGTCGGGATGATATGATCATATACCCAGCTAGAAGCATTCAGGGGCCTTTCAGCTCGAGTGTCCTCGGCGACCTCTTTCATATAAGTGCTTCGTACGTGGATCCTCACATGAAGTTCTTGAGAGAACAGCTCCACGGACATACCTCCAGTATGCGTTTCCTACCTTTACGACATGCGCCATACGACGTGCGACGTGCATACGACTGACGTGATTGGAAGCGTCCAGCCGCAGCCGGAGATGGCATGACTTGGATACTCGTACAGCACTGTATATGACTAATGCCCACTACCAGGCGAGTCCCTGTCACTGTGTGTGACACGGGAAGTCTGTCCCGATGCATATGCGCAGCAGGCGACAGGGGTAATTTATCGCGTCGCACAGGTCCAAGTGAGTCTTTGACTCTTGAGCCGAAGTCTGAATCTCGCTCGGGCCATCTGCGCCATTCTGGGCAACGGTCATCAAATGTAGACGAACAATTGGACAACTATCTACCTACATCCTCCACATGGCTCCTCCCTCCCTCGAGAACACGAACCTCCGCGGCCGTGGCACGCAGTCCCTGCGTTGGACAGTCTTCCAAGCCGATCCACCATTTGAACTGCTATTGGTTGAGAGTCCACACTATGTTCCCAATCGGGAAGTGATGTCTTTCCCTTTTGTCTTTGCGCCGCTTTTTCCTCTTCGACTTGGCAATACGAGCTAATAAGGAACGCAGCATGACATGCATGGACATCAATGGCTAGCAGATACCCATCTCAATGTCGCCAATGGTGGTGAGTACAAGGTAGGGACAGTGGTACTCCGTACGCTTGCTGCCAAGACAAGACGCCCGCAAGGCCGTTTCTCAGCATCATTTCCAGCATACGAGTAGGTCTGGCATATTACTGGATTACTACTGTCCTTACTATAAGCTGAATCGGCTTAAGCGTGCACGGGCAGCTCCGTGGAGGAAGTTCCTGCCATCGTGTTCTATGCACTGCCCGCGACGGTTCTGGGAGCTTGACGGAGAGATGGGATGAGCTGGGCTGGGCTGGGCTGGATCGGTGGACAATTCTAGCCTGGCCACCCCAGTATTGGCACAAAATGCTTCTATTACGCATTAGCCTGCCACCTGCAAGAAGACACTCACGTTGCACATTAGATACGTCGCATGAATGACTTTTCAGGACCATCAAATTGGACAACACGGAGACCAACCGCGTCGGGACTGTGTGGTAGGTCCTGTCGCTGCCTTGCTTCAATGTTGAGCAATATCGAGCAGCCGCGGAGGGTTGCGGTGAGCAAGTACTAGGTACATACTACTCGTAAGTATACAAGCATGCCCCGGCCAGATCAGGCGGTCGCTTTCCCTCCTCTCATTCGTGAGCCGGTTGCATGGACGTGCTGCCCAGGTCTGCCGTTTCGGACATACTGGGTACACTCCCTACCCTGCATTCACGAACGACAAGGGGTCTAGTGTGGCCTGTGTCGGACCAGCTTCTTGCGAGTCTCGTAATCTATCACCATTAGCCCCTAGTCTTGTTAGTACCATTCCCACACCGAACACCGAAATGGCTACTCCCAGCACTGTTCCGCCTGGAATCCAGCTGAAACGTGGCGTACTCGTCCATGAATGCGCACGCATCTCCGACCACGGTGCCGTCCGAGGACTCATCTCAGCCAATAGGTCCGACCTTCTGGCACCCGAGGCAGGGCATCGTAGCTGTCTCCGGCCATCTTCTCTTCGAGCATCGTCTCCTGCGCCACAATGATGGCAATCTGTCTGCTGAGCCAATAATCCTCCCGTCCGAATCTTGAAGCCACCTATCGTGCTCGCTGTCGCGACCCTCGGAATACTACACCGAGACCAGGATCACATACAGACCTACCGTGAGTACCCCTGGTTTTGAGCTGCCGCACAACGAGACAATTTGTCGGGCAAGACGGCGGGAAACGAGCCGACGCCATTTATCGGGAAACTCGAGGCCATCCCTAAGAATACAATCACGTAACTGAGGTTCAGACGAAAGGTAGTTGACCCGTCATACTCGGATGGAGTGGAACCAGAAGTGCCGTAAGACGGGGTCCTACGGAGCAGAGTGTGATTGTGACCATGTCGACACTGGCAGATGACGGACTCTTAAGGACATATGATTTGGACTGGATGGGCCAACTTCAACTGCACCTCTCGTGTAAGTAGCCACTGTAACGGCGGCGGAAGAGTTATCGTCTCGTGTTGGTGCTGGTGTCGTTGGGTCCGAGTATGGCACTTCCATTAGAGATTCATGTTTATGATTTCACAGGGCTTTTTGGCAGCAGAGTACAAGTCGATGCGTTGAAATGCTAGCAGGCTCGAGCCATTCTATCGTAATGCACGGAGATAGTCTGGAAGATTGTAGGAGCGAGCGAGCAGCCGATTTCCACAAAGGCTCCCCGGGGACAGTCTCTTATGCCATGGCCAACAGGCGGTGTCATACACTGTCGTCTGCCACAATGAAGCGACTGGACGCTGCTCCAGTGTCAATAGTACGGATACTGACCATCTGTAAGCATACCAAAGGTAGGGCAGGAAGTCAGCCGCGCGTGTTCCCTGGAACAAGCGGAGAGATATGACGTTCCGCATGCCGTGACTTCTGGAAGACAATGATGCTGATGGAGGCAATTGGCTGGATCGACAGGGCTATATGGCATGACCCTGTCCTGCATCGTCTGAGCGGAATGAGGCAGAAAGGTATTCTGGCCGCTTCCAATAGCTTCGGAGCTGCTGAGATCGGCCATCCCAAGGTAGACCGGATCGAGGACAGAGTAATTCGCGAGCTGCGAAGTTTGGGCTTGCACGGAAAATCCGGAAAGTCAGGTGAGCATGACAAGGGAGGATAGGCATTTCATGTTGACATAGTCGCCCATTCGCGCCGAAGGGGCAACTCGACACTGGATAGCTGGAAGTTTGCATGCTCGGTCAGTGCAGGTGTGAGAACCTTGGAGTAGGAGAAATGGCATGACTTCTATGAACAGGATTGCGCCGCGTGTCGGTGAAGTCGGTGACTTGAAACATCTGCTATACAACCTCAGCAACGTCGAACCAGCAGCCCTCGTGGTGGAGCTTGAGGTTGAGATGACAACACGAGTTCTCCGTCTGCACGCAATGATGTGGCGCAGGCTCGAATGTATGGTTACAGAGACAGCAAGAGACGAGAGAAGATGTTCGTACAGTCAGTAGATTCAGTCTGTGATGTGAAGGCATGATTGTTCTGATTGTTCTCAACAGAAGCCTTGGTTTGCCGATCTCTTCCACCAATCAGACGTGCCAAGTAGTTTAGCTCCACAGCCACGCACTCGCCAACGTTACCGAGAAACACTAGGCGGCGGTAAAGAGACAATGGTGCGAGAAGCAGGATCCTCGTAGCCAGGGCGTGCTTGTATAGAGTGCGGTATTGGGCGACACGTCGAGAGATGGTCCACGCAGCCCTCGCCGACAATTCTCTGGAAAGACTTTCCGAAGTTCCGCAACTCATCCGGGGAACAATGATGTGACGTTTCGTCTCGGTGACATCAGACTCGGTGCCCACAATGGTGACAACAATGCCGTCATATACGTGGACCATGTAAGGGACGAAATACTCGCACATGTGCTTGCTCCAAACTCTCTCACAGCTTCGACCAGGAGAGACCAGTATCAAGTGAACCCACGATCCTCACGCCCCTTCTCAATCACTGACCGAGAGCAATAGCCGGTACAGAAGCAGAAAGCAACAACAGTCCTCGCTTCCACCATGTCGGGCCTAAATCCCGGTTTTACCACCAAAAACACAGCCGACGCAGGCGCCTCCTCGTAAGTACAGTCCAGGGTCTACACAGACACTCAGTCTCGCCATACGTCTCGCTAACTGTTTCCGCCACCAGGGCCACCAAGACGACAGATCAAACCGAAGGCATCTTTGAAGACGCGAGCAGCGACATGAAATCCAAACAGCAAGGCTCCGTGCTCGGCTCCAACCTCCAAGGCGGCCTGCTCGACCAAATCGGCGGCAGCTCCACGGGCCACCCCGCGCTCG